TTTTTATCTATACTGAGAAGTCAGTTACTAGACGCGCGTGCGTAGAACTTTGTGGGTTTACTAAAAGATACAAGAGTGAATCACCCAACCACATTGTCCCATATATTTTACGTGACAAAATAATTTCCTTTTAACGTAGAGTGACGGGAAAACACAATCGCATTACTATGAGGACATTTATACACCTAGGTATTTGTATCTGTATTTAGAGTGTCATAGAAAGAAATCTAGCCAATTTGTAAATCGACCTGTAATATGTCTTTAAGTGCACTTCAGAAAGTATAGCGAATGAAATGTTTAGAAAATGAAAGAAATTGATATGGTTCCTTTAAACTAAGGCTATGGAAAGCAAGCTGGGTCTGGTCGTTAGTTTTTCGTTACGATGGCATGAGTCACCGCACCAGTACCTAAGTCATCCCAATTGGTCCCGAATAGATCACTTTCCAGCTACAATCACATCCTTATCATTTCGTTGACTCAACGTTATTTATAAGACAGCACAGGATATCCTACCAAAGTCCGGCTAAGATGTGTCAGGTATTTATTTTTAACTTGTTTTATATTGCCTTACGTAAATAATTAAATATTTATTCGCATGATATGGACTAACTAGGATGACGTCTTATTGATTAAAGTAAAAAAAAAACAATATTAAAACTCACTCGTAATTTTTTGGTTTCTGTAAACTTAGGCTATGCAATGAATTAATAAGTAACTACAAATCTGACAAAAAAAAACAAAGGAAAGGAAAGCGTATTAATCATTAAAATGTTCCTACTTGCATATTTTTCATCATGATAATTTCAGCAACAGGACGTCCACAGCTGAACATAGGCCTCCCCCAATACATTTGTCATACATACCTACATTATGTTTATAATTTATTAATCATCTAATAAACCCAAAATAATTTATTGGCCTAGTTGTATCGTCGCCCCCGCGAAACTTCTGCGAGTGTTAAAAAATGAGGTTCGCTCGTGCGTCAATACAAAATAAAAAGTTCTAAAATGATTCAGAACAATTGAAATCGTGAGTCATTCCATCAACCCAATTGCCCATTGCCGTATAGTATGCCCTGGTGTTTCTCAGAATGTAAAATGCATACAAGCACTAGTAACAAAAGGTTAGAAACAATAAATGATTCATTTGCACTTTAATAATAAAACTTTCCCGTAAGTAAGTTAGAAAAGGAATCAATTACATAAACAAAAATACAATTATTCAATTACTAGTGAATATAGACAGGTAGGTAAATTGGGTACCATACCTGCCTTTTCTGAACTTGGCATAGAAACTATGTAGTTTAGGTAAATGAAATGATTTTGATCTGCACTATTGTATAATGTTACACAAACTAGGTTCTCAAGGTGAGTGGAAAAAGCACTCAGAGCCAAGAAAATATCTCTATCACTTTGCGGGGGAATCCCTTTAGACTAGTAGATCCAAAATGTAGAGCCAGCGATCGTAAGTTTGGGATCCCACTAGTTAGAAATTCTTACGATGAGTGAAAACATTTGTATTAAAAACATGAGATAACCTGGACTTGATTTCACTTTCACCATAAGCTTAAAAAAGAATAAACAAAGTACAGAGAACTTTGGTCATTAAAAATAAAACATTCTATGTCATCTTCTTATATCAGATTTTGACATCGTATTTTGATATCCCAAATACGTCACCAAACTTGTTTACTTCGAACGAGTTTGATGAGGCCGTCATTTTGGTAAAAACGTTACTTAATGCCGTTGGGTCTTAATTCGGTATAATTCGGACCCGTAAAACCTGATGACGAAGCTGCTTGGAACCTCTTATTTAGCATTTACCATACGTTGTTAGGTTAATAGGTAAAATTAATGTGCACCGTTTAATGGCAGTGACTTTAAAGGTATGTTGTTCATGATGAACAATTATTGTTTTCCTGGAAAATCATATTAATATTATAATCAGTAGATTTAATTTTTTATGCATGTTTATTACGACCTACTTATAAGGAGATTTTTTGAGACCGGAAAATGAAGAAATTACTTATCAATCTCCAACAAAATAAACACTAGAAATATATCTTCTCTTATTATATCATTACTACTAGATTCTTTGCCATTCGATCAAATACAGACAATTGAGACATTCGGCAGTAGATAAATTAATTTGAAATGCTGATTCATGAGTGCATAGCATCATCTAGGTACTTTGGTGTATCCGAGCTTTCGCGTCTTTGAACAAAAACAATTGAAAGGTATTTACTACTGTTTAATTATGATTTCTCTCACGTACTTTGATTGTTTATCTTATGTATTGGCATTTGTAATACTTATGTAGGTGCCTGACATAAAAGGACAGCACACATGGACATTAGCATTTCCTTCCGAAGAGTTTAATTGTGATGACACACTGAAACTCGTAAGTTGATTATTTATAAACAGATTGCATGCAGCACCCGACTGAGACCTTCGTGCAGTGCCAAGGGTAAGCACCTTTGGTCATAACATTACCTATAGTTCAACGCGACAATATGTGAGTGAGGCGAGAATGCAAAAAGTGCATAATTCATCATGTTATGCCTAAATAAAATTTAAGTCTCTACATTTTCCTTTTAATCGTCGTAATAAATTTTAGCCATAGGACATGTCCATTGCTATAGAGGTCTCGAGTTTTAGAACTCCCGATTACCTATTTATTTTCTTATGCCTACATCACCAGATTTAGGGTAGGACTGGAACAAAAAAACTTAGCTAATCATAAAATTTTAAGGTGGTCTTTTTTTAAAATTGTGATATCTTATTATGTCGGTGTTTAGATCTTCTAATATCTAGTCATGAACTCAACGATACTGTAGCAAAATAACGTGTCAAACTGTACTATGTATGATAATTATTAATGTGATTTCCGTGCCTGTGGTGTCTCATCACGCCATGTGCATTGCAGTTAGGCCAACTGAGCAAGTCAACGTGTTGTGGTCGAATGTTAAGATGTGCAGTTTATAGCGCTTGCACCGCCCTTCGAGGTCACAACTAAAGTCAAACACACGCGAATTGTCACTGTTACCTACTTCTATGAAATATAGTCACCTGTATTTTATTAGCACATCTGATAACAGTGAGGACGTAAAGTTTGTTAAAGTTTTGTCCTTCCATAAAGTAGATAAGAATTTGCTCTACTTATTTAAAAAACAAGACCTAGATAACGACCAAAAATAGCCAAAGAATTTAATGTAGGTCCGTTTGATATGGACATCCTTATTTCACACTTATACAACTTTATACAAGTGTTAGGTAAGCTTAATGTCCTTAGCTGGATCACAGCCAGGGCCAGGACACAATAGGCACGCTTCCAACGCTTCCTGGTTACACTGACAGAATCACCTTCTGTGGAATGTGCTCACTGCCTTACTGCACCTTGCATCGGCCATCGGCGCGTAATGCGAAACATAAACTCACACTTTCCACGAAATTCGAGACCGATGACCCCAAATACTTATTCAGGACGCATAACAAAGTCTAAGAGGAAAGGCATATTCAAGTATTCATTAAAATCTTAATTAAGGATAACGCTCTCTGTAATGATTTGCTGTTTACTCCGTTCGCGCCCAAAAAGGTGGCCGGAATATGAATTGGGTGTTATATTGGGAATGATTTGAATTCATGAATTTGCAACGATTTGTTTACGAATTAACGGAGCACGCGTTGACGAGTAGGAAGCAAGTTCAAGTTAACACGTGTAGGGCTGTCACTAGAAAATTATGTTATTTTACATCACACCTAAAAACCTGATCATATCAATGATTATTACAACATCATTATTTAATTTTACTTTTGAATGAGGACCTGTCTCAGAATTGTGATTCATTTCCTCATGCTTTGCAAATTTTCCTTATATTTCTTCAGTAAAACCCATAGACGTAGCTAAAAATACATGAATCTTGTTCATGAATTTACAGCTTGGGTTACAGAATTAAGACAGGTAATATCGGGACGCAAAAAAGTGTTTTTATCAACCCTGTAATGATATTGTGCGCAGCCTCTCGGATGTAGCTACAGCACTAATTCCGCGCGCTCGATCGGAATCGCTAATGGCGCCCTCTGGCGGCGATCAGTATTCATTTGACGCGCCCTCGCAGCTGCTAGCGAAACGCTAAAAATACAGACACTCATGGTCGACATGGCCTTCCTTACCTGAACCACATAAACTGACAAAAACTGTTCCGGATCGATAAATTTTCCGACAGATTTAATCTAACGAATGGCATCTGATGTGCGACTTTTGATCCTTTTGAAACATGAGCTTCCATGGCTTCTAATATGGTGGTTTTAAACTTCATACGAATAATATTATACGAGAAGGAATATTAACTTTATGCTTATTATTGAATTACAACAGTTTTTACCATCGGAAAACTTATGAAAATATTATTTATTTCAGTAACTTTAAAGTCTTCTCTCGAATATTCTCTTAAAGTTACTTGGGTTTGATAATACAGGTAAAATGTATTAAAAGTCCATCATATAGGAAACATTTGACTATTTATTGACATAGGTAGGTATCTAAAGGAAGACACGTTGCAAGCCTTGTGTATATTAATATTGGCGTATTTTAATGTATAGAGAGCTAAGGCAAGAAAAAATATACATATAATTTTCTTTCGCAACATATTAGTTTTATACTATTTACAATATGACTATCGTATGTTTAGTAGTATTTCTTTACAGTGGTAAAGTTTCGAGAGACACATAACGTAAACATGGTATTGTTTTATAGAACACTTTGTATTTTAACATAGACTTGCCAGGTAATTTTTATTTAACTAACCATTACCATTACATAAATAACCAATCACTTATGACAAACATTAAAATTTAAAACGCTACTAAGCAAAATAAGTACAGACAAGTAAATATCAATAAAGAGGTCTTACATTAACATAAAAATCTCAATTCCAATATACTGTATTGAATTACGCCTGAAAGTACTAAATCTCATGAAATAGTAACTTGCCTGTTTAAACAAATTCAATAGCTTACCTATATAAAAATGTTATTTGGCAGCAAGAGATCATTTATACGTATAATATGCCACCAGGAGACTGAGACGTATTATACGAGTACACTAAAAAAAGAGCTATAAATAACTAAGAAGTAGTCTTCTTAACCTTGATTACACAAAAATTGTGCTTAATATTGAGCTCTATTTTTAAGTCTCATTCTAGATCTCTACATCGGGTATTCATAAGGTCTAGCTAGAATATGGGCCATACAAGGAAACCTAGAGCCATGTGGCTCTCACACAATATCTTAATGACAACGTTGACCCTTACTAGTAAGTCAGGATGAGTTAAAAGTCACAAAAAAATCCATTAACCTAGCAAACTGCATGCCACAACCCAGGTAAATCAATGAACCCTCTCTGAAAGACGTTGAGGTCGGAGTTGTCTCTGAGCCGCTCGGCCAGGGCTTTCTCTTGGGCGAGAGGATGCCATGCACCCAGCGTGCACGCAGGATCGTCGTGCGTCGAGTAGTAGTGGCAGCGACGTGTCGCACGCGCAGAGGGCACGTACTCAAATGCCCTTACTCGGTTGCACCTCTGTAGTGCGAACCATAGCCCTGGCAAATAAACAAACAAAGATGTTGGTAACAATACAGATTAACTTTATTTCTTTGTGGAGAAGCCGAATATAGCCCAAATAAATCATTAAATGTCTCTTTTTCAAATTGAAAATCTAAGTTTGATAAGTTCGTAGAATTGTCCTGAATCATACAGATGACAACCTCCGAGCGTAGGATGTCCAAACGGAAATTTTTCCAAATTGATTATACGACTACCTTATATGTAGAGCCCTACTACATACCTATGAAACCTGACGATGGAGGATTCCTTCTAAGTCTATAAGGCGATGAATCCTGCAGCACAGCCCAGAGATCCCAAAGGACTTGTGGTTTCAACAGATGAACATCGGCCTCCGGTCTCGTATCCAGTAATCTAAATAAAAGAACAATCATTAAATTAAACACACTTTAGGAAAACTAACCCCTACTATCAAGAGTTGTACCATTTCTTACATTTTAGACTCTCTTAATCTTTATAAACAATGCCAAACATACCTCAGAGACCTATTCTTACACAAAAATAGTAGATACCTTGAGCAAAGGAATATAAACTATCTGTGATAGAATAACATAACTTACCTCTTATAGACAGGAAACAATGGGAAGTCAGGGTGATAGTACCAGTCTTCCAATGTCGACGAGTAGTTCGCTGGGTCCCAGATTAATATGGAAATTCCTCTGTACAAAGGGTCTTCAAGGAATTTAAATTCCGGCTTGGTTACTACCTAAAAACATGCAGATTAGAACAAGTTTTCAACTGAATATAATGTGTAAAACTTTTCGTAGAAAATAACACCCATTTGAATACATTGTACTTAGCGTACTTTTTTGTATTCTAAAATAAATAATTTAATTATAAAACTTCGTGTTGATGAATGAAAAAATTACATACCTACCTGTGAATTGAGCACGCGAAATGTGGTTTTCGATCCAACGTCATCAGTATAGTTGACCGTCGGTGCATTGTTAAACCGCAGCACCATGTCGTGGGAATCTGTTGACAACCGCAGAGAATTTTCAACAATTGGAATAATAAATCGACAAATCATGAATTAATAAGTCATAGGTACATAGAACGACATTTTGCGTGTACTACGTTTTGATTCATAAGAACATGTAGCATAACTGAGTCATCGTAGCGTAGGTGTAAGACATCGAGTAAAAAATACAGTCAAGTTCTAATTGCTTTCCGTTCGAAGAAAGCAGGCGAGCAAAAGGTTCTAAAAAGGTTATCTTTGTTTAACAATACGCCTTTAAAAATGATTTAACGTTTGCAAAAATGTCAGCATAACAAAGATGCAATAAAAATCGTCACTTAAGCTTCCCATAAAAGCAAACGGTACAGATACTTGTTCAAAAATCAGGTCACAAATCGTGATGTATAAGTCATTGTAATATTTTTAATAATTCGAACAAGGCCCTTTGGTTCCACTGAAAAAAAAACACAATACTTTCAGAGAGCTGTAACCTCCGATTCCACTATAAAGATAAAGAATATTTAACTATTGAGAAGGACCTTGACAACGCCCATTTTGTATTTTCCGCTTCACTTGAGGAATTTTGAAACAGACTGAGAGAAATTTGCAACACCTAGGTATTTTATTATCAACTGCAATAGCACGTAATGTTATGTTATCTTGCTTAATAGTCTTTATACCAAAATAATTAATCCAGTATCTTTAATGTTAAATTATTACAATCAGGAACAAACGTTAATAAAAGTACACTATAAGCTATTATTCAACGGAAAATTATACATTTTCCCAGTCTATTAGAACTTTATCCACGATTTCAGGGTGGATGTTATCATTTCAAACCAACTGTTATTTTTTTTTATTTGTAAAGTCTAGGACGTATTGGACTGATACGATACACACAGACGAACATAGGGCTTGAAGCGACATGAACAAATCGGAACAATGGAAGTAAACAACGTGATTCTGTTTAACTACTTATGCGAGTTAATTATCAGCCTCTCACACCCATTAATGACTAATAACGCTCATTTTTTTTCTTCCTGCAATAATATCACTGACTTATGGCATTCATTTGTGCGACAATGAAACAGCAAGCGTGTACTACGTTTCACTTAGTAGGTATTTAATATTATGTAATTATGTAATCACATATTTTTGACAAGTGAATACTTATGTAGAGATCGTAAATATGAGGAAAATACCGAGATTCTTTCATTCAGAAACCAAAACTTTTAAATCTCAAAATACTACCTGAATACTCATAGCACAGTCGGGCAAAACAAGGCATAGTATTTTATGCATGTGCTTACTGACATAGTTTACTGCACATTTCTACAAAACAGTCAAAATGTGTCCCACGCTTCACTTACGAGTAGGTTCTCAAGTTAGATAGAAAACATTCCATCCAGTTTAATGGAAAATAAAACTGATCAATAATGTATGTGATGCATTAATACGCCATAAGCTCCTAGACAGGAATAACTACTTAAGATATCTTAACAACCGATCTTCTATTGTTTAAGTGTACAAAAACCCGACCGTGTCACTCAGCCATGTCTTACGTTCTTCGGATTTATTGGTCAATTAAAGGGAAATAAAGTTACGTAACACAAGACAGTGATAAAATGATAGCACATGTAATGGGCAGTTGCGAAAATAATTTATCTGTCATTGCTTTTAAACGGTTTCTTTCAGGTGACACAGCGCGGTGATTTGAACCAATTATCTCCTCTGGCTGACAAACGAATACTTATTTGCGACATGATTTGTTACTTAATTTCTTTCTACGCACTAAAGGAAATACTTATAGTAGCTAAGTACTTATAGACATTTTATTAGAAGTCATAGTTTTTTTTTCTTTTTAGGTGAGTCAGTGTTGACAGCGTTGATCAAAAATTAGGAATATTACTTGTACCTTACACAACCAGCTTTATACGTAGTAAAATAAATTATGAAAAAAATATATTTCTTTAAACAATTTAATTTTTCGCACCCTAAACACCCAATTACTCTTTCTTCCTTAGTCCTTTTTTCAACTACGTTACTAAAAAATAAGTCCTATGTTTGATGTTGAATGAATAATAAATTAAAAACTGTTTGTCGTGTAAATAAACACCCGCTCAATTTACATGCATCAAGATACCCACTCTTACTTTTTATGCAGACGACAAACATTATTGTACAACTTATTTACTCACATGCGCAAAATTCACGATTTTCCCTAAAAACAAGGAAAAGATGATCCTACGAACCTTATCCAGATCAACATAAAGTCTTCAGAGAAAAACACTCATAATACCTAGGTGCATCGGACTCGTCAAATAAATGAGTAATCTTACAGCAAGCAATAAAATGTAGGTACATCCTTCCGACAAAATTTAGACTGTGGCCCGGTTTCTGAATTGGATTTTTAGCTTGTGGGTATTCATTAAGGTTTCTTTTCTTATTATGTTCAAGCTTATGTAGAGAATGAGCACGCTCAGGTGCTTAATTTCAAATCAACTTTAGTTTTAAATAATTTATCCAGATGACTTTATCTGCTTGACTTTTATTTTATTTAAAAAAAGATTTATTTAAAGTATTAGGTATATGTAGGTAAAAAGAAAAATGAAGTTCACAAGCCTTCAGGCACACATTTGTTTGGGCCGCGGCACAAGAATCGGTCAGAGGCACAATAGTGGGCCTGGCCATGAATTATGCAGGCCACAAACGATCCTCGGTTGATGACACCGCTGCACTTGAGCATTGCAGCCACAACGCAAATTGAATGTGGTAATGAATGTGCTAGGTATTCACTTGCACATTCTACAAAGAACATACATGGTTCATACAAAACTATAAGGGTTCTTTGTCAGGACTACGGAACCCTAAAAAAGGGTACATTTCCTGATGCAAGTGCTTGTTTAACGGCCGAATACTGAAACGCCATTTTTCCGCGTCTCTAAAGAAACGGTGTTGTTTCTGGATTCATAATTTGGAAGCTCTTTGAAACCCCTCACCAAATGCCATACAACCAGTGGACCAAATACTTATTATAACCCTACTACCCTACTTTTCTACGCAACGGGAAGTTATGAACGTGTACTAGGTGATATCTTCCACATCTAACAGCCAACTGTGCATCGTATAGTGCACGAAGTAACAACCAAAATAGCTGCTATGAAATCGCTTTACATAAACATGCCTATTTCTTTCTGAGGATTATGGGGACATCGCATAACAGCATAATTTCCAAGAGTTGTTGNATAATGTATCCGTACCGTTATTGGTGCGGTAACGTTACCCGTTATAAAATATATTAGCGCGGTACTGCAACGTCGCTAAGGCAGTCGTTATTAAAAAGTTATGATCTTTTTTTTTTTTTTTTGCGCTACCCAATGGAAGTCCATAGATGCCGGAACTTTTACTATGAACGGACCAATCATAGGGCCGTTTCCTATCTGTCCCTGTCTCATCATGCATTCCAGTCAGGTGCGCAGATCGAGTTAACTGCGCACCTGGCAGCCATGACGTCACATCACGGTCTGGTACGGACGGGGCGAAAGTGGGGAGGTGTGCGGGTAAGCGGGAGGGAGAATTGCATTCCCGCGAGGTCTCGAACTACCAATCGATCAACGTGGAAAGCATTAGGGGAGGCCTATGTTCAGCAGTGGACGTCCTATGGCTGAAATGATGATGATGAGGTCTCGAACTGGATGTCGATCAGTCAGCATCTAGCACGAAAAACTTTCAACTTCGAATTATTTGCGTATTCGACGTTTGATACCCAGTCTACAATGATAATGTGACGATCTCGAATTAGATTGTCAAAATTGATTTGTACTACTATTTCTTATACTATTGTAAATTAATTTTCGTCACGTTTACAATATCGAATCGTTTGCGTATGCGAATCGCTCAATCGCCCCATGCCCTTGTGACATTTGTTTTATTATCGAGATCGAAGAGTGTGGTAAACATGACTTTATTTAAATTTTAAACTTGTATAAGAAATGCTAGCACGAAATCAATTTTGAAAATCGAGATCGTCACGTTAAATATCACCGTCAATGTGGTAAAGAGAAGGTTGAATAGTCGATAGCTTTTCGTGCTCGAGGCACTGATAGTAAGTAAGTGACGCAGGTAGGGGCTACACACAAATGCGCCATGCTTGTGTAGTAGTGTATTTTGTACCTCCGAAGACATCGCAGCGGCGCCGCGCAGTTGTCAAATCACATTTCTTACCTAGTTTTTAAAAAGTGTGAAATAAAAAATATTTTTCTAAATAAACCATTATTTATTAATCATTCAATATTTAAAATAATTTTTAATAATAATATTTAGTTTTTATGACGTGTAAAACCCATAAAAGCAAATAAATATTTTGATTTGATTTGATTAAAGCGCTTGCTGCGGACGGAGACCCAGCTTCGGTATTGGGACTGGAACAATAGAAATGCAATTATTTATATTACAAGTTAGTAACAACAACGGTCATAATAATAATAAATTTTATGTGAATGAAATTAGCCTTAATGAGCATATTGGCTATTCGGGAACGACCTGCACCCAGCTAGCGCTTCCTGCGCCCTAATCTATAGTAACTTCCTACTAAGTTCTCAGCACTTGCCAAATGTTGGTCTTATGATACCTCCATGGTCTTATGGTTGGTCTCGAATCGCTGGTAGGGCAAAAAGATGAGATGAGATTATGAGACATGTGAAGGCTCCATAAGGGCAAAACTGATTTTTTAATATTTGACGATTTGTAAGCACTTATAGTCCATGCAAATAAAGGATTTTTTTAAACCAGCAGATAGTGACTGAGTTTCCCATTCCATACTAAAGTAATGCGAGATTTAAAAGAAAAATATTGGAATCCTCGTTCAAATTAAAAATTACGGATTTTGTTACCTTCAGATCTTTTTCCCCGGGTCTTTAATAGCTGATGTCTTTGAACATTTTGCATACGTGCGAAAGGAGCACCTGCGGAGCACATTATAACGGGTTACCTTCACCATATCGAATTACATTTTGATCGAAAATCAAAATATCGAACACGTTTCATCGAACGATCAAAATATCGAATTTACAAAGGATCGAACGATCAAAATACCGAATGATTAAAATATCGAAAGTAGATCTTATGTGGCATAGTTAGGAAGATGGAGGTAAGGGTTCCTTGTTGACTATGGTACCCTAAAGTGGGAAATAAAAAAATGTGTGCCTACTTAAATGTTTTATTTACATTAATCATTATGACATTTAGGTAATTAAATAAATCATCTATATTGAGTTTTCGATATTTTGATCGTTCGATAATTTTTGTAAATTCGATATTCTGAACGTTCGATATTTTGATCATTCGATATTTTGATTTTCGATCAAATGTAATTCGATATGGTGAAAGTAACCCCATTATAACAATCTATACTATTACATTGTATCACGGATCACCATGTTTTAAGCAACTGAAATTATATGATTTGAACCTTTTAAGCGGTGGCCTCCAGTTCTCGATGACTGCTGGCGACGCTAGCGGCTCGGTGAACAGACGGCTTTCAAGCCAAGGTGAAGGAAAGGTTATTGATGGCAATGATTGTGCCTGCGTGTCTATAGGACTCTCATCAGGAGGTTCTGGCTTGGTGAACAGACGGCATTCGAGCGAGGCCGAAGGAAAGGTTATCTCTGGCTCTGGCGATGGTTCTGCCGGCGTGTCTATGGGATTCTCATCAGGAGGTTCTGGCTTGATGAATAGACGGCTTTCCAGCCAGGGCGAAGGGAAGGTTATCTCTGACGCTGGTTGTGCCTGCGTGTCTATGGGATTCTCATTAAGCCGTTCTGGCTTGATGAACAAACGGCTTTTCAACCAGGGCGAAGTGGAGGTTATCTCTGACGCTGGTTGTGCCTGCGTGTCTATAGGACTCTCATCAGGAGGTTCTGGCTCGGTGAACAGACGGCTTTCAAGCCAGGGCAAAGGAAAGGTTATCTCTGGCGATGGTTCTTCCAGCGTGTCTATGGGATTCCCATCAGGATCTTCTGGCTCGGTGAACAGACGACATTCGAGTGAGGCCGTAGGAAACGTTGTCTCTGACGATGGCTGTGCCTGCGTGTCTATAGGACTCTCATCAGGAGGTTCTGGCTTGGTGAACAGACGGCTTTCAAGCCAGGGCGAAGGAAAGGTTATCTCTGGCGATGGTTGTGCCTGAGTGTCTTTGGGACTCTCATTTAGCCGTTCTGGCTCGGTGACCAGACGGCATTCGAGAGAAGCCGAAGGAAAGGTTATCTCTGGCGATGGTTCTGCCAGCGTGTCTTTGGGACTCTCATCAGGAGGTTCTGGCTCAATGGACAGACGACGTTCCAACCAGGGCGGATTTTCATCAGACGACTCCGACTTAATTTTCATTTTTGGTACGACCTGAAATAAAATTATATATGAAACCTTTGGACCGACGATCTGGTGAAGGTCGCGGGAGGTGCCTGGATGCGAGCGGCGCAGGACCGTCTTCGTGGAAATCCTTGGGAGAGGCCTTTGTCCAGCAGTGGACGTCTTTCGGCTGAAACGACGACGACGACGATGAAACCTTTCTGTAAGCTTATTTTTTTGGTAATTCACTGAAATTCCCGAAATATTGACATTACACCCATAAACTTTTATTATTGTGAGGTTAAGTTTGTAAACTACAAGAGTATTTAAAAAACATTTCTCTATCTCTATCTCAAAACTACCTAATAAAGAGGCATTCAAAAACTTTCTTACCGCCATCTTTTATTTGTCTTTGGTTCCGTTTAAAAACGTAGAAAGCATTCAAAATAGAAGGCCGTGTTACAAAGCTTTGAAAATACAGAAGAATACTAAATACTCGACATTTTGACCTAACCTACAACCCGGTCAAGTTAAGCGCACCTCCCTGGAATGCCAGTCCCTCGCACTNGCGTTTGAGAATACCATTTAAAATTGAAGGATACTTAAATTTAGGAGCCCGTCAGCTGAGTGACAGATTTGAGTAGTGTTTCAGTATTCGGCCGTAAGAAATTGAAGCTAAACAATTTGAAACAAACACAAACATTGATGTGATTCGCAGCTGTATTTTTCCTATGAATAGCTAAGTGTTATTCTATGTACTGTAACTGTACCTAATAATAAATACATTTATCGATGAAACGTAATATTATTACTAATTAATAATAATATTACGTTTCATCGATAAATGTATAACTTGCTGATTGTCTCAAATGTACTGTGGCTCGCCAGTCTCACTGCATACAATGCACAAAACAACACGTCCTGTAACCACCTTCTTTTCCTATTAACAATTTCACACTGATTTATAATGTTTCAAAATAAGCATGTTTATTTTAAGAATAATGGCTTTAAGCTTCAACTTTCTAAGGGTCAGGTCACACCAAAAACTTCACTCTGGTAAACTAATGAAAGTTCATGTTTTCATATTCTAACAGCCACACTGAAGTTTGGAGTCACGCTGTGTGACAAATTACCCAGTTAGCACAAAGTTTTAGACGAAGGAACGTGTGAACAAGATATATCTAATGTCTACTGAAATAGTGCACTCATGCCTAGCACCAACTCGTAATAAAACTCACCAGGAATAATTAAGGAAAGGTGCTAGGAATATGTTTAGAGAAAACGGCAGATCTCTACACTACATACTTAAAATCTCCAAGCACACCTAAAATTATTGAAAACTTTTTAGTTGGGCTAATGTCACATTAATCACCTCTTTTTAAATGATTGCATTAGCGAAAGAAACGTAGGATGAGTATTTTAATTAGTCATACATACTTGTAAAAAAGAACACCCAATTCTCGGACTCCACAAAAGAATCAAATGTGCATCAGTCACTGAATGAATACTAATAAAGGTAGGAAGTTTTTGAGATACAACGAATTTATAATAGATTTCCTTTTATGCGGTCTATGACTACGGTAAAGAGTAATGAAAATTAATACCTACGGATATAAATTTTTTTAAACATCGTATAAGATTTTGGTACATGTGTGTTTTAAATTAGGTTCTCATTCGGTGAACTCGGATCTTCCAGGATGTTCCAGTATTATCCCGCTATTATGTATTGAAATAGCCATCTAGATTGTTTTATCGCAAATACATAACAGTTAAGATAATGGAATAATTACCTGCCTGTATACAAGGCAAATAGTTCCTACTACAAAGTAATGTAGAAGTAAAATTACCTGTTGCGATTAAATAAATAAATATTTTTTCTTTCTTTCTTTCTTTCTTAATAGTGATGCGGGTTACCTTTACCACAAATCATTAAAGGTTGCATCCGCAGGCACCAGGCACTATCTCTTCCTCTAGGATGACAATTTTTATTACCTCATCGATCATTCGATGTCGATACAAAGCAAACACGGAAATAGGCAAACAGTCGATAGATAGATACCATTGTTTCTTTGCTTTGTTTATAAATGAGTATTGTTTATTTACTAAGTGAGTATTTACTGGCTTATAATTTTTACTTACAAATCTTTCTACCTAGCTCTGGACGGACCTCCATCGGATGTTTTCAGTTTTCTTTTATATAAAATTACCATACACTTCAATGGAAAGTCAGAATACGATTAAGAAGACGATAAAGATTCGATTTAGAAATATTTGCAAGTGACTCTATAATATCGTTTCACTAATTTTCTTTCAGATAGGTAGGATGTCACTTTTTCAAGGAAAGTATTCAAGACAAGTTATTAAATTGTGCGTATTCTCTACCTATTCAAGTGACATGTCAGGCGGAGGCCGGTAAGACATGAACTCGTCTGGCCCACGTCTGGACAATAAAATGTTTCAAGAAAGGACAAAGCATTTTGTGGTTTTACTGTGACTAATGCAAATTATTATAACCGATATTGTAAAAGTGAATCATAGTACAATCAGCGGTTTTAATTTATTTACAATCAAACATTTTTTAGGACTGATTTTTCAATCATCAAATAACTTTTAACTGAAGAATAAATTTGTCATTTTGACATATTTCCCATACTGAAACTGTCAATATGCCAAACTTATTCTTTAGTTAAAAGTTATCCAACGATTGAAAAATCAGCCCTTACTTGTATAAAATAAGTAGGTAAGTAAGTATGCCCTATGCCAAGTCCGTACAGACACCGTTTAATTGAACTGCTACTAATGCATCTTTTCACTGCTATCTAATTTAATCGTTTTCTTTTGGGGGAGGCTTGTGTTCAGCAGTGGACGTCCTGTCCGTCCTGACGTTTTCACGTGTCCTATCCACACCTAGGTACTATGTGAAAATCTTATTTACCTACCGACATTGTTCTCAGGACCAATTCAACAAATTTATGGAATTGCATACTCAACAACCATTTGCAGCACGTAAAAAGAGTGATCGAATTAAATAAATGTGCGATAAGGCTATCATGCCAACTATTAGCATAGATTGTATGTGTATTATGCTGGATTTCCCGACACTAGCCGACGCACCGGTTTTACAGAAAAGGGCCGCAGGCGCCGGCGCCAGCGCATTCCACTTAAAGACATCTCTATTCCTTCCAAGTCAATCAACATAATCAGTAAATCAAAGTTGATAAGGTCGTTTATTCTATGCATTGAAATGTAACCCATTTTCTTTCATCGTCTGCACCTGATTGCCTGTTTAAAATATTGGGTTCGTATACTAACTAATGTACCACTCACTGCTGCTGTTTAACTATTTGAATACTCGTACAAATAAATTCTTTTTTACTGAATTTTCCCGAGTAGGTATTTAAGCTCGACTTTTTATTGCAATAATTTCAGTTGTCCAAAATGCATATCCCACATACGAGNCCCTGGAAAAGTACTCTAGATACGCCAATGGCGCCAGAAAAGTTCTCGAGTAACCACGTCCCAGAAGACCAGCAGCGTAGAACCGGTCTTTGTGGAAATCTTTGAAAAGAAGTATTTTATTCAGCATTTAACATTTTATGTGCATACATAATGAATTTTAGTTGAAGCACTTGAGGGAGGCCTTTGTACAGCAGTGGACGTCATTTGCATACCATGGGGCAGCCTCTAGGCCCGCGGACCACGTAGTGACGCTGGTGTAGTTCGTCCTGCCACGTGTCGCATACATACGTCGCGCATGACACGCAAAAGAAGATGAACCTGCAGTGAATGTTCTATGTTATCAACAGTATAAGGTCAGTTTTATTTAGTCGCTTTACATTGACTGTTAACTTAACCTTTTAAAGTGAATCTCTGGTGTCTTTTGTTTTGGGGCAAACTCTAAACTCTAAATGATCTAATGGTCTAACAGTGGTCATCTCTGGGCTTAAACAAACAGTAGGTAAATAATTATAAGTAGAACATAGTTTAATAAAGCCTAGACAGACAGATAGTACGAGTAGTATTATATTATCTGTGGTACGAGCAAGAAAAGTGAGGCAACTTTTGGATGGGGCTTCATTACCAAATGCAGAAATCATCCGGTCAACACACTGTTTTTGTGTTAAACCACTTCAAAAGTCATAATAAATCATCGCTCTTGAATTTTCTCGAGTCAATTTCATTTTCTCAACGACTAAACAAGTTTGACAAGACCTTGTGATACGACCGAGAATCTTTTTTTAAATAAATAAATGGTATACGATTTTTAAAACCCTGGAGTTTGCAATTAAATAGATTTTAATATGACTGGAACAGTGGAAATATTCCATTCCCGATACTTTTAGTGCAGCCCTCGTACAGTGTGAGTCACGTTAAAGTGTACATATGAAAATATATAAAACTAGACCTGTTTTTATCGACAAAAAAGAGGTCAAAAAATTTTTGAGATTTTTTTTTTATTTTTTATAGATTTTTTTTTCTTCCAATTACTTATTATAAAGAAAGCGTAATAACTTTTAAACTAAGCGGTATATCCTAAAAATAAAAACAGTAATAATTCTAAATAACAGGAGATACTAAAAAAATACATAAAATACACAAAAAAGGCCAAAAAATAATAAAAAATTATACTTTTTGAAAAAAATCTGCTTAAAAATTCGTGTTTTTTTGGTTATTTGATAAATTTCTCCAAAAAATGCCCCTATAACCGGTGGTTTTTATTACTTTGTATTGTTCTCTATCGTATTATCTTTGTAAAACCAAAAATCGCATGTCTCTATCCCTATCACTACATTTGCTATAATCGTTTGAACAAAGGCCTGCCACAACATTATTCTCCGCTACAGGTAGAGACAATTTTAATTTTAACTAAATTGCTTATTATACTTCAAAATCTTTTGTTTTTATTTGAAATCTAACTTGTCTTTATCAAAATTACAAATCTAGAGCCATTTTCAGTTTTGTTGTTAACGAAGCGTTGAATGGCGCGCCCGGAGAGGCTTAGTTCAAACGATCATTGCAAACGTTGTGATAGGGATAGAGACTTGCGATTTTGGTTTTACGAAGGTAATACGATAGAGAATAATACAAAGTAATAAAAACCACCAGTTATAGGGGCATTTTTTGGAGAAATTTATCAAATAACCAAAAAAACACGAATTTTTAAGCAGATTTTTTTCAAAAATTATCATTTTTTATTATTTGTTGGCCTTTTTTGTGTATTTTATGTATTTTTTTAGTATCGCCTGTTATTGAGCATTATTACTGTTTTTATTTTATCAGGATATACCGCTTAGTTTAAAAGTTATTACGTTTTCTTTACAATAAGTAATTGGAAGAAAAAAAATTCTATAAAAAATTAAAAAAATGTCTCAAAAAATTTTGGACCTCTTTTTTGTCGATAAAAATAGGTCTAGTTTCATCTATTTTCATATGTACACTTTAACGTGACTCACACTGTATAAGTAGGCACTCCTTTCCTCACCTTGCCTATGGATAAACTAAGCAGATAATATAAACGTAGCTTACTTATTAACTAGTATTTATATTTCCATGATTATGATTAAGATGATAAGTAAGAATGTAGGAAATCTGTGTGAAACCGTCTAGTCTTACGATGTTATTCGTTATTTTACACGTTATCTCGAACAAAGTTAGAGGAAAGTCGTAAGTGACATCCTAGTAGTTCCCTTGTTTGATACTTTTGTCACCTTAAGCTCTTCTAAATTAAGACTGACGATAAAAATAATGACTGTTGTGGTATGTAGTAATATCTGAGTTGTTTTTGTCAACTTTAATGGCTTAGGATTGAGTGGGTGATATCACCTGGAGATCAAAGTGAAATAAACCTTTCGGCAAGATATCAGCATATCAAACCAATGCGTTCCCGCGAATTTAAATCGCATCATGAATACTTCAAATAGTAGGTATATCTCAATTCTCATGTAGGTAAGGTAGTTCCCTTACAGTTACATCCTATACAACGATAAGTAGTCCTGTTTAGCACACAGACATCGTGAGTAGTTCGGAGTTTTCATAAAAAAAATAACAAGTGTAGCAAGACAAACAGGGTTTTTTTAACAGGGCTTTCATTCATAGTTTTATAAAAACCTTACGAACCCTCAGAGAAAAAAATGATTTAAGTAAGTAGCGGAACTATCAGTGAATAGACCTCAATGAGACTAATATTAATCATCATAGCTACAAGAAAGCTTTCAAAACGGTGATAACAATCAACCCGATTACACATCACTCTATCATCGGGGAATCAGTAAAACCCTGTTGACAGTGAATAATTCGAGTAATTCGCATACGATTTGGACCGTTCGCCGAAGAGCGCCGCTTGCGCATGCCAATGCGAGTCACAAAGCGAAGATCCGATGCGATAACCACTGCACAATGCTCGGTCGATCACCTACCGCTGCTATTTATGTAGTCGGTATATTGGTCAACAATAACTGAAGTTATGTTTTAATAGTAAAATTTGATATGAAAAAGTGGTCTCTTTCATATTATTCTTATAATATTGTAAGAGTAGCCAATAAACAACATAAGTCGCGCCTTTAACGTACGTAAACAGATTGTTTTTTATTATGTTGTAAAATTCCAAAATTCTTAGATGCTAAGATTGCTAAGAATAACTTGGTGCTATATGTGTACCTAAATAAGTAAGTTAACTCAAATAAAGAGATGAAAGCAGCTAATACCTATGCTTGTGTGAGATTCACTTTTCTAAGTGGAGCATACCTACGCGGTTATTTCGAGCTATTGTCCGGAAACCAAAACAGGCAAGTAAATATAGTAAAGCTTGCTTAGCTATATTTCAAAAGCACAACTAAGTAAGTAAGACAATAACTGTAAACAGAAAGGTAAGCACTGTAGCTCTATAGTTGCGTCTAGCGAACACTCACTGCTGCCACTGCTGCCAACTCATGTCCAATATGAATCACCGCTTGGCCGCTAATAAATTATTACAATGATAAATGACAAAAGCTTTTCAATGTCACGTAGTACCTTCATTACTTTTTATTCGGGAAATCAAATTGTTACCATACCCACACTCTATGATTCAAAAGGAAAATTGCACCTACCTATGAATTCTCCTAAACGTGAGCCCAGTAACGCTCCAGCATTGGTGACTACCGCGCACGTGTTGAAGGCTCTATTTTCTTGTAGAGCATTATCAGCTATGTGAAACCCAAGTCTCGCAAAAGGCTCATCATTAGAAGTCACAGTCTGGACAGCAACTCGCTTCAGGGCACATAGAACTTCCTCTTTGGAAAGCTCTTTTCGATTCGCATTTTCGTATTTCACGTCATAATGATTCTGCGAATCTAAACCCGACCGGAAAACTTTACTTTCAGCCATCAAAACTCGATGGAACTCTTTCAGCAGCAGCTGTCTAAATTCCGCTGTTTGACTCTCACAAGTCTCGCTGAGGTAGTCATCGCACATATATCTATCGCTGTCGAACTCCAGTATAGGTTTGTGTATGTTCGGGAATCTCGGGCTTCCTTGACTTTTCCTCACTATATTATTGGACGGTCGATCAGGCGAGCCAGAAGGTTTCGCCTGTGCCTGTCCTGCACCGCTCCAGTACGATCCGATTGCGGATCTCCTATTTTTACGAATAGAATTAAGTTGGGTATAATTCGACGGTGTATTTGAGTTGTATTTTCCCATGTAAACATCCTGGCCTGTTAACGCTGTTCCCGTCCGCTGTACGGTGCTTGGTGGCGACTTGTTAAAAAGCCTCTGTCGCTCAATATACATCCAATATTGAGACCAGATTAGATAGAGATATCCGCACATACCAAAACATAGGAGATTGATGAAGACCCACACAGACATCGCGGCAGCTTTCATGTTGTTATTTATGTAAAGTGTTAAAGCCACTTCGGAATAAAGCTTTTGAGTTTTGAGCGTCAGAACTTATCTCACGTATTTATTGTAAGTTATGTGAAACGTTTAAGAGGAACACTGTTTTATTGAGGCTAAGGGAATATACATAAAATTCACAACCAGTATAAACAACGGAAGGCTCCATTGAGACGAATCGTAAAAGCAAGGGCGGAGCGCGATCAGCTGATAGGGACCTTTAGCGCGCCTGCGCGGGATATTCGGCAAACGCCGCAATATTCCACTAATGGCATGTGTTTAGTTACGAAATGGCCATCATTAGGGAAATATTGAAGAAAATTTAATTCCCGATACAAACTTTTTTGTATTTGTAGCAAAAATATGTCCGAAACTTGAAAACGAAGACAATGTTTAGTTACGAGGATGTAAAACTTTCAAATCATTTTTGTATAGCCAGAACTTTCAATAATTTCCTCAAGTTATGTACAAAGTGGTCTAATAAGTAGGTAGGTATAATTTATTTAATTGATGTAATGTAGGTAATTTTTAAGATAAAGTCGGTTAATAATTAGTAAAATTGTTTTTATTTAATGTATAAATAATAAATATAAAACAAATATTAGGATACGAATGACAACATCACAACCAGATCTACATAGGTATTTTAAAAGCATTGAGTACTTAAACTTTATAGAGTTGAAGAATGTGACGCGTGGTTTGTACGATTTGGTTTAGTTAGGTACATAATTAAGTTAATTAGCCTTATTTATAATTAGGTGTTAGGTTAAATCTATTATCACAATGGGACATTTATAAATTCTATGTTTAAGCTTAATTGGTTCTTTCGATAGGATATGCTTGGTTAGTGATTCAATAAAAAAATTGGGTACCTATCTAACTAGAAGCATACATAATAATATTAGAAATACATCAACTATTGACTATCTATCTATATCTAATGTCCTTTCTTTATTATTAATTTTAATAACCATTTGACAACAATACCATTAATTTGACAACTAAACCCGTTAATTACAATAATAGATTATATCGTATTTTGTTAGACCATTATAACTTTTTTTTCCTATACTTACAAGCTAATAATTGCTATTCATCAGTGACTAGAAGACTTAAACAAAACTTTATTTTTTAAAAATTATAGTATACAAAAACTACCGTAATATGAATTATACAACTCATACTACATTTGGCACTATACTATTATTATTTTATAACAAAATTATGACTTCAGTATATAAAATGCATACATAAATGACAACGTACCTATTTATTTTTAGTTAGTGGACTATACCTTAGCGGGTCTTGACATTCTACCGCAGTCGACCGCTCAGTGTAGCTCAGCCTGTCTAGTAGTTAGTATACATAGAAGTCTATAACAAGTTGTTTTTTTACTCAGTTTCAGTCAATGCCTAGGTACAATAGACAGCACATCAGAAAATACAATTTTGTGATAAAGTATATGACATTAGTTACAAACAAACAAACTTAAGTACATTGCAGTCTTCAACATATTCGAGCCTGAATAGCAGACAGCACATTAGACAACATACTTGTCGCAAAATCAAACTTATTACTATAAGGTGTCACTGTATTTACCTTTAAGTGCTGTCGTTCATATACATTGTATATATAATGTATACAGGGTGTTAGGTAAATGGGTATATGAGCCGACACTAGCCCATGTTAGCATGGGCATATAAATGGTATGGTGAAGTCAGAAAATTGATATCATTTTAATTTTTTAAATTTTCACACAAAATAAATTTTATAAAATCCGATTTGTAAGAAAATTAAAATGAAGATATTAATTTTCTGANGTATATATAATGTATACAGGGTGTTAGGTAAATGGGTATATGAGCCGACACTAGCCCATGTTAGCATGGGCATATAAATGGTATGGTGAAGTCAGAAAATTGATATCATTTTAATTTTTTAAATTTTCACACAAAATAAATTTTATAAAATCCGATTTGTAAGAAAATTAAAATGAAGATATTAATTTTCTGACTTCACCATACCATTTATATGCCCATGTTAACATGGGCTAGTGTCGGCTCATATACTCATTTACCTAACACCCTGTATTATACATTATAGTATGAAGTCCCAATACAAGTAACTATCCTAAGTGTCAGAGACCATGGAAGTTTTTGTTATCCTATGTGCTGTTTATTTTTGTGGTACTTTCATCGCGTATTGTCGTTCCATCGCGCATACGGGGGCGGTTCAGGCGTCGAGTCGCGTCGCGTCATCAGCGTCGAATAGTGGAGTAGAGGGAGGATGGCCACGCCAAACACCATCGCACCGAATGTCGGTTTATGGAGCAACCTGTATAAAATATGAAAATTTTATGGTACCAATTTTGGATACTTGTTTTATAGGACTTATTACTCAAGTCACAATTTTATAACCAATGGCTCAAAAACTGTAAATCACAACCGCAAAACTATAATTGATTGCGTATCGATACAAAAAAATAATAAAATAAACAGACTGTCACATTATCTTTACAAAAAGGAAGTGATAAGAAAATACGTTTAGATTGTAATTTAAGTAAAGCGGCCCGAGAAATCTCCTTAGAAGTTTCATAGCAATTCAATGGTCCTGAGAAATAGGGGCATGATAATTTGATTTGATTCATGGTCATGACAATAAGATTATTTTTTTGGGCAATACTCACCATGGTATTGATATTACTAGCAATGTGTATGACACTGATAAGATGAAGTTGACCCACACTCTAGTACAACGTCTTAAGCTGCTTGAAATCCACTGACATTGGAGAACTGTAAAAAAATAGATATACATTCTAATCATGTCAGGACTTTTTAAGGGCACTTTACATTTTAGTTCGAACTTCCTAATTACTAAATCACAGGAATACTCACAAATCGTGATCCATTCAGGATGAAGCGTCATAGCTGATGCAAAGACTTGAATGAAACCTAACAGTCTATACTTCCATGTATGAGTATTGGCGTCTCGGCGTTCCAAATCATGCAGCTGTTTCAAGCTATATGACCCTTTGCGTAGCAGCGATATAGGGTCTGCAGTTGGAAAATGTGTTGGACTATATGGCTGTAATGTTCCACTTTCAACTACGCCAACTGCTGTGTACTGCAACAAGAAATTGATCATGTTAAAAATAATTTCCAAAGGAAATTTTACACCACCCGTACTGCATTGTTACTTAAAGGCGTAGGATCGGGCAGCAATAGAGACAAGCAACCAAGACAAGAGCCCGAGACGGGAGACTGCGACCGTTACTTGACTTCATTCAATGTATCAGTTTGCTAGCGAGATAGAAAAACAGAGACCTTTGATGCACATTTTGGTGACTTTTGGTTGGTTCAATCATAGTTTGTGGTGTTATAGTGACTAACACAACTAAGAAATAATTGATTTATTTTTGTTTCAGAAATCAATACTAAAATCTATCTTATATGACCTAATATGATAAATTATTGCTTCTTACAATATCATCCTCTCGCCCAGCATAAGAAAAATGTATTCGAAGATCGCCGATCTGATGTTCTAGAGCACTCTCGCCATGATAGTAGAATCCAGAATGTAGCTTGATGTCATTGCGCTCTGGTTTTGAATCAGACCAAATTTCATAGTAGTCATTCACCTTTCTTTTTACATCTAGACCTGAAATAATGAATACAGAGCCATTAAGAATTATACCATAAACAACCTTGTCAAAGACACAGTTAAACCAGGCCTGTTTATCTCCGCGAGTTTACATCGAAAACAAAACACGCACGATGGCCCACCTACAGGATACTATTCGACAAGGCCTCACATACGAGCGAACATTGACTCACGCACGCGTATTCTTGTGTATGATTGAAGAAGATAAAGAAAATGGTGTACTAAATACTGTGCAGTATTTAACTGCCTAAATAATAATAAAAACACAGAATGTACTTTTTTAAGTTGCCTCAAGACACTGAGAGGTAAATAAGTAGTTAATATTATTCATGATAGATAATTCATGTATTTCCTCCGCCATTTTCCGCAGTTTGGCACCTCACGTCACATCATTTTACCGAAGTCAGCCCTATAGCTTCGGCGCAGTGCCGATCACTGACGTTTGTCAACAAAATGGGCCTTGACTAGGGTTCCCAACCCTCCCGGATTGCCCGGGAGACTCCGGAAATAATAGTTAACCTCCCGACCTCCCGGAGAGCAATATTTTCTCCGGTATTTCTAAAAATTAAATGCATCCATTGCTGCTCGTACTCGTGTATAAATTTTATCTGTAAAATAACCAATCACATGGACCAGCATTACTAAACTCCAGGAATGATTAAATATTGACATAGATAGTGACAAATTGTACGATGAGGTTGGACTTTTGCGTGAGGTGCAACCACATCTTATTGAAGAAAATCGAGTGGATTTACGCTGGGTTGACTTCTTTACGAAATCGAAAGACAGAAATCCTTGTCCTGAATAAAAAAAATGGTCGCGTTTGTTCTTTCCATTCCTGTCTCTATTAATGCTTCATTCGAGCGCGTATTCAGCGTGATGGAGCAACTATGGAGCAAGCCCCCCCCCCCCACAATTCTCCCGGGTTCCCCCCCCCCCACAATTCTCCCGGGTTGGTCCTTTCAAGAGTTGGCAACCCTAGCCTTGACTCTTGAGACAGGCTAAATTACACCATATTTTTAATGACATTGAGCATAATTTTTTTTAAATACCTTCGCGAAGTAAAACTTCTGTACGTAGTACTTATTATTATTCTGTGGTTAAACTTCTATTAAGAACTTTTTTCAGCAGAGCTCAAATGCTTGACTTAGGACCTGAGCAAAATATGTATAGCCTGACCAGGAACATAAAAACCCTCGCCATGTTGCGGAAAACTAATGGTACTAATTTCTTTTAATGGCAACAGTAACTAAAAACTTCATTGACATGTCACCTTGCATGTCAGTCTATTGCTGTCAAAGTGTAAACAAACTTTATTTTAAATGTGCGCAATTGATTTTGTGAATGAAATTGCTAAAATCTTTTTATAGTCGTGAAAGAAAAGTGGTTCACAATGTGTTAAAGTATTTGTCGAAGAGAAATACCAAGGGTTCGGACAATATTTTCATTGAAAATGTTTCCAATAAAGGTTGTCAAATTGACTGACATGTTTATCGTATAGTACAGTCCACTATGAAAATTAGCTGTGGTTTGTTTCAACTACCTATTTTAAAGTTTTTTGTCACTTTCTAAAAGTTGAATTTTATGGAATTGGGAAAGAAGTACCGAGTTTGAAGCGTTCATGAGCAGACATTGCAGTTGAATATTCAAGTTCTGAATTTGATTATTGATGAATAATAAAATAAATCCTACTAGTTCAATTGATGGTTTCATTTAATTTATTTAAACCAGGTTACCTATAATAATATTTTTCGTTAATTTATGAAAATATCAAATTAGCCCGTAATCCTGAATCCTGAAACATAAAGTTAGCCTATTAATTTAACACAGGTACGACTGTACTCAGTGTTGCACTATCAAATGCAATTGAAGCGCCTCTATGCCAGGGTTTTTATGTTCCTGGTCAGGCTATACAGTTATGAATAAACAAGGTTCAATCCAAAATCCCTACTTTGTCTATGGCCCTTGTATCAACATGCTGGCAAATGTGCAAGGTATCAAAGCCCTTTTAAATGTTTTATGTATGAAAACTTTTTTTTTTATATTAACATTATCAGAATGGAATTCAATCAAAGGTAATTCAACTTACTTAAAAGCAAACAGCCAATTTTAACATTCTCAGCTATATGAGTTTCACTAAATAAAGGCATTGAAGCAGGGTTGTGATGACCAGGTCTGATGTAGAACAAGGAAGAGTCAACAACATAGTCTCTCCAGTCTTTGTGGTACCAATAGGTTTTCTGGGATTCATCACCAGGCTCCGAAAGGAAATTTTCTTGATCACTGAAAATAAAAATTAAAATTTGTAAATAAAAGGCGCTTGTTCCCAACGAGTCACAGCCAAACCAGTAACACTGTTACTCGTTTGGTAACCTGTATTTTCTTATTGTAAGCTATAGATTACTTAATCATTTTGATCTTCAATGTATTTTGTACATTACTTCTTTAAAATGAAATGACATATCCTGAAATCTAATCTGTAGGTAGTTCAAATCAAGCAAATATAGGTAGGTACTATCAAGCTGATAAAACTTACGTAGTCTCCTCTATCCACTGATACATCTGCACTCTTTTACGTAGTTTCACAGCCTGCACTTGTATGTTGTAATCGGGCTCTGATATTGGTTCAAGGATCCTTAGAGGCCCCACAATATGTACAACCCGGCCCTCAAAGCGTGCTGATTCATCGTTTGTGTGCACATCTATACTCTCTGCATGTGATACTAACTCTTCTAACATCAAATTGCTTTGAATCGTTTGAGTCTGAAACATTTTTTTAATAAATAAATAATTGATTTTTTTTTATTTTATGTATTTATTTATTTTATAATAATACATTACATTAACTTAAAATGACTTAAAAACTAAAATTTAAAAATTACTAATGATAAAAACTATTTACAAAATAAAAAATACTAATAATAAGTAATACATAAAAACTACTAATAAATAATAAGTATTTAAAAAAAAAAAAAATAATAATAATTGATACACAAATTAATACTAAAAAAAATTATTTAATAGGTTATGATTAAATAATAATTACCTCAGCCCAAACCAAAAAGTAGGTGACTCCAGTAAATAAGATAAGACTGAGCAGCGTAGTCAACCAGGTCTGTTTGAAGTGATTCCTCACCATTGACCAATCCATCTTCAAATAGTAAACCAGCAGTAATATGAAAAAAATAGTAGCATTTATAGTAAACGCGAATTAATTAACTCAGTTCATTAGCCAAACATCCTTCCCCGATGTTCAATACTTACTAAATTTATGCAAGATAGATGCTACTTGCATGATTACAAATAAATAGAAATTTATTGCACTAAGATTAAAAGCTACGAATTTGTTAAATAATGCGGTTTTTAAACCAAAAAGACTGATAATTCCGGGTGTGTGTAACCTACAAGCTTAGATTAATAAAACAAAAAAGGTTTTATTAATCTAAGCCTACAAGTTTGTAATTTGTTGTTATTCTATGCATAGATATATTTATACAATAATTTATAGGTCTTAACATTAACCATACCTTAGTGTGCGATCTCAATCGATACTTAATTAATTCTTCATTAACAAATTCAACAGGAAATAATTAAAAATGTTTTCCTCAGTTTTCCTGAAGTGAACCAATTGACATTTCATTTTTGACAGAAACTTTGATGTGTCCGTTTCGTTCTATCCTAGAAGTACGCACGTTACGAGCTCTGTGGTACCCACTATCTCTCAGTACAATGTTGTATAATATCATAAATCTAGAACTAAAAAAAAGTTTAAAAAGTAAAATGTCAATGTCAAAATTTTCGTAGGTTATGTTTTTGTTATTGTGCGCTTGTTCCTTAAAATAAAACGAAATTTATAGCCTTCTGTTTTATTAAATGAGTTGATAAAGAAATTAATATGTGGTGCAACAGACGAGTTTTCAGGTCTTTAAGACCTTGTCAAATCAAATATAGTTTCTTTGATTTTTCTTATCATAAATGTTATCACAAAATGCCCTTTCTAGATTTTTATGAAAAAACCACAGGTAATTAAATGATTTTGGTTTTAAACACCAAATTAACATCTAACGAGTGTTCATAACTGCCAAGCACTGGCATATTAAATGGCTAAAACATATGCAACTAACTCAAGCTTGTGCTAACTCGATATGGTGATCGATCATGAACAGTCTTTAATACTGTATCGCTAGAAAAAGGCATAATTTGCTTAACAAAATATTCTGTAGTTATCACACTGTTATAAGTATATTATATTTCTTTTTATAAAGTATTTCAGTAATTTCCTTTTTAATTGCAGGTCAAAGTATATCAGAGCATGAACTTCCATTTTTAACGAAAAAGCATCCCAATATTGAAAGCTTGACACATGATGGTTTGCAATACACTCTACAAATATTGGGAAAGTTTGGTATCACTCCTTCGGATGCTTGTGCAAACATTCATCTATTTTCTATGAACCCAATATCAGTGGATAACTACGGGGAAATCCTTAAAGAATGTGGCTTTGTGAATATTGAACCAAAACACATAATAAGGTATGCAGAAGAAAATATTTACTAAGAAAAACATATCTTAAGTGTAATTTGTTGTTCTTTTTTATTAATCGTTTATCTTTATCTTATCAATAGTTATATGAGTATTTATTTTACAGATATCACACAATAGTTAGGTCAAGGACGATTAGTGAGCTGAAAAAACAAGGCCTTATGAATAAGAATTTTAGCTTAGAACAAGCTCTATTGGACTGCTTCCAGGAATGGCCATCAAATTGCAAGACATTACAGAACTTTTCTGACTACAACACTTCTATTTGTACGTATTTAATTTACTTTTTCGACCCGCATTATTTGTGTCTGACTTAAAATTATATACTAGCTCTTTTATCATTTTAATAAAGCCTGTTAAAAAATTTTGTCTGAACTTTAATTTTTTTTTGTGTTAATTTCTATCACAAAGTATGCCCTTTTTTATTTAAAAAGCTGTGATAAAAGCTATATATTTTTAATAAAAATTGTACTTTACAGTGGCTGTTCGTATGGGTGTGTTAGAAAAATATTTACACTGGAGATTAAAGGCAACCCCTGAAGATTTCCAAAAGTACTGCAAAAACTACTTGCCCTTAAAGCATAAACCAATGTCGGATATCAAAGAAGCTCTAAACTTAGCACAGAATGAAATTAAATTTGACGTAGAGTTGATAAGGAGAAATGGTTTTGTTATATCTACAGACCCAATAAGGACAAAGTTGATATTAGAAAATGTTGACACTTTAGCGGGCATGGATATCAGAGAAGCCATTCGAGTAGAACCAGGCTTACTGAAAAATAACCACATTGCCCTCCTAGAAGTAAAAAGTTTATTAGAAGTAAGTAAACCTATGGCTATTTACAAAATACTATACAAAATACGTCTGTAACTATAAAAATGGCTCATATGTTTATAGGAATATGAAATATCAACCGAAGCACAGCAAAGGTGTCTCCGAGTGTTTTGCATGCGTGCACAAACAGTCAAAGAACGCTTGGATGAATTAAGGCAATTAAAAGAGTATCAACTGCTGGCATCAAACCCCAGAGTAAGTCAATATTTTTTTTTCTGATCTTGTTTTTATTAAAAAATATTTATTAACAATAATGCTTTTAATTCATATTAAGTTCTTTGAAGCTGACTAAGTTGTTTGTTTTCAGATTTTAACGTTAGTAGTTCACAAAAGAAAAATGATGTCACGTCTTACTAGAATACAAGCAGCAAAGAAGCAATGTTACAGTTTGAATAACCTTGTTTCATCCAGTAAAGTGTTCAACAAGTGAGTACCTCAAGCTTGAACTTAACTATCAGTACTTTTTTTCTTACAAAATTAATAGATACTTTAGTCCTCAGTTAGTTAGTGCATCAGTAGAATTGTAGAAAAAAGTTAATAAAGACTCATATGGGGCCATCCATAAAGTACGTCACACGAATTTCATGATTTTTGACCCCCCCTCCGTCCTTGTCACAGGTGGTCACATTTCTGAGACCCCCCCCCCCCCTCCCTAGTGTGACGTCACATGTTTTGCAATTTCACATCGAAAAATTATTCAATTAACAGCAGTTCCGAAATTAGTTTTATTTCTATTTAAATTAAGTATTTTTTTATATGAAATCAACATTATATCAAATATTTGAAACAATTGAAATGTGATGTCACGAAACTTAGGANCCCCCCTCCCTAGTGTGACGTCACATGTTTTGCAATTTCACATCGAAAAATTATTCAATTAACAGCAGTTCCGAAATTAGTTTTATTTCTATTTAAATTAAGTATTTTTTTATATGAAATCAACATTATATCAAATATTTGAAACAATTGAAATGTGATGTCACGAAACTTAGGACCCCTCCCACCCCTTGTCACACCATGTCACACTTTGTCAACCCCCTCCCCCCTCTTTACGTGTGACGTACTTTATGGATGACCCCTATTGACTAGACGAAAAATGTCTTGCAACAACGACGTTTTTCCTACAATACCCTTTGCCACATGTGTATAAGGGCTATATTTCACCGGGACACCATTCATACCAACAAAATGTATACAGCTTTGCGCAACCAAACGGACACCAGGTGAGTAACTCTCTATAGAGCTGTATACATTTTGTTGGTAGCCGGCGACTGGTTGCGCCGCCACGGTGTCCCGGTGAAATATAGCCCCAAGTCTCACGACATTAGACCCAACTTAATACGAAATTTTAATTTCATTAAGATTTATTTTTTTCATTTTCTAGTTTCATAAGCGGCTTCGGCAACAAAGTCTGCGGGCGCGACATCGCCATACTTATAAGTTCAGCTGTCCACGGAAACTCCAAGATGACAACCAACGAAGCAATCAGGGACGTGGCCCAAAGACTGAAAAGACACAAGTACTGGCTACACGCAGCCCTGAGCGTTGTCGACGAAAACTTGCGATTTCTCAAGACGAAATTCAACAACGATATCATACTCAATCACTGTCAAATACTTCTGTATCCTATGTAAGTCAGCCGTTTAAATAAGGCAAAATCAATATCAATTGAATGATGTAGGTCATACACACACACATTCCCGAGGGGACTCTTATGTGATTGAGTACCTATAGTATATAGCTGATGTGATTGGGTTATTGACGTAATGAATCGTCTTCTGATTGTGTTGTAGCGTTGCAGTTTTGGCTGTTTTTCACAAATTGATTTTCTTTCTCGATATTCTGATTTTGGATACCACTAGCGACATCTATTGGCGTGATTCAGAACTAATTTGCAATAGATGGCGCTTTTTGCTCAGTTAATTGAAATATATTTTGATGAAACATTTCCCAGGGTTTTTATTTTGATTATTCTATTTTTAATAGAATCTTTTCAGTGTTCAGGAGATTGTTTTCATCATGGTTTTTATTAGTATTTGCTTTTTTTAATGGGCGGCGAAACGGAACGTCTCGCGACATCTCTATGAATCGCGGCTGTCAGTTGAGCTGTCAAATCACTTTGGAATTTTGGTCGATCTTGCGCAACCGCAATTTTATTGTTTTCTGGGATGTAGTTCCCTGTGTTTCAAATCGTGGAATGCAGAATGCATCCACGATAATTTCTTAATATATTTTTAAAATGATCACACATGAGGTAAGTTCCCGTCGGAGAATTTATTTATTTTTCGTGATTGATAATTTTCGTATTCCAGTACGTGGTATTTCATGTCATCGTTTCTTTCAGAAATTCCCTAAATCCTGTTCGGATGAGGGTATTGGGATGCTGAAGACTGNGAGATGCAAGAGCTTCATCTGGCACTGCGCGCTTGAGGCCGTGGAGGACGCTGCTTGTAACCTAAAAGTGTGCGAGACCCGTTGGACCCCGGAAGAAGAGAGGAACGTTCAGGGTAACGGCTTATAACCGCATGGCTTCCAAGGTACCCACTTTTCCATCCTTCAAGTAGGAGTCTTTCCGACCTGACATCGCGCAGTTATCTTAACTAGTAGAGTCTTTTAATATTTAGGCTGAGTTTTAAGAAATTTGTAGTGGCAATAATATTCACCAAACCGAACCTAATTAACGACCCTGAATCCCTTGAGATTGGCACTATTACAGTAGTTATTATAATATCGTAATTGTTAACTATATAGGAGCATACGAGATAAAAATAAATTGTGTCAATTGAGAGGGAGCTGTTTTATTTACATTTTCTAATTTCACACAAGGAACGGTAACTTATATAAATTTCTGCAAGCCGGACAACCTCTTTTTCACGTGCAGACAATTCACCATCTTCTCAGTCTGCACCGGTGGCGGTTCAATTCCAGTCACCAAGCCGCCAGGAAAAAATCCTTTCTTGCAGTGTGTAAAATTATGAAATCTGAAATTCCCGCATCTGAAACGAAAAACACGAGTGTCAGGATCACATGTGGAACGTGGCATTAGGTTATGAAAAAACCCGCAATGGGAAAGAAATACTTACGAAGACCGATCGCTAATCTGAGCTTCACTCACAGTCTTCAGCATCCCAATACCCTCATCCGAACAGGATTTAGGGAATTTCTGAAAGAAACGATGACATGAAATACCACGTACTGGAATACGAAAATTATCAATCACGAAAAATAAATAAATTCTCCGACGGGAACTTACCTCATGTGTGATCATTTTAAAAATATATTAAGAAATTATCGTGGATGCATTCTGCATTCCACGATTTGAAACACAGGGAACTACATCCCAGAAAACAATAAAATTGCGGTTGCGCAAGATCGACCAAAATTCCAAAGTGATTTGACAGCTCAACTGACAGCCGCGATTCATAGAGATGTCGCGAGACGTTCCGTTTCGCCGCCCATTAAAAAAAGCAAATACTAATAAAAACCATGATGAAAACAATCTCCTGAACACTGAAAATATTCTATTAAAAATAGAATAATCAAAATAAAAACCCTGGGAAATGTTTCATCAAAATATATTTCAATTAACTGAGCAAAAAGCGCCATCTATTGCAAATTAGTTCTGAATCACGCCAATAGATGTCGCTAGTGGTATCCAAAATCAGAATATCGAGAAAGAAAATCAATTTGTGAAAAACAGCCAAAACTGCAACGCTACAGTGTAAATAAAATTATACAGGGCTATTCTCAATAAAGCGCCTAAATGAAAATCGTTGATTCCATTTCTTAACTAAACCATAGGTAAAATGAGGAAAGGTTTCTTCGTTCGTTCCAGCCAAATGACGTCCACTGCTGGACAAAGGCCTCCCCCAAGGTTTTCCACAATGAACGATCCTGCGCTGCCTGCATCTAGGTTCGATTTCTTAAAGTCAGTTTAAGTCAGGAAAGATTTCTTATTTAGTTTAAAAAGCTATTGTATTAAGAGTGGTAGAAGCGACTTTTTTCGTTTAGGTACTGTATCGTACTTATAAGGTGATCACACCCTATATGGAGAATAGTTGGAAACTTTTCCATTCATGTACAGTCAAGAGCACAGCAGTGTAGACTGGTTTTTGTTGCAAAGTCGCATCTATTGCAACTACATAAGATTGATATATCATCGTCTGTATACAGTAGTAGTAGGTAAACACACGTCTCGATCGCCCACAGCTTCAATTGAATAATGTAGCGTAAAGAAATGGAAAGCTTATCTTTATGAAAGCTGTTTATCATTAGAGTTTAAAACACTAATACAGAGAAAGGCAAAAATCTCTGGGGCATTTTTTTAACAAATGTGTTTTCTAAACCATAGGCAACTGTTAAACTTCTACATGTCATTGTATTATTTTATTTTCAGCTCCGAAATAGAATATTACCTGGACCACTTTCTTAAGATTCGAAACGGCGATATCAAGATACAAGATTACTCCAAAATCCAACTGGATGCTACATATAACAGCCTCAAGCCTGGCGAACTCACAGACAGTCAAATTCTGAGTTTAGTTTTATACGAAATGGAGAAGAAATACCATTTTAGCGGCGATGGCATTTGGGCCCGACAGGAAGGCGGCAAAGCCGAGTCGCAGAGAATCTGACAACAGTTACGTCGAGTGGTATGTGAGTAACTTGATTGCTTATTCATTACTCTCGATGTACCTTAAAATATTATAATAAACATGTACGCACACGTTGCACTCACAGTTCGCAAGTGTTGTTAAGAAATCAAGTTTTTGTGTCAAAAATTTTGTGGCAACAAAGATGACAACAAACTATGAGCATTCACGTGTAATGTGATAATGCAAATTATGCAAGATGCGTACCAAAACATGAACTAATTCAATTAAAAAAAAACTCCTTACCTCAGTTTAACACAGTTAAGCACCTGCGATTGAACTGATTTACTAATTTATACTATCCACCGATTCGTAATTTCCAGGTTGAATATTTTAACTACAAAAATTTTATAAATGGAAATTCAATTTGTAAATAAAATACTGCAACGTTTTTTAAATAGCGAATGGTAAAATGTAAATTACTATAAATATAACTAAAGTATTAACTTAAATAAGGATATTATTTTTGTAATGTTATGTTTTGATGATAATAAATAAAAGTCCTGAAGTAAGCACTTTGGTATATTATTTTTCTCCTCTTTTGTATAAAATATTTTGCTTATTGCTTCGAAAAAACTTAACGTACAAGTATAATCTTGAACCTTAATTAAACTAAATTATTTATGTCAATAAAATATTTAAAAGAACGACATCGATCAAAATTATGTACCTACCCTGCTGTAATAAAATAGATTTCACCAAATCTTGGATTAAAAAATACACATTTTTTATTTTAGTGTCGGTTAAATTCGTGTAATCTAACAGAAAAAAGAGATCAAAAGAGTGTATCTGTGCGGCAAAGCTATTATTTACTTAGTTGTAAGTATAACTTGATCAGCTAGCTAATATTTTTTATTAATCATACCTACGTAAGTAATAAAAATATAATAGTATAATTTTCTTAACTAAGTAAGGCATTTTCTTACGAGGCATTTAATTCTCATTTGGCACATCATTCACGTTAATTATATTTACAGCGATTCAATTTTGTTATAATAAGTATTTCGTAATGCTGCCTATAATACTAATTTATCCGAAATTAATTGATAAATAAACCTACAATACACACTCATCCACACTAAAAGCAAAAAATGTTATAATATTTATGAAACTTCTTCTCACAAAACGATCGTCCCTTTGTCGATAATATTATCGATACTTTTAACCAAACTTGCATAAAATATAAACCTACACAACATCAACATTTTATAAATACATAATTAAGTTTCTTTTGTCTGAAAAGACTTCAGAAATCATTTATAAGGCACAGGGAATGCACAAGAAGTGAAGTTACTAATCATAATAATTACAGCATAATATAGTACTTTATAACTCCTAAAATATAATTATTTATCAATAAGAGATAATTTAAGAATCCTGATTGTTAATTCTATTTACATTTATTGCAAATTTTCACTCCAATTTGGGCACTAATGTTTAATACATCGAAAACAGATTTATTTAATAAAAATACCTACATACGAGTATTATGCTTTTAACTGATCTAAGCCTTACACACAACGATACCTACATACATAATAATAGCAAAGTAATAAAAATACTCTATTCGTAATGAAAAATTAAATGCGAACGTCATGTAAATTAATTGGATTAAGATCAACCATCAACAAAGTTGCGCTGCGATCTGGAAATTCGGAAAATCATAATACTCCTTTTCGAAATTATACTCTGCGTTAAGATAATTTCGAAAAGGAGTATTTCAATTCAAAAAAGGGGGCAGAGTAGTATAGGCTTGGCCGGAGGTCGGCTCCATCTTCACGACCACTGGTTGGCCGAGTTCCCCGTGCCTCTCCATCTCGTAGTGCTTTTCGTGGGGGACCATCCCGCTATTCTCGTAGTCTTCTGGTGGTTGCGAGTACCTGGGCGGTTCTTCCTGCAATGCACAAGCTGAATACTTATCCTCGTGCTCGTGCGAGCGATATTCGAGCTTATCCTCATGCGCATGTGGTTCCATTTGTGGTGAGTGAGCGGCCATCATTGGGTAATCCCGCACACCTAAGGGAGGCGGGCTGCCCTCGCCATACTCGTAAGAATGCCGCGGCGCAAACATTTGGCCGTCGTGCCCGTTTAGAACCGTGGTGTAAGAATAAGCCGCTGGCTGCGCGTTAAAGGCGGGGTATCCACTGCTGCTTGATGAGAGCAAGTGGTGCGAGGAAAGCTCGTAAGAGTGCTGGTACGACCAGGAGTCCGCCGGTGCTGATAAGCCGTTTTGAGGGAATGCGGGCAGGTTGCCCCCGATGCCGGTGAAACCGCCGCCCAAGGTGGTCGAACTTGGTGAGCTAGAGCCGATGTAGCCGGTCTTTCGTGGAGGCTCACGTTTTCTCCATTTAGCTCTTCTGTTTTGGAACCATACCTATAAAAAGTATCATCAGTTAGATACGCCAGTCACTAGTATTGGAAGATATAATTTTAGCGTATGTCTTTGAAAGTTACCTGTACTCGTGATTCGGATAAGTTAAGTTTTAGAGCCAGTTCCTCTCTTGCAAAGACGTCAGGGTATGGCGCTCTTTCGAACGCTCGTTCCAACTCCTCCAACTGATAGGCTGTGAATGTCGTTCTGCAAAGAAAGCAAAATATTCTTGAGTTTCTAATAAAGTTACATGGATGTGAGGTTTGTGATTCTAATTTATGAAATCAGTATTGCGTCATTTTTTATATTTCTAAGTCCTAAGAATCTACGAGAACACCACCTACTACACCTACCCTATAATTTAATGTTAGTTTATCCTAACAGAGTTACGATGTGCCTGACAACTACAAACTTCATTACTATTTAAAGTATTCTCAATTACAAATGCACTAATAAACGACATTATCTGCCAACACATCTACCATCTGACGCGTGCAATATGGCTGCGGGCGCACGCGCAGAAATTGATTGAGCGTGAAACTAAATTCACCCCCGTCGCTACACCACCTTAATTGCCTGCCAATTGACTCCACACTTTATAGTGGTTGCATTTTATTAATTGTTTCACCGCATCCTTTTTTAGATCATTAATCATCCTATTTTCATTTATACAGTAAGTTTTATCCGGACTGGAATTTTGCGCTTGAGATTTCTAAAAAAATTGCTGTAAAATATTCCAAGACGATGATTTGCGGCTGAAAATCTTATTGCAAATCGCAATCGCTATCGAGAACAATTGAGTATTCGATACAAAAAAATCGATTATCCGAGAAATTCACTTTATATTCGTTTGCCAAAATTCGTATCCAATAGGCTCTACCTCTTTACAAAAAATATCTCTATTGTAACATTTGTCATTAACAGAAACGACTTAGGTACTATACATCAGTGTAATGATCCTAAAAGTGCACTTCCAGTTAATATTAGTCTACAGTAATCTATTTAGGTCCATCTCTAATTGAAACGGCTCTAATTGTACGCTGGATTAGGGTTTATGTGTATTAGTCACCGTTGCCGGTCTCCATTCATGAAAATAAACGACGTTTTCATTAACGCATAGATTATTCACGCGAGCTTATGAGCGTTGGAGATGTTGCAACGACCCTTGATGCATAGTTATATTACAGTCCCATGCGCGAGATGATACGATAAGGCAATTGGCTCCCCGCGGTCATACGGGTAATTAAACTCGAATGTGTCGCCGCCTTAATATGACGTACCGGGAAGTGGAGGCGCCTGCATCAAGTGTTTTATTACGTAACTACTAACTACCATGTATGGTCCATACATGTAGTAGTAAAAAAAGAAGTCAGGGCGTTTTGAGATGGGGTCATTGATGTGAAAGTGATTGTAAAGATTGTTATCGAGAAGGGTAGGTTGGTTATTAGTTTGGGTGTTACTTTTTGATGTCGTATTTCTGATAAGAATACGATGCGGGCGCATAGAGACTTTCAAGCAAAGTTTAAATCAACGCTGGTGTATGATGAGATTGGTAGAGTTTTGTATGATTAAGGAATTCCATTTTGATTGCATCGAACAATTTTATTTATTTATTTTACAAGACAAGAAAATAAAGCTGTTGGCATAAATATGAAGTGCAAAGCTTCCTTTCCTAGATATCCCATGGCGTATCCTACATCTATATTTCCTAAATAGATATAGTTGCTAGATTTCCTATTTTCATAATCCAGTGTAAGCTCTTGGCAGTCCCTCCCTTTTCAGTTTAAAGCACTGAGTATCCTTATATTTTTATTTATCAAAATATTTTATGAAATAAACATTCCAAAACACAAACGCATATCACCATATGCTGTTATCGCTTTTAAAGGATCATCGCATTAGTTATGCAAATATTAAAGAGTGGTGCATAGACCAAGTTGAACCAATTTGTGAGAGGGGTGCTACAGTTGCCACCTGTGCGTCGACTGGCGCGTGCCTTCACACCCCTTGTTTGTGATGACCCTATGGTCTAGTGGTTTGGGCTCCGGACTATGATACAATCATACAATAGTCTCGGGTTCAAAGGTAAACTGATGTGTGACAAATATTTGTGATGGGCTGGTTATTAATGAATGGAGATATAATTTGTATGATTATAAGTACATCCAAAAGGATATAGTGTAACATAGGTACCTACCTACTTACAATAAAATTATGATTTCTGGATACAAATAATTCTACTACTTTTCAATGAAATTAACATTTCATTTCATCCTTTCATTCAATTTAGACCAAGATTTGGCACTTATGAACATTGATTTTATTAATTGTCTAATTAGGTACTATATTTGACTCGAAATACAAAAGTCTACAATATAATTGGCACAGAAACCACGTATTTGCGACTTTGGCGACTGGGCTGATCATCGGTATAATAAGACATTAGTTTTACATAGTTTTAACGTGTAAAACATACTAATAGTTGTGAAAGTGCACAGTGTGATACGAATGAATAATTTTGGTGCACACAGTAATAGGTAAACTAAACTAATCTTGCTATAGTTGATTATGACAAGTGAAACTTAATATTTATGCTTAGATTAACATGCCCATCCATTTCAATACTTTGGTTTTCATTGCTTCCCATAAGAGTACTAAAAATAATATTAAGGTAAAGAATCTTGATCAACAGAATCAGATTAAAGGCATACAAATTGTTATTTAACACATTTATGGTTAGATTATGCATAACTTTTATTCTACGTGCTACATTCGTAGCAATTTTGGTAAATCTGTTCGTAGCAAAGACTACCCCTCAGGGTGCTACGAGTAGCGCCCCGTAGCGCATCTTCGTAGCGCGTTCGTAACTTCGTAGCAAGTATCTTTCACGTAGCAGTGATTTTAACGTTTCAGAGTTTATGTAAGATAGTTTTTCTTATAGTTTTCTTAGAGAAGTAAAACTAACACTTACCTTGTTTTCTTCTTCTTTATTCCATTGTTGTCGCCCTTTTTCTTGTCGCTTTTCTTCGTAGTAGTAGGCGGCGGTGGCGGCGGCGGGTGCGGCGCCGCCGTGGACTCCACCGGCTGCAGCATCAGCGGCTCCTCCTTGCGCTTCTGTTCTGCAGCACTCGCGAACACGGGGATCTCGTCGCGGTACTGCAGCTCGCCCGCGGCGCCCACCACCACCTGCACGTGGCGGTCCTTGCCGAACTCGCCGAACATGTGGTCCTCGAAGGGCGGCTGGTCCATCGGCGGCCCGTCGAAGGCGCAGTCGTAGCGCGCGCCGGGCCCGGCGCCGTCCCCGCACACGTACATGTAGTCGGCCGGCGGCGGGTGCGGGCCCGCTACCTCCGCGCCCACCTCGCTCGGCTCCGTCGCGGCCGCTGCAGCCTCAGGCACCCGACTCCGGCTCACCGGCGATCGCACGACGCAGATATTAAACAATTTAACTTCATTTAATCGAGCCCTCGGGATCGACGAACGCTCGCGCCGTTCGTATCCTCGTGTCCGTCCCGGTTAAATGGCTTTAATCAACTTTAACGAACTAACCGAATTTGCTCTACGGTTGGTCAATTTATATTACCATAATACGAGACCGAACGTAGGATCGGAGCCAATGAGTAGCGCGTCCGAGCGCGGCGGGAGCGGTCGGCGAAGTTGTATTTTGTTCTGTAGTGTTGGGTGCGAGGTGAGAGATTGCATCGCGAGGGGCCGGCGCTTACGCCCGTGCGCGCGGCCGGGCGCGGCCAATGGCGGCGCGGCGCGGCCCCTCCCCGGCCCGGGAGCGGGAGCCGCGGCTGCGGGCTGAGCGCTCTCGGCTCCACATCATGCGGGATTCCCACAAATCCACCCGATATTTTGTTTGTTTCGATAGTATTGAAGGGCGCGAACGCCCACATCATTATTTTGAAAGTCCGTAACGTTGCATTGTAAATCCGTATCAACACCACTCATATGTCTGTTTCATGATTTATAGCCGTGGGAAGCTCAGATTTAAGTCACATAATCATGATATTATTTATTTAGTGTGATTTTTAGAATATTCAACCTTGTAAGGGTTGCAATTTGGATTATCCAAACCCTCATCAAAGTCAGTCAATGTTTAAAAGATCTCATGTGGATAGGCACCTACTTATGAAACTGTAATTGTAACAATAGGTATTTAATTATGTGAAAATTATCTGATAAATACTCACCAAATGTCCCAAATTGGCACACCACGAACGCTGCTCGCTGCTGGGTGCAGCGAGACCAGCGAGACGCCGCGCCGGGCCGGCTGCTGCGAGCGGGCTGCGCTCACTGATGCAGCCGATCGGACGCCGCGATCGCTTAATTATTAATTAACAGTTATTGCCGGGGATTATTAATAAAACATTCGCCCTGACTATTGGCACTTAGATTAGCGTCGAGGGAGTAATGGCGCATTTCAACAATTTCGGTTGTTATTTAATTGAAGTCAATTTAGATGATCAGAGTCTATTTAGGTTGGTGCTGGCGCTCGCCAGCGGGATCTCTGCTTCATTGGGCTTATTGGTGACTTTCAGACAGCACGAATTGCACTCGCTGATGCACTTCTCGTCGCATTCGCATTCAGTGGGACTCGGGAAGTGGGTCATGGTCAGTTTTGGATGGTGTTCTTCTGTATTTTGGTTATCTGTGCGAGAGTAGTGTTTAGTGACGTGTGGGATATTTTGTGAGGTCGAGAAGATTCGTGGTGACAGTGTGATATCTTGGATGAAGTGTGAAGTAGCCTGGTGCCTGGTGGTTGCGTGCGTGCGAAGTTTTCGTGAGTGTCTGCGAGCTAGTGACGTGTCGGATGCCTCAGCGCATGTCTTTGTGCTACTTACAATGTATTATGTGACTAAGCAGGTATTTTTCCAAAATAATATTAGTCTTGAGTCCGATTGATAGTTAGGTACATCACAATAACTGACAGTAAATAAATGCTTGTGAGATCTCTTGGACAAAATATTTCGTATTTTTTCAGACATATTTACGAGTAGGATTATGTTGGCATGATCGTCAAAAACACCTGAAACTTTTAAGTTTGATTAAATCTTGCACTTTCCCATTCAATTCTATAGGATTTTAAAAATCCTCAAACAAATAATCTAAGTCCTATACATTTATTCAAAATTTTAGTCAAGTCAAAGACTATCAAATACTCAGCAGTAGGTACTGCTTTGTTTACCTACCTACATTTAGTTTTCAAAGTAATATTATAAAATATGGATTGATGTGTGTTCATTTTCGACGAAATGTACAAAACACTACTCATTAGCCCAAGGACCGTAGTACGTAGCCCGTAGCGTCGTAGCAGAAGGAATGTTTAAAAAAATCCTTCATTGTCTTTCAATTTCAAAAGGCGCGTACATTTTCGATAAATTATTTGTACCTTCACTCTTCGTAATTATCTTGGTATGAGTTTTGTCCAAAAGGCAATATAGAAGGGTATTTTAATACACAAATTATATGAAAAGATAATAGGTATGATGCATGATTATTTGTTTCAGTGCATTTTTTATTCGGAAATGATGTACCTAATATATTGTCATAATGAAACACTTATAATTTACAGGGTTTGCTAAAATTTTGAGGATTCAAATCTACGTAAGCTTAATCGTTGCATGTGTGCTCGCTACAGAAGTGTGTTTGTTAAACAATAATCTACCTAACTCACTTAGCTATGTGAATTTATGACATCCATACATAGGTAAATGTTGATTTCAATGATCGATTATTACCAGATTTCAATAAAATTTCGTTACACTCTACCGAAGTTACGTAGTAGGTAGTTCGTTATAGACCTTTTTGTCTCATACCACTGTTGTACAATGTGATAACTTGTAAATTAAACCTATTTTGAGCTCATCTAGATCCGCAACATCAACGATATTATGGTCTAAAATCTAAATCATCAAGTGAAAACTTTCATGAACATGAGCCATTCAGACCTTGAATCGTGAATGGCAAAATTAAGAAAGATTCCTCTGAACCAATAAAAAACTGAAAATACTAATTTATTAGCCAACCCTTATTGGAAATACTGAAAATAAATACTAATTAGTTTACAAGCTTGGAAATCATGTGATTTTTTTTTTAAGAATTGTAAGTAACCGGGTACGGTTTCAAGACCCATGGTATGTAATATCTACCATGGAACCATACCCGTACTCTTCAACATGTATTGTATACCTACTAGATATACGTAGGTACCATAGGTGTAGAGTGATTTCATATTGTAAACGCTAGACGACACTTATTGTATCTAAATATACTTATGTAACTCAAAGGTGACTGACTGACTGACATAGTGATCTATCAACGCACAGCCCATACCACTGGATGGATGGGGCTGAAATTTGGCATGCAGGTAGATGTTGTGAGGGATTTTACGAAACTCAAATTTATAAGGGGGTAAAACGGGATCCACGCGTACGAAGTCGCGGGCGGCCGCTAGTTTTTTCATATAGCGGGCTTGCGGCCACGCAATCTTTGGCTGAAATGTTCCAAGTAGGTACATTATCATGTTTACTGCGCCACGGGTAGAAGTTTGACAAATATTTTGCAAGGAAAAGCTCCAATCTAAACGGTCATTTCAATCTGGCGGACAGGACGTTCGTCTGCTCTCCCTGTTATGCAGTACCTATAGGTATACCATTGTGTGACTTTCCTGTGCCCTGTGAAAGAGGTCTGAACTGAATGCTTGTTATTGCGCTGCTGATTGTCGTAGAATGTGACAGGTTTATGCAGAATCACGACATGTGATTCATGGTACAGACGGCGGCATATCCAGATTGGAGATCTTATGTAGTTTTGCAAAAAGTAATCCTAAGTATTAACTTCTTTTTGTAGATCCCTTAGTCACTTTATAACACATAGAATAGAATGCTATATGACATTCTCTTCCAGTTAACTTTTGGGAAAAACAATTTAAGTTTTGCCCAAAAGTGAACTAAATTAAAAGTTTAGCTCGAAAATATTTTCGAGCTAAACTTTTAATTTAGTTCCACTTTACTGTTCCACTGAGTTACACCTCCTACTCTATAAAATTCATAATTTAAACGCTCTATTTATGGCTAATCATCCCAAAACTAAAAAAAACATGAAATAACATTACATATTTATAAATGTATCTGTATCGGGCTACGGGCCACTCGGTTGTAGAGACCCTGTAATCTTTTAACCAAATCTATAATTTATTAATAACGTATCTTCTTACGTTAGTAACGCCTTATACTACACATTAGGAACGTTCAAATAGTACCGCATGGTAACAGTTAGACCAAACCCAATGGAACTTTAGGTATTTTTTCCAGAGCGGTGTACATAAGTCGTCATGTGACACAGCGTAGGCGCTCACATAAAATCTCTCTGGCGACGGGCCGCGACGCAGAATCTGCCGCCCGCTCAATTGGACTCAATTGCTTTAATTGATTTCAATTGAAATGACCTCGCGCACCGGCTCCCGCTCCTAGTCTGACACTTTTACATCTATCTTTTTTGGAGCTGACATAAAAGCAAAGATAAATTTCATTGGAGTCAATATGATAAAACTGACGTCAAGTACACACGTGTAGCGCGCGCGTGTAATGTTTTGATGTAAAGTTAAACTTTTTCTGGTGTAATTTTTTCATTGTTTTATAAATAAATGTAGTAAAGTAGATAGTAGAAAATAGGTATAGAATAGTATATTTTTATTAGCCCACGGATTCGCCCACGTGAATTCCGGTGTGTTACAGAAAGAGTTGGTACTTATATCACGCGCGGTTTCTTCTTTAAAAAAACTGGGATAAAAACTAAGTACCTATGTTTTCCCTGGATTTTACTCCCCCTATACCCATACATTCCACCTTTTCAACACGTGTAAATCCTCGTAAATGCGTCTCATTATTCGCTCCAAGAACGGCCCACTGAAACAGCCATATAAGTAAACAAAATCGAGATCATGAACATCGAGTTGATGAGAAAAGTACACAATGACGGAATGGTTAAAAAGACACGGCACATTTTGGCACGTGTCCCATCCGGTGTACAATTGGACTTAATTAGGAAATAGCGGGCGCGAGCGGTCATCTATAGCCACTGACGCGGAGCGTGGCGGGAGCATTCCTTGTCACAAGTTCTTGAAAATCGAGATAACGGATTATTTTGACTAGAAAAGGCATTTCCACGGGTTGTGCTCGAGAACTTATAAATCTATGAAACTAAGTTGTTCCAATTTTGGTTCAGACTTTAGATAGACAATAGTAGTTCTTTACAATGTTGCTAATGAACCTACTAATTATTTATAAGCGGATTACTAAAATATGCAACTGAAAATTAAATTAAATTTATAATAAAATTAAATTCGGTTCGTGCGTTCTGGAGTTATAACGTCAGGGAGGAAAACCCGACTTATTTTTATATAGTAGATTAAATTACAATCTAGTGTAAAAACCATGCAACCTAGTCATTACTAAATTCTAATTATTTCGTATGCAAAGAAAGATGTGTTTTCTTTTTTGACTTCTTGCCTTTCCAGAAGCGTTTAAAGTCTCTCCCTCCTCCAGTACTGTGTGGAGTATCAAGCTTATCTACATCTTGGGTTTTCTTTTTTTTATCTAGTGAAATGATATTTGATCCCTCATAATCCTCATCATCTTCCTCATCAATGAATGAAGGGATCGTCGTAGTTTCTGGTTCAAATCGGAGATGCTTTTTTGCTGATTTTTTTACCTTTGCTCTTTTAGAATGTTTGTCAGTAGTAGTTGGGATCACTCCACGCGAAGGCCCTGGCTTGTCGCTAGCACGGGTATCGTAATAATGTGACTGCAGCTCTTCTTCTTCGAAACTAGTTTTTTGGACTAAAATACTTGCTGTTTCACAAGAGTCACGTGTCATGGCAGCAATCGAAGCTGATGCTCCTTTATCAGACTTGAACTCTTTGAACAACCTTAACATGTTCAACTCACTAATGTGTTTATGAAGATCCTCGTCTGATGATACAGCCACTTTTGCCATGCGGCGACATTCTTTTGGTTGATCAGGGAGAGATTTAAATTGAGGTGTTATCTTCTTTGTTTCTGCTGGTGGTATTTCTAAGCTATCTCCAGTTTGTACAGCCACAGTTGTTGTTTCTTGGTTCATTTTACTTAATTCAAGTTCCATGAATGAATACTTCTCTTTGGGCCGATAAAAAGGCTCATCTATGATTTCGGATAGCTTATTTTCTCTACGCTTACGCTTGCAACAGTTGAAGCAGGCATATATTATTCTGTACAGTACATTTTTCCGAGGTTTTTCGACTGTGTCTGGGCTTAAATAATCAATATCACCAAAGAGTGGTTCTTGATAAGCCATCTTAGGTCCCATGTAAATGTCATGTGGAGATCTCATTATTGAATCCAAGTATAATCTGCAACAAAAAGTCTGTTCATTATCAAAACAAAAATAATGGCAGTAGACAGCTGTGAACTCATGTTCAGATTAATTGACAATTGAGCTGTGTAAGGTCCGATTACAAAACAAACGGTTAATGATAGATCGCCCGGTGCTTTGTCCTGCTGGAAGCTCTTCTGGAAGGACTGGTCTTTTGTTCTAAACGTCCTGCCAGAAGATTATCGCAAGTCCTGCCCGCAGTACGCAATTTGTACGTGTTTGCTTGCTGGTCCTTCCAGCAGTACGGTGACCTTCAAATTTGAACTCATCCTCACCAGAAGTAGTAAACACTTGGTTAGTGTTTATTAAATAAAAAGTCATGTCGTAGAATCATTTTGTTTAACCAGTATTTTACTTTTCTTAATATATTATAAACTTGTTTATCTTCTTTCAACTTAACTAATAGGAACTATAATAAGGAACTTTAAATTAATTACTTTGGTACGTCACTTTGTATTAGAAATTACACCTATCACTTACAAATACACTACAAATTAAAAACAAAAACAAGAAATAAATTATAAATGTTTGATTAGGCTGGAATACTTCACATTCATTATAATATTATCGCCAAAATGTTGCCGACTCCACGGCCGGCGCGTCAAAATGTGTCGCGCGAGCGCGAACGCGCTGCCCCCGTGTATACTCGTGCGCCATCGGTCTCCGACTAACGGTTAGTCGCGTTTTTCGATCTTGGGCACTATTGGGTGAAAGAGAGAGAAACACTCTATTTTTTCGTGTAAATTTGAAATTTGTACAATGTATACTTACGAAACTGTGATCTTTTAATTTTGCGTCCTACCGGAAGTACTTTAAGTCCTGCTGGCAGGACTCCGGGCGATCTATCATTAAAACGTTAGTGTGAGTGAGAGTACAGATTTTGTCCTGTGTGCTCTAAAAATAGAAAATCCAATCAATTTAGTATTGGCAAAAAATCGAGTTTTGAGCTTAGCCGCTTTTGCTTCATAATATTTTATGATCTCTTTCAATTGTTACAACCCACACTACAAAACAGATTATAAAGTCGGTTGAAATGAAATAATGTAGAGAAATATAGATATGTAAAACTAACATGTTTTCCGCTCCATCAGTGTAGATGAAGAACGCTTCTGAAACTTTGGGCACGCATCGCCGAAGCCAGTAGTGCACTGTGTACATCATAGTCAGCAACACGGCTAAGAAGGTGACGGCGGCCAAGTACACGTTGTGTTGGAGCCCTACCGCTGCCCCGCACATAAGCCTGTCTTCATCGTAGATGTCTAGAAAAAATAGGGCAACCTTTTTAAGGCAGCCATAGACAAAAGATGTAAGGTTCGGATTGCCGAGTTATGAAGACGCTAGTTCGCTTCGTTTATAAACAAAAGTTTACTTTAGTTAGTTTTGTAAATTACATTTTTTAGAATTTGTAGTGCAAAAATTACCTCGAGTGAGCAATTGGTCTATTGTCTCTTGTTATTATTTATTTAAATATAACATTATATTTTGCGGCTCTACATCAAAAAGTTTTTCAATTATTGATAAAAATAATATTAAAACTCCTTTATTACCATAAGCCCCACAATTAGGCACTCCATCGCAGGCGTTCATAGAGTCGATACAAATCCTAGTTCCATACACCTGGCACTCCAAGCTGCCTGAGGAGCAGCGCGAGTTCCCGCTCAGCAAAGTATTGGCGGGCGTCAGCATCACCGTCATACGCTCCAACTAAAAACACTTCGAGTGGATAACTAGCACTTTTCCTTTTTTATTCGGCACTGGTTAGGTTTGTTTGCGGTCAAACTGTAGATCCTGGCTACACAGGAGTTTTGGCAGTGAGAGACAGTCACTGTTTTGTAACATAGGCTGAGTTGCATCAACTTACTTTAACCGTAACAATAACAGTAACCGGTGTTTTTTGTATGGAGATTGACAGATTTTTGACGTTTGTTAAAGTAAGATGGTGCAACTCAGCCTTACTTTATAGCTGTCAATTAATTAAATGGTTTGCTAAATATAATGTAGATAATTATTTTCCATCTTTCAACAAAACCAATTATATCAGATGAAGCAGATTGTACAGCTCTCCCATTTTATTACACAATCGGATAATCGGAAAGTTAAGTTTAAGTAATTTATCCCGTCCTTTTTGAGAAAATTAAAAGGACGTGACAAACTTTCCGCAGTCAACCTAACTTTTCGTAACTTTTCGATTGGTTTTTCTTCACTAACCGTGAAATTAGTGATAGCCAACACAATTTTGGAGGCGTTGAAGAGGTAGACATGCCTCGCCTTCGGCTCTCCGTAGTCACAGATGTTGAACATCACCGGGCCCACGTACTTGCGCAAATATCTCATTGCTCGGCGCTCGTAGAGCTAGAGGTAGATAACAATAAGTTGCTATAGAAAACAAAATAGTAAACCTGGATCTATAATCCTTTATTTACAAAATAGTGTTTTCATGATGAAAAACTATTCAATAAAAGTTATTGGTAGGGTTGGTTTGGCTGGCCTAAACAAACGTCTATCCCATGCTATGCGACTCACCGAGGCAAGTTTATACTAAATTATTCATTAGCAGTTTTCTTAAGGCTGATTTACACGTGTGTTAAGTAAGTAGGTAACTAAATTTTAAGCCTATGTCAAAACGTATCAAGAGACAAGCCACGCCGCCCACCAACGAACCCGAAGTTAAAATTTAATTAAATACTTAACTACTTAATACGTGTAAATCAGCTTTTAGAGTGCTCAATCCAAAGCTCTTTTGATATACATATGTATGTATAGTGAACACGGCATTGTATTGCAATGCTTTTTAAAACTATCACTGAACTTTCTAAGTACCTCGTCGTCTTGCAATTCGACCAACTGTAGGGCCTGCTGCCGGTCTGAGATGTCGTAGGAGACGATGGGAGTGGTAGTATTGACCTCTTTTGTGGTGAGATTGTGTGGCCGCGCGTTCTCTATTGAAATCGGCTGAATTTTGCGCTTTATTCGCGTGCCACTGAAAATAATTACAGAAAACTGTAATTCAGCGGCTATTTCAATTACCTACTTGTTTTATTTCATAGATATAGATAGATTTCGTCTGTGCATTAAATTGTATAGTTGCTATATTATTACGATTTCACTCTGAAATATTAATGGGGTTCTTGTCACAATTATACACAGCTAAAAAGTTTTCATTCCTTTAACGGTTTAAAATTCGATTTTTCAGCAAATTCTCGTACTGAAAACTGAATTTTCTTAAACTTAATACTTTGTGTAGGTAGAGGCATTTCATTTAGTGTATTATATTTATTGCGTGTTATTGATTTAATATATTACAGTCCATCTCTCATACCAGGTAATCTCATAGGCAATAACTTAATACAGTGTGTATAAATCACGTCATAATTTACTTAAGTTTGGAGGCAGCATCAGTTGTGTCATAAGCAGTGTTTCCCGTGTAGTTGGCCAGAGTATCCGTAACAGTTTGATTTAGTAGCACGGCCATCACGGGGGCAGCCTGCACCACGTTTTCCCACGATTCGTGATCCACCATTGTTCCTGTTGCTGGTCTAAATAAAAGATTTGTAAAGTATAAATACATTTTACTGATAAAACAATAATTAAACATAGACATGTAGACAACGTAATATGCGATTTTGACTCCAGACCATGACTAGGTTCGCCGTTTAAAAACAAGATGTCTGCTACTTTATAGAGTTCGTATTCACAAACATTACTATGAGGTCAAACAGTGCGCGTGGATGCACAGGGTGACACATGAACCAATCACAGAGCTCTATTCAAAACTGTGCGTTCGATTTGCTACTTCACTTAAGCAAGCATCGTTTGTGAATTTATCACATAAGTTATTAATTTTGTTTCACATAAAATAATAGTAAGTGATTTTAATTAGTTAGTAACTCGTAACTCACTTAGTTCCATGTGTTGAAATTATTCCCAATGCAACACTTTCAGTAGTTTTATTGACTGTAATAGTTTCAGAAACAATCGACGACGGTGTCTGGTCTGAAAATAAACCCATTAGATCTCATCATCTATCATTATGTCGTAATTAATTTTTCTAATTTCCAAAAATGTAGGTACCTACATAAAAGATCTAGAGACTACATTTTCAGAGGTAGAGTCATGCGACATCAGCAAAATTTCGTGAAAAATAATAAAATAAGTAAGTATAACATACAAAATATTGGTACTTGTACTATTATACTACCTGTATTTTGTTCATTTCTTGTTGTAATATTGTTTTTATTAGTACTGCTAAACGTTAGGTTATACACGTTCGTACTGTTTCCCATTTCATTTTCTGAGCTATTTGTCATACCACTGTAAGCATCACTCGTAGAAGCTAATGATGATGTTGACGTCCTCGTAGATTTAAGGAATTGTTTAATGTTTTTGGTACTATAGTTGGAAAAGGACAGATTCATAATGTTAATGTAATGTAAGATTTAAAGCTTCCGCGTTCCATTACATTTAAAACTGTGAGGGTCCTCTCAGTTGTAAATAATATTTATGTAATGATTTGTTTATGATGTTAATTAACTTACGTGAAACTAAACGATTGCAGAGGTCTTCTTGTAAATACACCTATTTGTTTTGTAACATCTTTTACTTCATTGTGTTGGGAAACAATAGATTCCAAATCAGAAAGTCTGTACACTGTAATCAGTCATATTATTAAAATCAATTTAATGAAATATCATTATTATAGCTCTACTGGATTATGTAAAATTGTTTCTAACCAACTTATTACTTCTAAATTGAAACCGTGGATTTTGTCCAGAACAATTCATGATTTTCAGGGAAAACAATTTTCCTTTTGTTTTAGTTGTTTGAATACTGCAGGTGCTTAAAAAATGCTCCAGCAAGGTGTGTTAATTTAATAAGCTATCTATGTTACATTAATTACTTATACAAAATGTATCTTACAGCTTTGATTGTATTTCATATTAGATATCGTTTCCAATAATCTTGATATATTTTTATTTTCATATTTTTCCAGCATGTAAGAAGTACTTTCTTTTAACTTTTTCATTATTTCTTCCATTGATTTTGTGGATGATTTATTTATATCAATGTTAGACAATGTATTATCCGTGACAGTGTGCTTATTAGTTATTGATGTGTGTGTATTCCTGCTAAATAAATAGATTTATATCGCATACACATAGTAAATAGGTACTATGTATTAAACTTATACAATTTAACTATAGCACGTCATGCAATGTTTATAATGTGTATACTGTATAATGTATATGTACATATTTTTCTAATATTTACCTTAGAAAATACTCTTTCGTAAGTTCCTTGGTCCGATGAGTGATTCTAGCTTTAGTTTTCTTAAAGTTCAATATTCTATTAACGTAAAAGTTGGTCCTGTAGTCTTTTCTCCGTGTTGTAGGTCTTTTAGCGTAATAAGGTAATCTGTTGATTAAAATTTTATACTTGAGTGAATAGTGTTTAAATAAAGTGCATTTGTGTTCACTTCTTATTATTGATTTGATAAATAAATGTGTTACAATTCTTTCATTGTTTTATTTGAGACTAACATTAATTAGTTTAATCCGACCTATCTGATAGCTCAACAGGTACGCTCTAATTTATCACATTATTATTTCAGGACTTTACACAAAATTGTTTTGGGATAGCTGAAGAAAAAAGATATTCATGAATGCCTTTACCTAGCGTCAGTCGTAAAGTTAAATGATCCGACAGTCCCATCGTCGTACTCAAGGTTGTATCGAATGGCTTCACCACGACGTCCTCCCTTTTGCTTATTCAATGAGAACTGGACCAGAGGAAGAATGCTGGTCTGATATTTTTTCTTAGGCCTATAAATATTAATAGAACTATCTTAGATAGGTAGGTCATGAAATTAGTTACACATTGATAATTAAAACTTAGCTATACGAAATGATTATAATCGACCGAGGTAATTCCTACAACCCTAATAAAAGACAACCTTCTAAAACGAGCTGAATTTCAATATTTTCCTGCGTTCTTTTCCTAATCTTTAATATCTTTATTTACAGACTAAGAATAAGTAACATACCTAGGTGTAACATCGTACAATAAATCGAAAATATCTTCGATATCGAAATCGTTCTGCATCTGACTTCCATCGGATATCAAACGTCCAGACACGTTAACTATGGGCACTTCAACTCTTACAAAATCTGATTCATCTTCTGTCACTGGCTGCAAACCTTCTTGATGGTGATTCAACTTATTTTTTGCTACTGTTAAGTGCTGGTTTTGCAATCTAAAATAACAAATTAGAAGATATTACTAAATTCAGTGGAATAAGTATTAAAGTTTCTTAGCGATCAGAGTCGCTTCTCAAACTAAATTATAAATAACTTCAAAAACCCGAACCGAAACCGAACCTTTCGCTTGACGGGTGAATGCTCTTCCATTTGAGGTTCTTGGACACTAGCTGTTGCGTTCGCGTTTGTTTCATCATGGTAGGTTCGATTCCCGCCTTAGCAGTTCGATTTTTACCCGACTGCGCCAGAAGGTGTTACATTTTTCAAGTTATTTATAATTCAGTGAGATAAGTTCTCGTAAGTGTGAGTAAGTAGTCGTAGCATGGAGTTCCTGAGTTTTTACATGCTCTTTAACTACCCACTATTATTTCCTTATTCCATAAAAAACTAGACTCACTTTCGTGTTGGAACCGCTGTAGGCACAGTAGTCCTCATCGTGTACACTTCTGTAGGGGGTGGTTCGTTATGTAAGAGAGAGTCCGGCAGCGGCCCCCAATACCCGCCGAAGGTCTCACCCATTTCATAAACGAGCAGTTGGCTGGGGCTCTCGGCACAGGCGTTGACGAGGCTCTCGTCTGATAGCAGTTGCACCACCAGCACTACATTGCTCCCGTATTCTGCTCTACAGTTCACATAGTAGGTAGTAATAATAATAATGTATAATGCTAATTTAAGATAAAAAAGGAGCGGACTTTTAACAACTACTTAAGCGGACTCTTAGGCAGTAGCGGCGTAAGGGGGGGGCGGTGGGGGCGGTCCGCCCCGGGTGCCAAGCATCAGGGGGTGTCACAAGTCGCGTAGATTAGTACTCACTGGCGCATCTGTATGGCAAATCAGCGGTCTATGTCCATGGGGGGGGGGGTGCGATTGTCTATCGATCTTTAAATCGGTCGGTAACCCCAAAATGGGGGGGGGTACCAAGGGGTGCCTTAGGACTTATGACGGGGGGAAGGGGGGTGACCGCCCCGGGTCCCAACCCATGCTACGCCGCCTCTGCTCTTAGGTCCTTATTACGAAACGATGCTCAATTTTCAGCCTGTGCAGTCTACTACTGGACTGCTGGAAGTCAGTCTCCCTCAATGAAGAACACCACAAGGCACGTAAGGGTGTTACTTATTCGTCGTATTTGAATAAATCACATATTTCAATCTATGCTTGAGTATGAATCAAGTTGTGAGTCTCGATTCATGAAACGACTCTAAAACACCTTGCCTTACCTAATACTTATAAAGCAGCTGTAAGGCAGTTCCATTCTGGAGAAGTGCAAGACCTGCGAGTGCGCCTCTACAATATGTCCTCCAAGAAACACGGAAGGCACCACTCGCCGTCTGCAATATTCTGACATGTCCTTCTGATACACGAATTTGCGAACTGCTATAGACATAGCTGGTTGCAAGAAGCAAATAAATGAAAACATGGAAGAGACCAATAAGTGCACCATTTTCGTATTGCCACTTGCCAACAATGGGTGACCAACTAGATTAACAAAGGGTTTACCCTGCCCTTGAAAACCCATGTCTATTTAATTTACATGTGTCCATGTTTAATTTTTAAACAGCTTATCGACTTTTTTTAATTGCGAGTTTTCGATTATATTTGATGTAGATACAATAGCGGTCCTACAATAGGACCGGTCTTTGTGGAAATCCTTGAGGAAGGCCTTTGTCCAGCAGTAGACGTCTTTCGGCTGAAACGAACGGACAATAGGTATAGTATAGTGTGGTGTCTATAGGCGGTCGAGCAGCCGCAAGTACTAATTCAGTTAAAATAGATATTTACTGCTGTTTTTTAATAGGTTTGTTTTTCTCTTCAAACATTTACAGTCAAATTCAACTTTTAAGAGCGACACGAGCACACAGACGGCCCGTGGCGTGACGGGCCGCGTGACTCCCATCGTCCCGGCTCCACACTCGATGATAGGGGTCGCGTGACCCGCACCGCAGAGAAGTTTTTTATTGCGCCACAACACAAGGGGAGATTGTGCCAAAGCAACTGAGTGTACCTAATGGTCGGCTTTCGTATCATACATACTTACTTATGTGAAGTTTGTTTTTTATGAATCAGCACGTCATCATAGTTACCTAAGTACTGGTCACACACAGTCTTGCCTAAAAACTAGACGGTTCAGTGCTCTATCATCATAGGTAGTAGAGTAAAACTCCCAATCCTGACGTTCTGGGTTCGACTCCCAGGTGGGATCTACACATAATGTAAAATAGAGATCTTTAATAGGTAGGTAATGTTTTACTTCGTTACCTATTCAAAATTTAAAGGGACGTTAAAAATAATTAATGTAGGTACTCGTATAATTTAATTTAGCTCAAAATAAAAATAAACTGATTTTATTTTAACACATCTGTAATGTATGGCTACAAAGCTTTTAGCTTGATCGTATTAATCAAGCCGAATTCAGTTTCCTTAAAAAAAGTGAACTTATTTCAGGTTCATAACAATAATAATATGAACTGAATAATATAGAAGATGTGGACCTTCGAAGTCGACCGATGTCTCGAATTTCGCGGGCAGCGGAGTCAGTTGGGTTTGGACTCTTCTCTAAGAAGATGACCGACATGTTCGACTCCCGGTTGAGACACACAAAGTGAAAATTTACTTTTTTTATGGCATGTTTCCCAACATCACAGATTCCATGCAATGAGGTTGAAACTATTATTTAGACTCCAAAACGGTTGTCGAATCTTGTAATGTGAGGCTGTATAATATTTTTTATCTTGGCTGAAAAAAAGGATAACCATCAGCTGATTGTGACACTGCTGACAGTGACATTAAAGATAACCTAAAAAATCGGAATCTGAATCTGAATCTGATTTTAAAAATAAACTCTGTGAATATTTTAAATTAATTTTTGATGTAAATATTGAATAAATAGCTACTCATCATGACGATCGTTGAATATATGGCCTCATTAGCCCAAAACCCTTATTTTGGGGCTGGTTTTGGGTTGTTTGGGGTGGGTGCCGGTGCAGCGATATTACGCAAAGGGTTTCAGACATCTGTATTGTTATTCAGGAGGCATTGCATGATTACTTTAGAAGTCCCATGTCGGGACAAGTCTTATCAATGGCTGTTACAGTGGATCACTCAAAAAGGTGCCAGGAAAACTCAACATTTGAGTGTGGAGACTTCCTTCCTTCAAAAGGACACTGGACAGATAAAAACTAAATACGATTTTATTCCCAGCGTTGGACAACACTTTTTTCGGTAAATCATTTGAAATTATTCATTTCACCGTACAAAAATATTTACAAGTTCTTTACTGCTTATGTAGGTACCTAATTTTCATTTGTATAACTATTCAAATTATGTCTTCAGGTATCGTGGGGCTTGGATTCGTGTAGATCGCACTAGGGAGCAACATACACTTGACTTACACATGGGTGTACCCTGGGAAACAGTCACATTAACATCTTTTGGAAGAAATAAACAACTATACTATGACATCCTGGAAGAAGGTAATTAATAGTGGCAGTAATACATTTATGTAAATGGTTACTATAAACAATGATTGAACAAAGTTCTTGGTAAACTATTTATTAAGTCTGTATATTGTTTAATACTCATAGTTTTAACTGACTTCTTATACACATTATTTTATGTGTGTTATGTATCTTATTCCAGCTAGGACAATGGCTTTGAAACAACATGAAGGCATGACAATTATGTACACGGCAATGGGATCTGAATGGCGACCGTTTGGTCACCCGAGGCGGCGGCGCCCTCTACACAGTGTGGTCCTACGTAGTGGATTAGCGGATAAAATTTTGGAAGACTGCTTGGACTTCATCAATAATCCTCAATGGTATACTGACCGAGGAATTCCATACAGGAGAGGTAAAATTGGCTACATTTATATGCTATATTTGAAATAATAGTTTTATTTTATACAACTAAGCTGCCTCTTACTTTATAGAGGCAGATGCAATCTGACATGGAGTGACCTTACCCAAATTATGATCCACTAGCTTTTGCCCGCGGCTTCCAGTGATAGAGATTCGCATAAATTATAGCCTATATGTTAATCTGGGTTACAAATAATAATACTGTAAAGTTTCAACCTAATCCGTTCAGTACTTTTTGAGTGAAAGAGTATCAAACATCCACACAAACTTTCACCTTTATAATATTAGTAAGATTTAGTACTAATTATTATGGCTTACTTTGATTGAAAAAATTGATTCTTTCTTAGTAATAAAACCACATAACTTTCTTCTGCGTTTTCAAATTTTAAATTGGTGTTATGTTTTATAGTATTTCTTTGTTTTTACTAAAAATTCCCTAAAACGTGTTTTCAGGTTACTTACTCCATGGTCCTCCTGGCTGTGGAAAGTCATCCTTCATCACGGCACTAGCTGGTGAATTGGAGTACAGCATCTGTGTTCTCAACTTATCAGAAAGAGGCCTAACTGACGATAGGCTAAATCACTTACTAAGGTGTGTTATAGTCAAAATTTTAATTTTATTAAATTACTAGCTGTTGCCCGCGGCTTCACCCGCGTGAAATTCAGTTTATCACAGATCGTCGTAAATTATAGCCTGTAAATGCTATTCTGGGTTATAAACAATATTACTGTAAAGTTTCATCAAAATCCGTTCAGTAGTTTTTGCGTGAAAGAGTAACAGACATCCAGACATCCAAACTTTCGCATTTATAATATGTATTAGTAGGATTATACCTAAGATTTACCCTAAACTCTGCAAATGAAAGTATTTTCTTGATTATTTTTTCAGTGTTGCACCACAACAATCCATAATTCTTCTAGAAGACATTGATGCTGCATTTGTGTCACGAGAGGACACGCCGACACAGAAGGCAGCATATGAAGGCCTCAACCGGGTGACGTTTAGTGGACTCCTCAACTGTTTAGATGGGGTGGCGTCTACTGAAGCGCGAATAGTATTCATGACTACAAACTATCTAGAAAGGTAAGTACATATCAATGTGTTTAGCAAAAGCAAAATTTTGAAATGGACTTTAAAAGTAATGGGAAAACGAAACCCCAAACCAAAAGAACTTCATCATCAACAGTCATCATCGCTCACCAGTTGGCGCCACTGGAGGTCGAGTAATGTCAAGTGACAAGTCTTTTATCGCAAAATCCCGGTCTGTGAGCACGTAGAATTTTGTCCAATGACCTCAAGCTACCCATCCTTATCGCTCGCGCGTAATTATATTGCTGTCTCGACTGTGCGACGGGCGTCCGCAGTAAGTGTGCGAGCGCGACAGCAACATAATTACGCGCGAGCGATAAGGATGGTTAGCTTGGGGTCATTGGACAAAATTCTACGTGCTCGCAGACCAGACTATAGTAGCGCCTACTGGTGGGGGTGTACCGTGTAAGTACCTATTAATTTAACCTACCAAACAGAAGCCTGTTTTGCTATTTAATACTCATCTTCATTGTACAGTTTTTAAGGTTTTCACAATGTTTAACAGGTTAGACCCAGCATTGATCAGGCCAGGACGAGTGGACATGAAAGAATTCGTAGGCTATTGTGACCAAGAGCAAATCGAACTGATGTTCTTGAGGTTTTACAAAGGAGAGCAAGCCCCAGAACACGCGAGAACTTTCGCTAGAAAGTGAGTACTCTAGTACTATGATAAAACGTTTATAAAGGATCAATTGCCTTTTGTACTTATTCGTTATTAAAATTTTAGGGTGCTTGAGAAGAACAAAGCAGTCAGTCCAGCACAAATACAAGGATACTTCATGTTCCACAAACACTCGCCCCCAGAAGAAGTGGTTTCAGACGTTCAAACTATATGGACACTTGGATAATATATTACTGTGATAAAACCAAAGTACGTTATTTACTTAATTAGGGATATAAATTAATAAAACTTTAATTACAAAATAAACAATTTATTAAGTCTTCTATATTGTTATCATAATAATAACCTAATTCTTACAAATAAAATAATAGTACCTTCTTAACTTCTGTAACAAAGTTACACAAAATGTACATCTGGTTTAACCGAAAATGTTAATAAATTATGTACATGAAAGATATTCTGTTTATTGAAAATTGTTCATGGTTCTTACACACATACCTATAGGCAAAATTAAATCTAAGGTAAAAAAATTGTAAAGAAAATAATCTTATAATTTGGAAAGGTCTTAAATATGCTGTTTAATAATAAGTGCGAGCAATCAATGAATCGTTTTAAATAAGCAGAACCGCGATTTAAGGTTAAAAGAGAGCTTGCCTATTTTACTAAATCGCCCTGTATGAGATTCGGGGTGGCGCTGTCTGGCCGACAAAATATTTATGAACCATGCTAATCACGCGTGTTTCGCAACACAAAGTACGTTTTGTTTTGCTACGAGTAACAACCGGTGCAAGACTATCGACGAGACAGTAGAGCTTTAATTTGATGACAATGACAAGAATAAATACGCGATAAAATTATTATTATCTGGAAAGAACTTCTATAAACAGTTTACATCATAAAACATTATAATGTACCTAATGAATATATGAAAAATACACTACATAATTTTTTAATACAACAAATTAACATAACACTATAATATCACGTGAACGCTTAACTTAAAATAGCGCCTACTCAGTAATTTATATGAAAAACACACATATTTACAATAAAATTGCTGTTGAATATTAAATGTTGAATTCGGTTAAACAAATACAAATTTCAGAATCCTATGAACATATTAAATATGTATTACAATTATGAATACTTAAAATATTAATAATAAAATGCTACTCAATTCTAATTTAAGCACTGACGAAGACAGTCGCAAAACAGCTTCATTCAAAAACGATAGCTAAACAATGTATCTTCTAACCATAAAAATACTGCCTAAAACACTGGACACAGTTGTAAATATATTTATGTAAGTAAAGGTACTTATTATAGTATTGTACGTTGTTATTATTGCATCATAACTTCTGTACAATAATCACTCATCAGGATTTACCGTCAAACCAGGGGAGGATTTTTTTTACCATTGTTGTTCATAGTTTCATCAAACTTTAATTAGGTAAAAATATTTTCTAGAGTTAGGGTCGCGTTCGTAAGTTAAAAGTATGTATCAGTAACAAAAGAAGCAGTGGTTGCAGCCGAGTTTTAAAGTTGCGGTCGGTTCATATCACAGCTTTAAACGAACATAATTTTTGTAAAATAGTAACTACTAATTTTAAATACAAAACCAATAAAAAATATAATACTATTCCAATAAAATAACATAACTTGGTTGTGGTAGACAGCCGATATTTAAGATCGGTTGTGCCTCCATATGTCATATTTCCTGTTTCTGAGTTATAGATCTTAGTAGACATACAAATGTATTTGCGTTAGTGTAAATACTTTGTCCAGCCTTTTGTGCATTAAGCAGTACTTTAGTGGAAACATCTCCTTGGTAGACTTTCATAATTTCCCATTGCCAGTTAGGTGACATTTTTCCTATGTGAATGTTAATTTGGTTCCCATCTTTTATGGACATGCAAAATTCATTTCCAGAACAATGTAACGACAGACATAAAATTACAGGGTTGTTTTTATTTTCTTGTTTAAACTGTACTTTGAACTTTAAAAGGCATAGAAAATCTCTTGTGAGAACCGCATTAGCTTCAATCAATGTAAGTCCATGTAGCAATAATAAGTTTCTAAAATATTCAAACGGCGATGCAGTCTTTGTATTGGGCATGTCAACCGTGTCTAATATGATATATTCAGGACCACTTTTAATCGGTTCAGAAATAGAATTACTTGCTGGAGTTGCTGGCAACATCAACGCTGTTGACTGGTTATGTATTTTGTGAACTAACATGTCTGGAACGATTAAGTTGACTGTACTTTCCCGAGTACCTATTGTATTTTGAATTTGGTTAAAGTCCCAACTTGAGTTGCTTTGATCCCTTTGCAGTTGAGGTTTCATCAGCTCGGAGGCTGGCTTTACTTTGATTCGTGGGGCGGGTTGATTGCTGCCACTATTATTTGCAGAAGTTGAATTTTCAGTTTCTTTTTTCTTATTTTCATCATTCACTTCTGCAGCTAAAGATTTTGTTGACGTTATGACTGGCATGATCATATTAGGTTCATTATCTAGACCCTGATCAAAATTATTAGGTAGCCTTGAGATATACACTGGCTTTGCTTCGTGTACGTGTGACTTCTTTGGGAGTTGTTTTGGATTTGCAACAGGGTTTACATTTAAGAGTTTTTTAGAATTCGATTCTTCAGTACTACGGACATCCGTTAATACGATTTGATTTACACCATTAGTTACAGGAGACTTGATGACACCGGCTATTGGAACCGTTGCAGTTGGGATTATATTTAGAACGGCGGTGCCCGTACCTATAGGCACACATTGCTGTTGGGTACTGGTAAACTCGTCAAGAGTGGGATCATTTGTAACATCTACCCACCCAGAATCATCTTCAACGCGCTTATCTCGATCGAAATTAATTGCCGCAATTCGAACAAAACTCAGTTCTCGACCGGCCGACTGTGCTTTCTTTTGGGACACAGGTTCCCATATTACATTAAGATTTTTGTGTTCCAAATATCTTAAAATTCCATTGCTGGCTAAAGCTGATACGTTTAACGTTTTTCTTCCAAAACTCAAAATCTTATGTTTTAATTGTGCTTCCAGTTGTGCTTTATGAACCGGATGATTTTCATTCATCTGTTGTTTTTTATGTCGGATTTCAAATTTATTGCGACAAACTGTAATTATATTTTCTATAGTTCTTAGATCTATTTGTGGAGTAGTAGAGGAGTTTGGTTTGTTCTGGTTAAACACACCATCCATATTACTGTCAGATGAGTCATCCAATTCAATACATACTGTTTCTGTTCTGGTGTGTGGTGTAGGGACCAGTAATTCATTGCTATTTCTTTTAGATTTCGTTGTCTTAGTAAATACTTTTTCACCAGGCGACTGAGGACTTTTAGCAGTATTACCAATATATACCGTATCATTTGAACTCAAAGAAGATAATCGTCGCCTTTTCCTTTGTTTATTACTTACAACGAATTCAGAATCAGAAGAATCAGATTTATATTGCCGTTTATCTTTTGCGACATATACAATGTTATACCAATCACTGCCATCGTCTAGAAGAATTCTGTTTTTACTGAACACAACGGTATTGTTCAAACCAGTTATGTTAGGTTTGTTGTCTAATTTAGGCAAATACACTCTACACTTAGCTTCAAAAGCCTGGTGATTGCTTGCTATGAGGAAATTATGATCATAATAATGATTTTTAACAGATCTTTTATCTCTGTACATCAAAGAGCAAATTTTGCAAACATAATATTTCAAATAATCATTGGTTTTCCAATTTGCAGCTGGTTTATTGAATGAAGTGTTGTGGTTTATTTTCCTATCTTTTGTTACTGTTCCGTTTGAATTGTAACTATCATTGGATGTCAAAGACAATGCACGTCTGCGCCGTTTACTCTTGGAATTCTTTTTCTTTTGTGGGTTCACAGTTGCTTCGTTAGATGTAGTCGGTGCTTTTACCTCACCATTAACTAGATTCGCCTCATTATTTTCACTTACACTTACGTCATCAGGTGCATTTAAAGGTTCTTCTTTGTTATCAGTTTCCGCAGCTTTTGTTTCAGGAGGTTCTTCCTAAAAATAAATATTTTGTTAGACATCTGGTTTACGAAATCTAACCGTAACCGTATCCGCGGTCCGCCCCGGGTACCAAGCATCAGAGGGTGACACAAGTCGCGCAGATTAGTACTCACTGGCGCATCTGCATGGCAAGTCTGCGGTCTATGTCATGATACGGAGGGAGGAGGGGGTGCGATTGTCTTTCAATCTTTGAATCTGTAGATAAACTGAAAATTCTGGGGGGTACCAAGGGGTGCCTTAGGACTTATGACGGGGGGGGGTGGGTGAGGGGGGGCCAACCAGCTACGCAGCTAACCAACCCATGCTACGCCGCCACTGATCTCTCTCTTATTCTTATTATATTTCTATTCGAATTAATTAAAAAAACCGCTTACGTACCTTTTTAAATGTTAACTTCTCCTTCAAAGATGCTTGTTTTTCAACAAATATTTTTTTAATATTTGAATATTCCTGCAATAATGTATTACATTTTCTACATAGCAATTGAGGTAAACCATCAAATGGCTCCACCTGAAAGAAGAGAGAAAAAAATTTGACAATTTAATCTAGCATTTGCCACAAACATTTATTATTATGAATCCACTAGGTATAAGAAGATATTATGTCGCGAGTAACCTGTTGTGTAGAACGCCACGAGTAAAATTAATTAGGTTTTTGCAGGGTGCAGTTTTCGAACCAGTACTACTTACATTATACTTAGTGACTTTTTTAATTATGATACAAGTAAATAGGTACCTACTAATGACTAGTCTGCATGGATGTCTGGTAAGTAGTATTAGACCAAACTGCGCGTGCAGCGATGGCGATCAGACTAAAGGTTCGGCCAAACCAACGTGATCACACGCGATCAGCCGGCATGCAGCGATGGCGATCAATGTATTTAAGTCTGGACCAAACACATTTTTTTTTCACATTTGCATAAAATGTGATTTGGGAGACCCTATACTACAGGGACCGATAGAACTTTCAGTGGGAAATATCTCTACTACTCGACCAAGTGATAATGTTACAAAATAACTGATAAATCCAGACCAAATAAAATCTACTTTCTAGCGAGATAGGTATTTGACGGGAAGATGGCGCTGTAGCACGGTTCAAATCCCAATGATCAATTAACCAGTCCAAACTACGGCCCGTCACTCCATCAAACCGGCCCGCGACAGCTTAAGACCAAGCCTATGTTTGTATAGGTGGGCAGAAAAATTAAAATTGTTATGGGCCTTGCAAGTTGCAAGGTTGCAAGGCCATTGTTTTTTTTAACATTATGACCCTAAGGCTTCAAAGTTTGGAGACCCCTGAATTAAATGTAAAGTAACTTCCACTATAGACTTAGTGCACACTGTATACATTACTTCCCTAAAAAAAGATTTAACTTATTTTTCATGTGAGTCATATTTTTCTTTTACTCATGTTCAAAATAGGATTTTAAAATAAAAGCATGAAAATCACTGATTTGAAAAATGTATCTAGATAAGTAGGTACCTAGTCAATTTAACTTCACATTCATGCACTAATAAGAACTTTTTTACTTTTAATTAATAAGAACTTGGTGTTAGGCATTTTGTTTACCCGCTTTGATTTATGGCATTTTTTAAATTATTCGGGCAATTATAATATATTATCCGGGCAACCTTCCTTCATCATCATCCACACCCCTGAATGAGATTTTACTATTAAACTGAAGCTTGTTCTGTCTGTCATAAATCATCATCATCACCTACATCCTAGAGTTAGCTTATAATAATGAAATGCAAATAACCAATACATCATAAATAATTTAAATATGTATGTTGAAGAGGGACATTGTTTTGAAAAGAATAAAATGCAAAAAAGCATTAAATACTAATCATGTGATTAAAAAGTTAAGTTAAAACGCAACTTCTCGTTTCTCTTCAAATTGGCAACTTTCTGGTATTAGAAACAGATTCTTCACCAGATTATATTAAGCCGGTTTCATAGTCATATTCAATCACAAAAAATTGTGAAACAGTGTCATCATCATCATATCAGCCATAGGACGTCCACTACTGAACATAAGCCTTGGATTGCTCGTTGAAATAGTGTGAATTGTTGTAAATAATGAACAGTCGACCAATGCATTCAATCTTTCATTAACATAGTAATTAATAATAATTTGTACTTACATTTATATCAAAACAGTATTTAATTTGTTGCTGTACATTTGGGACAATTTGAAAGACCCCTGTATCCTCCAGACATAAACGACATGTGATAAAAAGCTTTGGATCTATTTCCAACAAGTCCATACTGGCAGCTTGATCTGTAAAGGAGAATGAAGTATGTACCCCACAGTTAGAAGTTTGATTTCTATAATTTATTACTCTACTCTACAGGGTATACTTAGGCTAGTCTTGTTAAAAGCGAATCGCATTAATACTATGGTTTATCAATCGGAATACTATCTACCTAACATTATTCGTAAACAAAACTATTTTTATTTGTCTGACACCTGTTTGTGCAGTACAAACTTGAATCTCCCGCCATTCCCACCACGAAATTAAAAAAACCGATGTAGGCCAACAAACATGGTTGGTCACGGAATGTGTAGACTTGATAGCTTTGGTGTGTATTCACATAAAAATAGCTGTATCTTACCATTAATATTACGCTCGCCGATGGAGTAACACTTTGGATCACAAAATACTGATTACACAAAATAAACTTAGCATAGGTTAGTCTCTAAATTCACACACAACAAAAAATACCATTCCTGCTGCCAAACATGATGACGTCCATGAAGAAAATGGGATCTCACTCCCATTCTCTCGTTCTGCTTTTACTTCTACAAAGCCATCTGTTAAAAACCTGAAGAATTAGCTGGTCTCTACGCAACGCCATCTGTTGATGAATAGAAACTAAAAAAACACTGCTTTAAGCAACATTATTGTCTTAAAAAAAGGTCAACAAAGAATGACCAAAGTTGTTTTTACATAATATTTACGTTTTTTATGTTATTAAATTTATTATTTGCGATGTAATCACAATAATTTACGATATTGAATCGTCAAGTTTTAAATTCACTTATAGAAGATAGCCCCATCTAGCGAGTATCGTTAGAATTACGTTTCAACAATAGTGATTCAATTCAAAGAGTAAGTGTCAAAATAAAAACCAAACAAAAGCTGCCCCACCAAAATGCAGAAATGGTGATGTTTATGTCATGTGGCATTCTCTACCAGTCAACCACTCAAAATCTGTTTTAATAGAACTACTGTAAGTAAATGTGAGGCAAATCAGATTATTTTCACATAAGAACAGAACATAGAGTAGTCAATGGGCTTGCAAGTTGGGGGGGGGGGGGAATGTTTCGTTTCAACCTCTAAGACGGACAATAATAAGCAGTATAAGCATACCTACTTGTAAGCAAGCATAGGTAGGTAAATCTACTTGGGGTGCGTGCGATGCAATGGTGAAGGACTTCCGTGTGGTCTTTTCACGCGGGCGGCTAACTTCGTTACCCCCATCGTTTGCCCGGGTTCGTTCTTTGGAGGGCTGCTCTCGGTACTTCTCTGATCAGCAGAGCTGCCTGAGCAGTGGCATGGAGCAGACCGTAACTCGCTACAGCGCAGCGGGCCGAGGGTCCTGTTTTACCAGGGCTACGAGGAGAAAACCTCTATAAAAATAACTATATGAGGGGATTGGGGGTTCTCTTGAAGCCGGAGAGGCTCGCTCTTGAGCGTGAGCCTCCAGCCTGAGGCTTTCTTTGGACTCCGGTGGACACCATTGGGGTTTAGTGGGTCAGGCCCCGCCTGGAAAGTCACATTTTTTAGGTCAGATAGTTTGACTTAGTTCCTTCAAAGCGACATCATGGCTGCCCCCCACCCCTTTCCTTCCCTGGGTACGCGTAACTAACCCAAGCCTTTTAATCGGGAGTGCTTGGCTTGGTACTTCTCTGATTTGCAAAGTTGACTGAGCAGTGGCATAAAGCAGACCGTAATCTACTACAGTAAGCCGGAGGTACTGTTTTTCTTGGATACAAAAACCTCAATAAACAACAGGCCATCGAGGCCAGTGGTGACGGCACACACAATACACATATGTATTGTGTGTGCCGTCACCACTGGCCTCGATGGCCACATGTACCATTCCTTTCGGAGCCAGGTAGGACTGAGCAGTAGTGGGGCCCCGCCTTTCTGAAAAGGAGAGAGCCTTATAATCCATTTCAAATATCCAGTCCCCGCAAGTTGTGCTGGTGGGTATTCAGTTTCATGCATAATTTTACTATCCCGACGCAAAATGAAAAACGGTCCCATGGGTACTGGGTAGGTTATCGTACTTACATTGAAGAAAAATTTCATGATGAATAAACAAATAATGAAGAATGTTCACTAATTTTGTTTTTTAGCTTTCTGTATTCTCTGTTAAGAATAAAAAATACACGTGAAAGAATTATTTGGATACGTTAATTAGTTTCCAAGATATTGAATTTTAAAAGTGCGGGCGGCGGCCGGCCCGCCATTTTATGCGCGTGACGTCATATTACAACGACTGGCTCATATTTGTATGGGTGGAATCTTGCAAACTGAATTAAGACCCACTTCCAGGCAACCGATTAAGCTGAAATTTCGCAAACACATGTGATTTGGATGACCATGCAATATTATGATGACATGGAGCTGATCTGATGATGGAGCTGGAAGGTGGCCATAGGAACTCTATAATAAAACGACTTAAATGCATCGAGTTTGGGCTCGTTCGTTTTGTATTGATGAGTATTTTAATTCTATATAGTAATCGGGGTCTAATGATGGAGCTGGAAGGTAATTCGCAATAAAACGACACAATCGCATCAAGTTTGGGTTTGGTTCAATTTTAATTTCTGTGATGGGTCTGGGTGTTAATATGTATAATAAGTTTGTATTTACAAAAAAAAAATATTTAAGTATGTTTATATCCGTTTTCTAGTGAGCGGACGCTGTGAATGTACGTCACACGGGGTCACGTGACCGTCGGCGGGACTCAATATTTAAGCGAACTTTGAATGCCTATAAAATCATAACTACTGGGTATTTTTGAATGAAATAAAAACTAATGTATTTGTTAATGTAAAAGCTTAACTGTAACATAGGTTTCAAGTGATTTTGCATACCTAGTAACATTCTCAATTAATTCGATTTAGTCCCGTGTCGGCATTAATACATGAAATACACAGATAAATTTAAAACTAGAAAATGCACAGGCAACAAGTGGTGGCCAGCTCTTAATTGATAAAACTTTTATTTGGGGCAACGGTGAGAAGAGCGGAAAAAATTTTGCTGTTCCCCAAAAATTCACGTTCTACTCATACAACAAAATAAATAATAGAAAACAGCTAAAAATAGCATCCTGTATAGTAATGCTACTTCATCGCCATCTATGCAATTTCTGGAGAACTTTTTGCCATTATTGAACCCCTTGCTCTATGGTGGATTTTTGATAAAGCGCCATCTAGCGATGAATAGATATAGCGAGTAAATAAAGTAACCAAAACCATATTCTGTGCCAAAACCTATTTTGTTGAACATAATAATATTTTAAGTGAACACTGATTAATAAAGACAAGCAAGATATTGATTATGATATTTTATAATGACTGAGTACTTAAATAACTACAATAAATGAAATTGAATTCCCTTGAAATTTTGAAAACTACCATCTACTGGAGTATTACTAAGTTGTACTGAAAATACACCGCATGGAACCATAATAACAATAAAAAATATTATGCGAAGAGATTTTAGTATACAAATTGCTAAAAAGATGGCGCTTTTAGGCAATATTAACTATGATCAAAAGATGGCGCTGTACAGTATATAAAACGCCATATAAATCACTCGAGCTTAGCTTAGGCTCTTAGCTGCTCGAGATGATTCTTCAGAAGTTACGAAATCGAGTATAGTTCCAAAATACTGAACTGTCCTATGCATGACATTGACAGTGGGGCGCCACCAGTGGGTCTAGACAAAGTGCAAATTAAAATCGCAAACCAGTCGAAAAGTGGTCGAAAAGCCCCTTTTTTGTATGGAGTTTTGACGGATTCGATCAAAAAGTGCGTTTTGTCTAAGGGGGCAGGCGCCACCGTCTATATCTGTGGTCTATACCGAATCGCTGGTTTGGAAACCATAATAGTTGAACGATGGTAGCGCCCCCCTGTCATTAAGTTTGGTGGGACAGTTCAGCGTAGGTCATCTATACCCTATAAATAATAGGTACGATTTGATTTGAAGCTGTTTACACGAAAAAAAAACTTTATTTTTGTTGGAATTGTTTTCACTCGACAGGTCAGGCAGATGACTCCCAACGACCTTTGCTTTTGCCTGATTGCGCTGTACATACGATTGTGCTGTAACAACTAAAGGGAAAAATAATTAAAACGGTTGAGATTTCTTATTTTATATTATTTTTATAACTATTTTCTGTCAAGGAGATTAACAGGCATCTTAATTAATTAATTAAACATAGTAGATATTAATTCTACAACAGAAGTCACGATTACAAGAATAAAAACAAGCACATTCGTAAATTTTACATACTAGTCAAATTAATTATATTTATAAAACGTCATACAATATCAAATTCAAAAATAATTCACAAAATGCAATTTCATCAACTGAAATAATTACAAAGGTAATAACTGTAACAATTAATCTATCGAGTCATTCACAAAATATTTACTCACTCTGGGGGTATTTAAGAAATCGATTAAGTATCAATCCATTCATCGGCATGGCATCACCATGAAATATTTATATCACAGCACTTGTAAAAAATTGCGTTTGTCAAAAGACGAAAACATTTATATACAACAAGTCTATTTGAGGATTCCCCAGAGGAAAGACTTCTGAGACTCTTGAAAAAGAGCTGTTAAAATTATGCGGAATAATACCTTCCCATAAAGTTAGTAACTAACATAACGTAACATAACTATTTATCTGCGCTGACGACGTTTCTTTTTGTTCGTGCGGCCCTGGGCTCCTGCCGCGTGTCCGTTGGACGGGCCGCTGGCGGGCGGCGGCACGGGCGGCGCGGGCGGCGGCGGCACGGGCGCCTGGCGCATGCTCACCACCGTGGGCCGCCCGTTCGGAAGCTGCGCCTCGGGCGGCACAGGGGCGGCCCGCGGGGGCTCGTTCATCGCCGCCCGCAGTCGCTGGCGGAGCCGGCGGCGAGCGTTGCGGGACATCTCCCGCGGGGCGCCGCCGTCGTCGGGCTCGACGGGCGCGACCGGCGGCGGCTCCACCGGCGCGGGTTCGGGCTCCCGCTCGACGTTGGGTCGGGCTCCGTTCTCGATGCGGGCGCGCATCTCGGCCTCGGAGCGCACGAGCGCGTCGGCCTCGCGGCCGAGGGTGGCGAACGCGCGGGAGAGCCGGGCGACGTCGTTCTGGAGGTCCTGGAGGAACGGTTCCAGCTCGTCGCGCGCCTGCAAGCGTGTGCCGTCGCGCGCGTTGCCGCGGCTCGCGACGCGCAGCACGGCGCGCGGCTGCGGCAGCTGCGCGAGCTGCTCGTGCGGCGTGCGGCGCACCGCCAGCTTGCCGCAGATGGCCACCGGAGCGACGAGCGCGCGCGCGTCCAGGCCGTTCACCATGAGGCAGCGACCCCGCTTCTTGAGGGAGCCCTCGCAGGACCGCACGGACCACACCTGTGGACCGAAGTGCAAATTATGTACCAACGTCGAATTTATTATTTGACTAGCAAAGTCGCGAATTGTATTTTATAGAGACATACTTAGCATAGTGTGTGACGGTACTCATAGTAGCCTCTACATCAAAATATGTAGATGAAAATGATGTAAATAAAATACATACACAGTCCGAAAAAATTGCTTCTCGGTCGTTTCCAGAAATGGTCACTGTGTAGCAAAACTCGTGGGCTATCCATGGCGACGCGGCCATTGCAAGCCATGCACAAACTGAGTCACCTGCAAACATTTAAAAAAATAATTGTCGAGTTCTTGCTTTAACTGAAAATGCGTCGAATTTTATGAAAATAAATATTTTACTTACTATTTATTTCAATAATCAAGAAGAATACTCCCATGTCAGAAATGCGTACTGCAGTAACAATCCTACCAGGTACGGTAGAAAATTGCCAAGCCTGTACATACTCTCCATTTTCTGACTGACCCTGTGTAGAAACAAATAAAATACTTATTTCAAAAGTTTACATGTGAGCAGTAAAGTAAGGCACTTCTTCCCACACAAGGATTCTGTGTTGTGGGATCCAGTAAGTTTGTTATTTTTTATTGTACACCACAGAAAAAGCAGAATTAAAAGTATCAAGAGCAGCAATATTCGGTGCTGCTATAGCAGTCCATTAACGAAGGTACATGTTGGAACGTGTTTGAATTACCTCAATAAGTTCTGGCGAATGATAATAACGCAGATGATTGAGCAGGCGCGCAGCGGGCAGTCGCTCGCCATTGCCAGTTTTACAGCAAAGGCAGCGAAACAGACCCTTGCATGCTTGTGGAGCTCTAATTACTACTTGCTGAAATAAAAAAATTAACTTATTTTTTGTCTGTGACGTACACAAAAACTATTTTGATGATAATAGCACAATACACTTTCTTACATTTGAAGACTCTGGAGTTGGCTCTTCCTCTTCTTCGTTGACTATCCCAGGTTCTGTAGTTTCGGTACTGGCGGGAGTACTACTTTCAGCAGCATCAGTACCAGTGGTAACTTTGCCACCAAGTTTCTAAAATTACAATACAATTATTAGAAACCAGTTAAAAATTGATTTATTCAAATATTTATGAGAACTGTAGTTTAAATTAATAAATAATGTGAATAATATAAAACAATGTGAAGTAAAATACTTACAAAAGCTCTCAGTTTCCTAACATTGGCTATGAGCTCTTCCATTGCATAATTTCGTGTTCCAAAGAACAGAGCTCGGCAAACAGGGCACATGTCAAGACGCATCTTGCAACGCCCACACACGTGGTGGCCCTCATTGCATTGGAATATCTGGCCAGTGGGGATTTCATAGCACACAGGACATTGCAATAAATCATCAAGGTCCGGAAGTGCCTCAGACTGTAACAAATTAAGATTTATTAGTCTATCAGTTGGTCGGCCATTTGGTGTAGTGGTTCAGAACGGACTTCTATTCTGAGAGATCCCAGATTCGATTCCCGGCCGGGCAGAAATTGAAATGATGAATTTTAATTTCTGTGACGGGTCTGAGTGTTTTCTATGTATGTATTTACAAATCAAAAATGTATTTAAGTGTGTTTATACCCGTTGTCTAGTACCCATAGTACAAGCTTTGCTTAGTTTGGGACTAGCAGCGCAGTGTAAAATGTCCAAGGATATTTATTAATTTATTTATTTACCAGCTGGTGATACATAGAAAATATATTTAAGGATAGCATAATTAAGCTTTTCTTAACTTATTAAGTGTTGAATGCATAGAAAGTTAAATAAAAAGGATTAAAATTGATTTCATAAGAATCCACATGTGAAGGTTGCTTTTTTTATTAAATAAAAGGTAACCTAAAAATTTACAAAGTTATCAGAGCTACTGCAGCTTAATATGAAAGTACCTACCTACATAAAAAATTAAATATTGCCAAATAATGTCAATAAGATGAATAAGTTTATTCATAGTTGACTGAAGGATAAGGCATACAGTTGATACAGCCAACTGTGTAGTATGCCTTGAGCAACATAATTTCGTAACATTGTTTTCCAGAACTATTTTTAGATTGAAGGTATAATATACATTTGTTGAAAAATAATAATAAATGTACAAAATATTATAAATATCTGAACAATATAGGAATAAGAAAGTGGAGACCAAAAGGGTGATGAAGGACAAAATGTACCTATTTGTATGTCAACATTTGCTAAATAAATACTATGCAGGTGGCTGGTACACTGGAGAAGACAAGTCAAGCAATAAAAGGAGGCCAGTGGAAAAGTGGCCCGCTTGGGGTTTTAAATAGAATGAATCGTTATTTATTGCACTGATTTGACTTGATTCCAATCATCGCATCATTCAAAGGCTCGCAAGATATGAACAAATCGCCAAGTAAAAGAAAGCTAAAATTAATGTACATGATGCATGACCAAATTGAAGCACCTACCTAAATATTTTTACGCATTCATTTTAGTAGCGATTAATAATAAATAAATACGTTTAATTTAGTACATCGTGTACATAAAACAATATTCTGCAATGGAAGGTAGATTTCGTAAACTTTATCCAAGGATTTTACGTTATTATTTTGGAACCATCGCAACTGCTAAGCGAAATATTTATTAGAAATCTAGATTTAATGGAATTCGGATACTCAAATACTAGCATCCGTAACTATCGACCAACGGTTAAAGGCAAAGGCTGAACAGAACAATGAAAATTTGAAGAACATGGTCGTTCGTAAATTAATTTTTACAAACCTTTGTCTCGACTTTTTCTGCCATCTTGAAGACTACTCTTCAATAATTACAAATATGTAAATCAGGACTGTGAACGTAACATTTATAAGTTTTTACGCAGAAACAAAATGAACAAAATCGAGGCACAGCTGTCGCTTCAACAAATGGCGGACATACATTAGTAGTGATGTCCTATTGCATTATTTGTTCAAGATGTCCTCGCTCGTGCGTGGCATGGCATTAGTGAAAAAATAGAGATACCATCGGAATGTAAGTGAAGTTTCTAAGTCCATAAAAATCCCTTTTTGGGTGAATGCAATAGACTGGCTAAAATTATCGACATTGCTATTAATAATGAACAGTGCCCCGAATCCCGATTGCGCAAAATATTTTCAACTACAACGCGACTAGACGACGAACGAAAATCACAAATTCGTATCGCGGTGTCGCTTTGACAGCTAATTCAAACGAAAACAAAAGGTATTTTCTGCCAGTTAACCTTCGGATTATCGTCTCGGAATCAATACAACGGTTGAAGGAACCTTGAACTGTTGCCATTTAATTTCGATTATTTTAATATTAAAAAACAGTAACATGAAAACGTAGAGTTTATCAATAATTTTATGAATTGATAAATAAAAAGCCTTGCAAAAACCCATACAAATACCCGTTGAAGCTTATTCTTAAGCTAAAAGAAGAGGTTGGAATTTCTAAAATAATTGTTCTCTAGTCTCTACTAACTTCTTGCAACAATCTTTTGCATATGTGAATATGACACTCATTTCACTTTTGTGAATCGATATTTTTTGAATTTTTTGCAACCCTAACTCTAGCTGTCAAAAACTACGGACAATAGATACCACAGGACGAAGCGCNAAAAAAAAGATACCACAGATATGGATTAGAGCTCGGCTTCATACAATTTTTGACACATGCTGCATCTATCCATATCTGTGATAAAAACCCAAAAACCTATAAAAACTCGGTGGATAGAAAGGTGGATAGGCAATGAGGTATCACTAAATAGATGGAGGCAAAAACAGTGAATTGAGACAGTTGACAAACAAAGTTGGATTTAGGATTGATTATTGGCAGTGCGATACGAGGAAATTATTTCCCACGTAGCTAGGATTAACAAATTCAATATTTTCTTTTGAATGATCTAATAATGCAAATTAAAGATAAAAATTATGTCACACACACGCACGCTCAAATGGTATGTCTGGTCCATATTAATTTTTACAAGTCAATGGATTGACAGCTGTCACTGCTGACACTTGTCACTGTCAGATTACAGACAAAATGAAGTGAAGTGAGGACCTCATCTGTGGTGAGGACTTGAGGAGACAAAAAATCCAATCCTATTTTTCATCGTCAAACTGATTTTTTTCCCTCATCATTTCCTAATTCAATAGCTATTTACTCCAATAAATATGTGCTGGTGCAGGAAGTGAATTTAATTGTGTTGAACTTGGTGTACCATGGAGAAAATGTATATAATTCATCTTTTCTTTACAATTTTTCTTAGTTATCTATCTTGTGAGTATATATTTCAATTATTTACATGAATTCTATGTACTTAACATTACAATACTTTAATTCATTCTGTGAATTGGAAATAGGAATATGTTCTTAGAGACATCGATACTTATTCATAGCAAAAAGTTATTTTTTGTTAGCTGATGTTTGTATTGTCACAGTGTCACAGTCGGAGAGGCTCCATGAGCAGATTTATTCTTCAATAGAAGGTGGAGCTCCATGCTTTCGCAGGTTGAATGGGACACACCAGGCAGGATGTTCATGTAATTAACTCTTTTTTGTAAACAATCAAACATTATATTGTGGACTCTGTACATTAGCATTTATTAACGTCATTAATACTTACAGCAACTAAAAAAGGCGCAGTGGGTGCTGTGCTCATGATAAAAGAACTGAATGATGCAATTTGGTTGACTCAAAATGCCACTAGTGGGTTGTATATGGCAGTCGTCAGCACTGCCTTATTCCAGGATGTCATTGAAGAGTTCCTAAGCCACCCAGAAAATGTAGCTGGTATATTAGTGTATGAGAATGCAAGCCTTATGTGAGTTTTTTAGTATTCATCTTAATAAGTACCCTAGAGTAACCTATATCAGATTTGGGGGGTTTGGCTTCGAACATAGTCCGCTTTTTCGACCACTGACTTCTGTTCTTGGCCACACACAAGCACCTTACTACAAATTTTAATTGTTTTTTAACAATTTACTGTTCCCATTGTGCTATTTGTAATTAAATAAAGTTGTGACTCACTTGCTTTTCTACACTTAATCATTGATTAAAGTTACAGTAATAAGTACAGTTAACAGTAATAAGAATACTTACTTAATTACACGTAAATTCTGAAATAATCTTAAAACTCATGACTCATGTCACTAATATGGTCTGGAACAAACTTACAAAACCATTTTCATATAAATAAACTTCATATAATTGTTCTTTTCAGCACCAGTGCCTTTACACAAGATTCAAAGTGTCCCAACGAATATTCATCAGGGCCAGGAAGTACTTGCTCTTCAGCCGAACCTGCTGGTTCTGTATGGAATGAAAAAGGTACCAACCTTATAAGAAGAGATATACCATTCCCAATCTTCTTTTTGCCTGAATCACGATTGGAAGAAATAAAGAAAATTGAGGAGTGCTATGAGAGGTATGAGTGTACTAATTTAACACCCTTACACTTGTATTCACAAACATTACTATGAGGTCTCCTCACAGTGCGTGTGGACGCACAGTATCACACACGAACCAATCACACAGTTCTATTCAACGCCGTGTGTTCGATTTGCTGCTTCACTTAAGCAAGCATTGTTTGAGAATACAGGTGTAAATATCCATGGTAATCATTTGTAAAGTACAGATTTTTATTGAAAATTCAATGTTTCAGATATAACTTGGACAGAAGTGATCACAATGGTAGACCTCTATGCTCAGTTCAGCTGCGCTCTTTTATGTATGCAGCTGTGAACACAGTGGTTTGCACGAGAAGGTAAGTAAAATGAATTATAGTTGCCTCTAAATCTTACCATTTGTGTATTTTAATTTCCTTCTAAGATCTTTTTTTCTTTTGTTTATTTATGTCTGTAGATATGTGTGTACCAATTTTGTTGTGCTGAAGATGGACAGTTAAAATACTCACCTCTTAGGGTCGCCGCACACGGACTTCACGCCATAGCTACAAAACGCCACCACACGAAAATGCATGTAAAAACGCCGTTGGTGGTCGCGTTTGTGGCCGTGGCGTGAAGCCCGTGTGCGGCGACCTTTAGTTTAGCTGTATTTTTTTATTGTTTTCAGGTCGGCATCATCAGCGATTTTGACCCCAACTAAAGTATGTGACCCATTGGGTGATCAAAATGTTTACTACTCATTGTTTCCCCGACCTAAGGTTTGTTATTTGTTACAACATGGTGTTGTTGAGTAATTAAAATTTGGATTAAATTTTTCATTGAGTTGACCGATTTCTTTTTCTTTCACAGGAAAATAAGGATGCCAAAAAACCCGTGATATTAGTAACTGCGAGAATAGACTCAGCTTCATTATTTGATGGTATTTTGATTGTGAATTTTGTTATCCCTTTCGGACCCGCGCTTAAACTAGAAAGAAATTTGTAATTTTGAAGATGAATTTTTGGTAATTTGGGGCCGCAGATTACGAATCTGCTATAATTTTCCAGATTTTCCGCCGCCATCTTGGAAAATTCATATACCAACAATTGTATCAAACTGGGCCCTTCACTTCCCACGTACAATTGTGAGGGCCAAAATTGTAAGGGTTTTGGAAATTTTATCAATGGCATGTATTCCGAAAAACGTATTTATAACCAGTAAGGAATAAAGAGGTTTCATTTTTATACCAGTATTTGCCATTTAATATTGATTTGTGGGCAAAACCATCGGTTCCATGAGCTCAAGAGTAAATATAGCGCTCGAAATATTCCTATGGAGTTTTAATATCTCCTGGATCATGAACAACATCTCCTGGAAGATGTTAACGATTGAAGGGCTTCGTCTGCTATGCCGCTTACATACTCAGACGTACGTATCGTCATGAATGTCTGAGCCTTCATCAGAAGAAGAGGAGTAGTTCATCTGAAGTAGCCGAAATTAGCTTTTGTCGTTGTCATCGCTCTCATCCCCAGATGCATTGAGCATCTCTGCGATAGTAGCGTCGTTTAAAATCGGAAACATGGTGCGGAAAACAAGAAAAATTAATAATTATGAGAAACTTAAAATACGCATAAGGTATTGTAGGGCCCACGTCGATACAATTGTGTCAGTAAAGTTCGTTAAGCCGTTACGCCAAAGTCTTTGCTTATAAGTAGTCCCTGTTATCACAAAAAGATGCTATTTTTATCTATTTGTCAAATCAATAACTTGTATATTACTACAATTACAAAATAAAACCATAGTAGGTACTTTCTTTCACCAAGTCGGGGAGCGCAATCAGTCATGAACTGTACAGGTTGTAACCTGCTCACCAACTGCGCTTCGGACAAAATTTTGCACGGGAGGTGAAAGAACGCATCCCGCACAATCGTACGATACTCAGCCCATCCACTTCCGATGTAAAACTAAAGAGATAATCTCGATTTTGTAACCCGCACAATTGTATTGGAGGGGTCCGAAAGGGTTATTATATATTTCGAAATATTTGGATTACTTTCCTTTCATATGCGTTAATTTTCTTGCAGGTCTTTCTCCTGGCACAGCCAGCTCGGTAGTGGGCATGGTGACGCTGATAGCAGCAGCTGCTGCATTAACGGAGATGATACCACAGAGCAAAGCCGATTCGTATGGTAAGAAATAGCAATGTCACTGTACAGCTAGCCTAGATTGTGCCATTATATCTTTTATCAAGATTTATCGATATTAATCCTTCAAGGCCTGCTAATCTAGACACAATAGATAATCAATTGTTATGACATTAATGAATGCCGTCTGGGACTCAAGCGGTTAAACGATAAACCCATACATTTGTCGTCTAAAATCGACGATAAGATTATATCGTGGTGCGCAACCTAGGCCGGCTGGTTTCGTAACTGGTTACGAAAACAAATCTAACAAAAGACAGACATAGTCAGACAGGCTTTTGAATGTAAACAGCATACTGAGCATAATGGCTGCCCTTAATAACAAAACAACTTGCTAAACTCAAGTATGTATGTATTATCTTTTGTTTTAGATACGAATGTTTTATTTACGCTTTTCAACGGCGAAGCGTTCGACTATATTGGGTCTCAGAAAGTAGCGTACGACATAAGTAAGACCGCGTGGCCGCAAGTTAACCCGCTGTCGCCGGCTGACATCCCACTACATATCGAGTTGGGGCAGATCGGTGGCGCCCTCTTGGCTAATAGAGACAACCAGTCGTGGCCGTTCTACGCCTTTGCTCCGACGCTCGCTAATACTATGAGCCAGGTATAGACAGTACCTAATATAACATTCCATATAATTTCGCCAATTCGTGATTGCAACACTATTTTCTCAGTGTTTTAATTTAAGACCTATCGTACTACCAGGAGTATTAGCTGTAGTAAGTATGGTGGATTCGAGGAACCAATGTTGGTTATTTAGCTTGTCTCATTGATAATTCGAAGTGAACTATGTTCTCATTTAATTGAATACCATTAGCTTACATTATTGAATACCGTATAAGTGATGTTTTATTTCACAGGTGTCGGAAATAGTCAACGAATTGTCTTTGAACCTCAACCAATACAACATGAGCCTGATCCTGACCGCCACAGACAACATACCGCCGTCGTCCCTGCATTCCTTCAGGCGTATCTTGAAGAACGTCACGGAATCCGGGACGTTGGCCGAAGTTCTGATCGTGGACCACAATGAACATTTCACGAACATGTTCTATAACTCGGCGCTAGATGGACCTGATAAGATCGGCTTTGAATACCACAACATCAGTATCAGTAGTAATGGGACTTGTAAGTTGAAATCGAATCATATTATCTTAATTTTTTATGTGACGGACGCTTGAATTTTATCTTAAACTTATTTTAATTACAGTTATATCGACTGAAGAACTCATAAAGAACGGCACTATGAAGGAAACAGAATCGCAAGTGAAAATAGCGCAGCTTGCGACATCATTAGCACGAACGTTGTATAAAAAGGTTACGAACGAAAAATACACTGGCGATGTGTCAGCGTCTGCACACTTGGTAAGCTAATGAAACAAGCAAATATATTATCTAACAGTAACATTAATTGTAGTCGGAAGCACATATTACGCATTAAGCGTCACACTTGAGCTCAAATCTCACAACTATAACCACAATCTGCCACAGTTTTTACTTTAAGGCTAAGAACTCACGGTGCGATATTCACCCGCGCCCGCGGCGGTTGTGGAATTGCGGTTTTATTTCAAAAGTCACGGGAGCGGTTATTTGCGCGGTTATTCTAAGACCCGATTACAACCGCGCCCGCTGCGGGCGAAAACCGCCTCGTGAGTCTGTTGTGCATTAGTTTTTCTTTTTACATAAGTATCTGCATTCTACAGAAGCTGCGGGCCCGCAACCGCCACGGGCGCGAGTGAAAATCGCGCCATGAGTTCTTAGCCTAAAGTGCCATCGTCCTTACAATACATTTATTAATTGATTAAAGCAACATTTCTTTTTCGCTTACAGATAGACGAGATGCTCTACTGTTTCTTGACGAGTCAAGTGTGCCGCCTGCTGCTAGCAGCCGACTTCGGCCAGAGCGGGGCTACGGCAGAGAGCTTCCCGCGTAAACCGGCTCCGCTATACGTGAGCGTGTCGCACTACGGTGGCACCGCGCCATTGTTCGCCGGCCATTTACTGGCGCTGCTCACTGGCACGCCACTCCCCGCTGTCAACCGGACGATGTGCGATAAGCCCGACAACAAGGTAAGTAGTAATAAGTCGCAAGTGAGACTTGGAAGCAGACGGTAGATACATTTCTACCTTATAGTGACGCTACTGGCGCCACTTGCGAGTGACAGGACCTTAGACCACAGCTGCACAGTGGCGCCAACTTAGTGAAAGCAAATGCACTCGCCAGTTGGCGCACCGCAAAAATTTTGCCGCATCACTGTACACATGTGGTATGCGGCGCCACAATACGGCACCGTCACGCTCAATCGAAGTGCGGTGTGCCTGCGGTGCGGCGCCGGAACGCACCGTCTGACATATCATTGATTTTTAAAAAATTTATATGCAGGACGCCGCTGCGACATCGCTCCGGCGCCGCGCCGCGATCGCTCCGTGTGGCTTCTCCCTTAGCCTTCTCACTAGCGAGTGACATGACCATACTCGCCAGTGGCGCCAACTAGCCCTTGTTTCAATAATCTTATTCAAAAAATTACTTTATATTGTTTGTGTATGTTAATTAATGTTTCTTTAATACTGGCACTTTATTCTGTTTTCTCTCATTTTCAGGGCTTCTCATATCTCTACCTCAAGGGATGGAACCACACTGGCATTTGCATAAGGACCACTATGAATTTCAGTCAAGCAATAAGTCCAGCATTTACTTCCAGAGGTTCGTATTTACTTTCTTAACTTTGCCATAGCCCTCCTCCGTTCCACCTAGTCTGCTTGCTATATTATAAAGCCTTGTTCGCACTAGTCGAGTAGATTAGTAGAAAACAAAATTCCTGTTATGTGTTACCATGGGTCACTTAAAAATTAGGGAATGATGGTGAAAACGGGCATTAGTCACCTTTAGTAACTAAACTACTCGCTACTGACCAAAAAACCGTTCGCACTTTAGTACTTAGAGTTTACAAGTAATTGTGACTTATAATATGAACTCGACTGTTTTTTTACGTCGGGAAATGCTTTGCGCATACCCACTGGCCGACGGGGACGGCGAATGGGTTATGTGGGACTCTCCCCGCGTACCCACTAAAGGCGGGGCCTACCCACTAAAACCCGACGGTTTGGTTGGCACGTTAATAAGACATGGGAGCGCGCGCGGTGTCGTCGGTGGCGTGAGATGAAGAAGCGGCCGATCACCGAGCAACCGAGGGCAGCCGAAGGTGCCTGAACAGCTTGACTAACCAATTTAGTAACCTAGTCGACTAAATTTTTGGTGTTCGGACACATTTTGTTACTAAATTACTCCCCACTTGACTAAATTACTATGTATTCTATTTCAGACTACGATTTCACATCGGGCATGTATTCCACTTGGACGGAGTCTGTATGGCAGTTGATATCGGCTCGGGTATTCGTATCAGCGAGCGGCGGTGGCGCGCGCGCAGCCCTGATCGCAGGGCTGGTCGCCACCGCCATCGCGGCCTTCCTGACCTTCTGGATAAAGAGCAATTCGCAGAGGATCTTCGTCAACGCGCCTGCCGGATCGCTCGTCAGCACTGATGCTGCTACTGGGTAAGTTCTGTAGATTTATTTTATTAAGACTGTAACCATAGACACGGTAATAATATCATACAGTATTGTAACTTCATATAAACCGACGAAACGCGAGCATTCCTTCGAATTTCAAATTTCGGTACGCGGTCGAAAGTAAAAGTTAGGGGTGTCGCGAATGTGCCGAACGGACGTCGATGGCCTAGTGTTGAAAATGACTAAGTTGATTGAATTTGACTTACCGTCTTAAACGGTCAAATTTTTCAAAAACTACCTAGTCATTAACTGTCAGAAATGGTCATTTTCAGTCAGTTTGATTTGAAATGAAAATTATATTGTATTTAAAACCAGCTTTGGCCCACGACTTCACCCGCCTGAAATTAAAGTAACCGGTCATTATGATTAGTAGATTCAAAATTATTTTAGTATATTTTTTTAAATTAAATCTACTAACCACTAAACAACACGCATTTTTATCCTATTCCATTCAAAAAGTATTTTGTTTGTCTAAATAAAAAAAAAATACAATCACAATACTAGATAGAAATTCTAAGTAGACAGATGTAATTAGAATGGGTACTGTAGGTGAGCAGCCCTATCGCATGTTGTCATACCGTGACGTACCGCGGGGCTGTTGACATTTATTTCAAAAATATGGCCGAGTTGGAATACTGTATAGATAGTATTACCGTGCCATAGAGATATAGAGAGATGCCAACTAATGTGCTAAGTTCGAAACTCACGCCCGTATTCACAAACATTACTATGAGGTCGCACAGTGCTCGTGGACGCACAGGGTGACACACGAACCAATCACAGAGCTCTATTCAACCCTGTGCCTTCGATTTTCTGCTTCACTTAAGCAAGCATCGTTTGTGAATACGGGCGTATGTGTCGCATTAGAAATTTACACAAAGTAATCAAAATAAGTGCTCATTATCCACTGCGGTGTCAGTTATCAACGTTTGAATAATCTTTAGTATAGATGACCCACGCTGAACTGTCCCACCAAACTCAATGACAGGGGGGCGCTACCATCGTTCAACTATATGGTTTCCAACATGGCAAAAATCTGAACCAGCGATCCGGTATTGACGGTGGCGCCCCACTGTCAATGTCATCGACAGGACAGTCCAGTATTTTGGAACTATACTACGCAAGCAATGAAAACTGTTTACATTTTGACACTGACACACACATTGATGTCACGAGCAATATGTCCCGTTTTTGGGCATATTGCTGCGACACTGACCCCGCCCCCTTTTCACATCTCCCTTTAGTTTCTGTGATCTGTGACTGTAACCTTCTTATTAATGGTAAAACGAGGTCAAAGAAAAGCCATATTCGCATGGAGAGACCACCGTCAATTTCAAGAACCATTTTATGGTTACCGTAGCAAAAGATTTGCTTTTGAACATCATCAAATGTAAGGCAATGTTGTATTTTCCGCTAATGTTATTTGTTTTTGTTTCAGGATACTAAGGACTGTCAATTGTTGAACATAAGAAGTAAATAGAAGAATTAGGCTGTGTTATAAGAAATTATGATTTTAATCATTCCATACTTTACACATCCTATTTATCAGTCAGTATTTACATGAGACTCATTTGATACATAACAATACTGAATTACTGACGTTTAATTTAAAATACTACATAATATGAACTGTAATAATAGACTATAGGTAATGAAATTAGTTAACTTTGCCTTCAACATTATTTATTATATTTCGTGATAGGCTAGCGTAATTAATATAATTTAAATAAATTTAGATTAAGATAATATTTTGTATGCAAATGAACAGGATATTTGTATTTTCAATACACTTTTCTCATCATTTAGTGCATTAGATATCCGGGTCTGTGTGATCATAAAAGCGTTTGTAATACATCTGGAAATAAATAAATAACAAACATTCAATATTCAATATAATTTTAAATTCTTACTGCTCTCTTTAAAAAAGTCAGTCACAAGCCGTTAACTTTCTAACGCAAATATTAACCACTGAAGGCAAACCATGACTTTCAGAATAAAAGAAATTAATCAATTACTTTGCAGTTCGATGTGGCTGCTCTTACTTTTGTAAAAAAAGATCTATTTATATCTTTCTAAAACGGCACAGTTGAATAGAAGCTTGTCTTTTGATAAATCTATTTGGATCATTTTGAATATTGAGTTGATGAGGTTAAGTGACCAGACAATTAATAAAACTAATTCATTATACTTTATGTATTTTATTTTTTATATTACAGCACTAAAGAATATGTTAGCAATTGATTGACCAAGAGATTTTAAGAACACCATGTAAAACGATTGCGATGTCACTTGTTTCCAATACAAGTCTGTTACAGATTCGAGATGTCTTTGTATTGATACTCTATCAAAAATAGTTTCTTTTAGCGCGTTGAATTTCAATATATCCGCAATATTACTTGGTTTGTCGTTTTCTTTGGTAGTGTTATTAGAAAATACTTTGGCTAACCATTGCTTACTGTGTAGGAAGTTTGCGTTGTAAATGTTATTGTTATCAAGAAAAATGTTGTTGATAATAGAGTCCTTTTTGCGCGATTGCGTTGATACATTGTTATCGCCTGCTTTCTCGTCTGGCTTTAGTATGAGCGTTGCGCCATTTTTCTGAGGCAGTATAATCGCGCTCATTTCTGACGTTTTGGCGTGGAGTGACTCCGAGTCCGAGTAGTAATTGTCCACGGAACTATTTTCGTCAATATCAGACTTTATAATGTAGTCATTGGCTCTACAAATGTTAGGGTTGCTCTGTCGCTGTGTTTTTGTGTAGGTCACTAAATTCAACTGCCTCCCTTTGTTATGCATATGTAAGTACCGTTTTTGTATCGCATTTTCTAATGTAGCCATTGAAACCGATTTGTTGATGAACAACTGATGAGATTTATTCCAATTAATAACTTCTTGATAAAAACGGTTATCGTATACCATGAATATGCCACTTTTTAGTTTAACGGTAATTTCTATCATGAGGTTTGAAGCGGAGCATGTAATTATAACGAAATATAGCTTCCTCATCATGTTTAACGTGTTCACGTTAATGTTTCTCAATAAAATGCCTAGTAAATATCCTTGTATGATGTTATGAAAATGCCAATTTCGCATGGAAAGTGACGGAACGTTACAGTTAGTATCGTAGCTCGTGGCGGATTTAGAAACAGAAAAGAAAGTTTCTAAAGCTTGAAGGAAGTCTCTGGAAAATATGTTTAATTTGCATGTGGCTATATTGAATCTCATGCAATGTTTTTCGATGGATATCTTAAATCTTATTGATTTTTCTTGGGTGTTGAATTTGGGGAATGGCTTATAGCAATATTCATTATCATCTTCGTGCCTAGGATAACTTTGGTCTAGTTTTATAACTCCGTCATACCCTGGCATAGGATTTAAAAGTTGTCTCAGATTTGCTAGTTCGACCGATATCGTAAAGATGTTACATTGCTGTGTGTTCTTATTTTCAGCCTTTGCTGTTAGCCTTCCCAATTGTTGCGACGTTTCATACATTAGCTTCGCAAATATGAATAATCTTGTTATATCAATTCCAGTGCAGCTACACCACTGATCGTCTCTACTCATTGTGTTCTCTCGTAGACCTCTGTATTGTTGTAGCATTAGTGCTCTTTTATTATCTTTTTCCATACAGGAAGAATCTACATGGAATATTTCATTTTTTTCATTCGTGAACATATTACACAAATATTCATCAGTCACTTCGTTTTTTGCTTTTGGGACGTACACAATAATTTTACGAGGTATAACATTCCGATGCACCTTCAAGCAGTCTTTGAAGTTATTCAAACAAACATCTTTAATTTGTTTGGAGGAATACTTTTCGTTTTTATATTGCGTGGACGCACTACAATCGTTTAGATCAGAAAGTCGTTTCAGTTCATTGGTAATAGCATCGGTCAGTACTCTGTTACAGGTTCTTTTTCTAATGTGTTTCTTTTTCAATTTACTTCTGATGTCTGATTCAGAATCTAGTTGGTGTCCTTCCATATTTTAGACAGTTTATTGGTGAAGTGTCTATGGTCCAAGGCCTGAAGACAAAATAAAAATAAAACCTTCACTACACATGCTTTACGAACATTGACTGGCATTGATGATGTACGGAGTAGCGTACAGAACAATAGGACTGTAGTGGGCCTAGCTAACTGCCCACCAACATCCTGTGTAGCATAATTTTTCGGAACTGCCGCGAATATAAAATAAATTGTGTAATACAATAGTGATCAGTACCCTGAGCACGAATAAATATAAAGCAAAGTAAAAACCAAAACAGCGCCACTACAGTTGTTTATGGAATATAGGGTTATTAGAGATATTCGTGCTCAGGGGACAGTATGATGTAGTCTAGGTTTCCAGTTAGGTGAATGCAGTCTAGGGTATGGATTATGGATATTGCAGTAAAGTTACTCACCCAATTAAAAACAATAATAAAAATATCAAACGTTGCAATATTACTCCATAAATCTTTGATACAATTAGACCTAACACTTCACCAATTAAATTGTAAAAAATACTACTGATAATATTTCACATGTTTATTTTGATGTGCTGATTTGTAAAGAAATCAAAAAGTCAGCACGAGTGTCAGCACGTAATTTGGCATTTGTTACTTTTTTATCTTATAATCATCTTTCAAAGTGAGATCAAGAAGTTTTAGTTAATGTTCATCGAAGTGAAAATAAAAGCCATCATAAAAGCAGACAAATCCCATCATCCTCGGTCTTCAAGGTCCCATGGATGAGGTCACATCATCCATCAGCATATTTTGCATCCAGGCGCTATTTCTAAATACCCCATTCTCCTTAAAATGCCTCTCTAAATAATAAAATAAAAGGTTAGATGACTGGAGAATTTAGATAAAACCATTTTTAATCGATGTGGATGAAGATTTAATAGCGGAGACTACACTCGATCGAGCCCTAAGAAATAGGCCTAAAAGTACGGGCAGACCAGTACCAGTAAAAAAGGCATCAAAACCACAGAATAAGTAATAGTACAGGTACAGAAGGATTACTCCGCAAGACGATTTAAATAAATGCGAGTCTTGCTACGACGCGATACAGTGGAATTCAGCTCGCACAGCACTACGTACCTACAATTTTATTCACCTACAAGTTTTGTCTCTTTCTATCAGAGCCCCGATTACGGTAACTTTTAACGTCTACAATCCAGACACGCTTCTCGATTCTGCGATACGATTGGTCGTTCAACAGCGTACGTCAGCTGTTTTGACCAATCGTATCGCAGAATCAGAAGCGTGTCTGGATTGTAGACGTTAAAAGTTACCGTAATCGGGGCTCTGGACTGTCCTGTCGATGACATTGACAGTGGGGCGCCACCGTCAATACCGGATCGCTGGTTCAGATTTTTGACATGTTGGAAACCATATAGTTGAACGATGGTAGCGCCCCCCTGTCATTGAGTTTGGCGGGACAGTTCAGCGTGGGCAGTGGCGGGGCAAGACCTAAATTTGATGTGGGCAAGACAGATTTCGCGAGGCCTTGTTCTGCGGCGACCTGAAGACGGATTTTATAAAAAAAAAACGGGTCAACGGTCTATTCATTGACAGTTTCTGATTTCTTGATTCAGTGATTATTTTTAAAGGAATATTGCGCCAAAGAATAATGTTCGTCACTTAAAACCGTGTTGTTGCTTAATTTTGTGTCTGATCATGGCTGAATTTGTTTGGAAAAAAAAAATTTTTTTAACTACATTGTTTAGCTATCAAGAATTTATATTTAATAGTCAATGTTTGCATTTATTGTCGTATTGTGATATTGTCATCTCCACCTTGTATACATTTTTTCAAAATTTTTGAAGCGCGAGGCCCCTTGTTCCGCGAGGCCGTAGGCGGTGGCCCACGTCGCCTACGCCTTACACGCCGCCTCTGAGCGTGGGTCATCTATAGCTTCATTCCTTATCTGTGTCGGCTTCATACAATTTTTGATCTGTGCTTCATTCATAAAAGATTAAAGAGTTCATTCATTTCATTTGTCATTTGTCATTTCCCACAGATTCCACCACAGATATGGACACAGTATGGATCACAGATATGGATTAGAGTTCCATTCCACTGCATTCCACAGTCATTTCTTCATTCATTCATTCATTGGTCAGTGGTCACAAACTGTCAGTTTTTGTTGACGTTCTCTAGTGACAAGTCGTGTCAAAAAACTCAATTGGTCGGTATGTATTGTTTTATCTAATAAAAGGTTAGAATTTCTTTTAAAATGTCTTCGTCGCTGATATTAAAAGCGTTGCGTGTGTGTAATGATTTCAGATTGCCGACGAAAGTGTCGTCGATAGCACACAACTGTCATAATCGTTATCTTCCTTACAAACAGTACTCTATTACTCACAAAGAATTTCCTCAGAAAATGGCTGATAAATTGCTGCCCCAATTATTTAAGTACGTTGATCAAAATGCTGACGCATTCAAGAAGTTATTGAAGGAAGCGGTAGCCATTCCTTCTGTGTCTTGCGACATCAAATACCGTGATGATTGTGTACGAATGGTGCACTGGATGCAGGATAAACTGAAGGAAGTTGGTGCTAGTACAGAGTTGAGAGATGTCGGCTTCCAGACCATTGATGGGAAAGAGGTTAAACTGCCCCCTGTTCTAGTCGGAGTCCTGGGAAATGTAAGTGTACTTTTTTCTACACATTTGATTCAATCAATTAGCACTCCTTATCACTAATTTAATCCTACTCTCTGATCAATATTTTTGATTGTAGGACCCGAAGAAGAACACTATTTGCATCTATGGTCATTTAGATGTGCAACCTGCCCTCAAATCAGATGGTTGGGACACAGAACCATTTGATCTGCAAGAGAGGGATGGCAAGCTTTTTGGCAGAGGCTCCACTGATGACAAAGGACCAGTACTCGGTTGGCTTCATGCCATTAATGCTTACAAGGCAGTGGGTGAAGAGGTAAATACTCCATAACAAAATCAAGATGTACATGTAACATAATATAATTCAAAGTTGACTAATTTTTAACTTATTTTAGTTACCAGTTAACTTGAAGTTTGTCTTTGAATGCATGGAAGAATCTGGTTCGGAGGGCCTTGATGCCCTCCTCATAGAACAACTGAAGCCTGAAGGTTTCTTCGACACTGTGGACTATGTGTGCATATCTGACAATTACTGGCTTGGCACCACTAAGCCGTGCATCACCTATGGTTTAAGAGGAATCAGTTACTATTTCCTTGAGGTGGAGTGTGCCAAAATGGACTTGCACAGTGGTGTGTATGGGGGCACAGTGCATGAAGGTAAGAGATAAAGTCTTGTCTTTGTATAGATTTATTTATTGGGTTATCAACATGAAAATGAATAAACACAACAAATAAAACTAAGGTAAAGGTCTCAAGTTAACTGCTCCCACACAAACATAGATACGCATCATTTGAAGAATATTAAGTAATATTGTTGTTTTATCTCAAAAATCTTAAAAATCTACTCTGACCATTATGATGGCCTTCTAAATAAAACTAATTTCTTATCAGTTAAGGCCTTTTGTTTTATCTGATATTTGCTTGTTGTTACCAAGTGAAGTTAATATTTATCTTTGGCTTCTGTAAATTATATTGTTAGACTTCTTAAGGAAATACTGCCTTAATAAATAGTACCTTATGATGTCAAATTCATATTTCTGAAATTATAGATAACTTTCATGTCAGGTATTTTATTTGAGGTGATATTATCTTGGCTCAACAATATAATGTATTTAATTTATTTTCCAACTGGCATTTATTTCAATGATGGTTTTTAGCAAAAACACATTAGCAATGTTATAGGCAAGCTCAAATTGGTGCTTGCATTTATTTTCCTTATAATGTTAAGCTGACATGTCATTATTAATAATAATGATCAGTAAATTATTTCATGTATGACAGTGTTATCTCTTTGTTTTCCAATAAACAATTTATTTATCATTGTTTGAATGTTGCAGCTATGTCAGATTTGATATATTTGATGGACCAGCTTGTTACTAAGGATGGAAAGATTCTGGTCACTGATATCTACAAATCTGTTGCTCCCTTGACTGAAAGTGAAAAGAGCTTATACACTAATATCGACTTTGACCCTGAAGCATACAGGTACAACTTGGATTAAAGTATATTTAATATTGTAACATAATTGTATTGTAACTGATAAAAAAATATTTTGTAGGAATTCCATTGGAGCACACAAACTAGCTCACAGTGGTGTAAAAGAGCAGTTGCTTATGCACCGCTGGAGGTACCCTAGTCTATCTCTGCATGGTATTGAAGGTAACCTTTTTTGTCATTATCATACTTTTTAAAAATATGTAATACAATGCTACCAAAAAGTCTTTATGTAACACTAATGTTCTGCTCTTTTAAAATTAACTTAATTTTACTTAATATTTATTTTAGGAGCTGCTTTCCAACCTGGTGCTAAAACTGTCATCCCAGGGAAAGTGATTGGAAAGTTCTCAATAAGACTTGTTCCCAACCAGGAGCCCGAAGAAGTTGAAAAGCTAGTCTTTGATTATGTTCACAAGAAGGTTAGTAACTCAAACTTGTTTGTGAAGCAATTTTTTTCTTTGTTCTTTATTGCTGTTAAATGATAGCTAGTTATAGTAATCTGACTTCTATGTACAAAGATCTAAAGTTCAATCTACATTACAGTTTCTCACATAGCTAGTCATCGTTGGGATGTTATAAATTAACGTCGGCAATTCAGCATTGTTGACTCATTGATATCCTTATCGAGCAGCATTATTCAATTGCAGCCGTTATTGTTGGTCCATTATCAATCTGCTCTCAATTTCATTTGCAGATGTAGCTATACTCATGTTTGCTCATTCCAAAATGATTGAACTTTGTAATGAATGACACACACAAACATAATTCTTTACACAAGTAATTAGATAATTGATTGTTTATCTTGATTTTGGGTAAAACAACAAATTAACGTAATAACAATAAACTTGACACGTTACACCTGCTTTTATAAAAAACTAATCAAATGATAATTCAAATTTTATCAAACATTCCTTCTGTTATGAAATCTGTTCAAAAAGACTTATTTTCGATTTATTATAAATATCGTTCGTTAGTTCGTTCGTTTCAGCCGAAAGGCGTCCACTGCTGGACAAAGGCCTCCCCCAAGGATTTCCACAAAGACCGGTCCTGCGCCGCTTGCATCCAGGTACCTCCCGCGACCTTCACCAGATCGTCGGTCCACCTAGTGGGAGGCCTGCCCACGCTACGTCTTCGAGCTGGATTATAAATATATTGCCAAATTAAAATTTAGTTAGATGATTGGCCACGTAATTACTCACAAGAGCTAATTTCAATCTCACTGTTTTAATAAAATTGATTCAATCACAGATCTCTCCAATCTCACTTTTGTTGTTTTCAGTGGGCCGAGCGGGAGTCGCCCAACAAGATGCGTATCACGGCGCAGAGCGGGCGCGCGTGGACCGAGAACCCGGACCACCCTCACTACCAGGCCGCTGCGAGAGCTACCAAACTTATTTACCAGGTACACACAATCTTAATAGGGATGTTTCCTGTGTTAAAAAGCAAGAGTTTGAAGTAGTCCGTCAGTTAACTTATCAAAAATATTCGATACGTTTTTTTTACTTTTTCAAACTTATAAAAATTGAAAGAGATAAAGCGCGCCAAAGTTCATAAAAAGAGTCGCCCGTGACGTCAAAGCGTGCTTAAAAGTGTAGCACTTTGTGACGTCACGCGGAACTTCAACGCACCATAACTCGTCATTGTTTGATGACATATGTCAAATAAAAATATACGTCCAATATTTTTTGATAATGTAATTGACGGACGTAAAGTTTTTTTTAGGAAACTAGCCTATTATCATCATTATCTATGTCTAATGATGCTCGTTATTATCCAGTAACAGACCGTTATAATTAATAATTATTATCTACCATTCGCCTATTGTCTAATGAGGTGACGCTACTACAATGATTTGATATTGTAACTGTGAGCGAGTCCAGTTAGTAATGAACTTTCATTTACGGCCTGTTCACTCCAATGTTTTTGAATTTAATTTATTCAAAACTAGAGACCTACGGCTTTGCAAGAGTGAAATGCTGACATAAAATGTCCATAGGCAAGCTTTACTGAAGCACTTTACTGAAACTCAAGGGGTGGGCATCTATCATCCTTCACTATATCATTTAACCCAAGTAAGTCCCATCCTATTTGGTCCCACTTTGTAACTTTTTTCACTTGGAACTGGAAAATGGCACACATCAAGTCGGCCTCGACGAGTATTGCCAAAATCAAAAAAGAAGAAATAACAAATTTTTATGTTTTCTCCTGCAGACTGACCCAGACATGTCCCGCGAGGGCGGTTCCATCCCGGTGACGATCACGCTGCAGGAGGCGAGCGGGAAGAACGTTCTGCTGCTGCCCATGGGCGCCGGCGACGACATGGCGCACTCGCAGAACGAGAAGCTCAACGTGCGCAACTACATCGAGGGCGTGAGTATACTCCATAGAGATATACAGGGTATTAGGTAAATGGTTATATGAGCCGACACTAGCCCATGTTAACATGGTCATATAAATGGTATGGTGAAGTCAGAAAATTGATATCTTCTTTTTAATAATTAAAATTTTCATACAAATCGGAATTTATAAAATTTATTTTGTATGAAAATTAAAAAAAAATTAAATGATGATATCAAATTTCTGACTTCACCATACCATTTATATGACCATGTTAACATGGGCTAGTGTCGGCTCATATACCCATTTACCTAACACCCTGTAGAGAGACTAGCGGCCGCCCGCGACTTCGTACGCGTGGATCCCGTTTTGCCCCCTTCATCTATCTTACGCGGTTTAGATTTTTTCATACAAATGTTTTTTTCCCGCCAACTCCCGTTCCCGTGGGAATTTTGCAATATCCTGTTGTAACTAAGCTTTAAGTTTACTAAGGTACACATACAATCTGCATGCCAAATTTCAAGCGACTAACTTAAGCGGCTTAGCCGGCCGTTTGGTGTAGTGGTTCAGAACGGACTACTATGCCGAGAGGTCCCGGGTTCGATTCCCGGCCGGGCAGAAATTGAAATGATGAATTTTAATTTCTGTGACGGGTCTGGGTGTTTTCTATGTATAATATGTATGTANGTCTAGTCGCAGTCTAGTCGCAGTCTAGTCGCAGTCTAGTCTAGAGCGGCATAGCAGCCGTAACATAACCGCGCATACCGCATAACAATAAGAGTTAAATTCAATTCGCGCCGCACACCGTTCATAATAACGCTAAGAGTTCCAGGGAGATTTCCACGGGATCTGTTGGTAAGTAGAAAGTAGAGACAGTAAGTAGGTTTGTACCTAGCTAGGGCTTGTTAAGAGTTGGTCCAGATGCGCGTTTTCACTCGCGCTATTGTAGAATTACTAGAGGTACATTCGGTCCGCATGCAGTCGCGCGTATTTAAAACGCGCGAGCGCGCGGCATCTTNCCCGGGTTCGATTCCCGGCCGGGCAGAAATTGAAATGATGAATTTTAATTTCTGTGACGGGTCTGGGTGTTTTCTATGTATAATATGTATGTATTTACAAAAAAAAAAAGTATTTAAGTATGTTTATATCCGTTGTTTAGTACCCATAGTACAAGCTTTGCTTAGTTTGGGACTAGCGGCGCAGTGTAAAATGTCCAAGGATATTATATTATATATTAGATTTTTCATACAAAGGATTTTCCCACTAATTGCCGATCCCGTGGGAATTTCGGGAATTCCTTTCTTAGTGCACCTCTACGGTACCTAAGCTACGTCTCTTCTAAATTTCAAGTGCCTACGTTTAGCCGTTTAGGCTGTGCGTTGATATGTCAGTGAGTCAGTCAGTTTCCTGTCATAATCTCTCATAATATGCTAGTTTAGTACCACGANCTGACGCTAAAGTGGAAATTTACAAAACCTGTGTGGACTTATCTTGATATAATTCTTGAATACTAAACTAATCGCAATATTTTCTCAATTAACTATTTAGACGACGAAATTGCCTAACTATTTATGCCTATAACATATTTGTAGTATTACTGGTTAATGATTGTAACGAGTTGAAAAAGTACTGTTTTTGCGCCAAATGGCGTAAACGCTCTTAACGCTTTGGTGATATGGGTTATTCCCGATCGTGAAAAATTTACGTTGACGTCACTTTTTGCGCGGATAACGTTTCTCGTAACACATTTCATGAATACTTAGAAACTACTAACATACAATAATATACTGTTTTTTTCTTGTTTCAGGTAAAATTGTTTGCCGCATACTTATACGAAGTCAGCAAGTTGTCCAAGTGATTTTTGCTCAATATTTAATGTGATTGTATCTAAGGAACTCTTCACAATAACTAATTAATAATTATATAGCTTTCATAAATAAATAGTACATTAGAAATACGGCATTGGTACATTCCTACAATGAAGTACAATTTTTATATTTTTTTGCATTTAACGCATAATACATTCGTTTTTGTATATAGGAAATAATCAGTGCCTTATTTTGAAACTCTCATAATAAATAAATAATGTATTGTAATCGGATTTATAATTCTAAATATCTCATCAGCAATATTGAAAGTTGTGAATTCAATTGTTACATATATTTAGAATTATTATAAATTCAAAATTCCATTAACCATTGCATTTTGCTGATTCATCTTGACCGATTGTTTCATATTTGCAACAATATTTCTGTGGAAAAGCTACCTTACCTCATACGTCGTCGGCACAGCGCAGCGTATTGCAATTATATTGGCATAAGAATACATTAGTGTCTTAACTCCACCATTTTTTATTGTAATTTATTTTACATATTTACTTTTTATTCTCATACAATAAATATGTTTATCGTTGAACATAAATTGTATTTTTTATCCTTCCATGATCATTACATTCTACACAGTACTTCTACCTACTTAATCAACTCTTTCGTGATCTTGAGGTTAGAGATTGGACTGTCTCAACTTGGTTCTAATCCTAGAGAAAGTAATCTAAAACTTTATCAGGAAACTGTGAAATTGACAATAAGCTGGGTTGGAAATTGGACCCAGCACATACCTGTGATATTAGGATTTTTGCATTTGCCTCAGGTGGAAATTGACCTTTTCACGATTTCGTCAAGTTAAAAATAAAAGCTTGTAAAAAACCGATTCCATTTTTTAATTATTTAATTAAAACAAATAAACACTGACAAAATATGGGACATTGTGTCATCATGCTTGAGGTAACATAAGTGCAGCTCAAACTTGACCTCTTTATCCTGAGAATTCTCAGTAAGTGCAAGATTTTACAGCCATTGTGATCCTGGTACGATACGTTACGAACCCGTTCGTTAGGCCAACGAGCATTTGTCGTGTAGGATATTTCAAATGTTCGTTCGTTCGTTTCAGCCGAAAGACACCCACTGCTGGACAAAGGTCTCCCCCAAGGATTTCCACGTAGACCGATCTTGTAACGATTTAAATGTACTTTACATCATTTTGGTTGAAGGTGCTATATGATCTTTACGATGTAAACATGCATCTACAGAAACGTGTTACCCGTTAACAGTGAAAGGTAAACAAAAGTCACTGCAAGCAGTTGCAGTTTGATGACGTGATGTTAAACATGTATTTTAAAAAAAAACTGGCACGCAACCTTGCTTTTGTGTTGATCATAATCTGGGGTTTTCCTTGCATCCGCAAGCCACATGGCCCATAAATGGCTGGTCTACCATACTACTTTGATAAAAAAAGTAATTTACTTGAGTCTCCCACATAGATTAGAGCCTGAAAAGAAAGTACTCTGGAAAGGTCAGATATTATTGTCCGATATTAAAGGAAAGACGATATTATTATTTAGGTATAGAGCTGCATCATTTCAATATCTCATAAAGGTAAGTGGGGCACCATTCACAGAGAAAGTGTGTGGTCCGCTGACAATGCATTTCGTTCGTTTTGGGTTCATTGTTGGTGGTCAAATCGACTAATAATATCGAGCCTTTCAAGATACCCCACCTTCCTGATTTCTTTTTACCATTCCATAGAATTTGAGAAGAAAAACCCGCTGTATCGTTACATAACTTAGGTATGCGAACCTAATCTATGATAGTCAAAGGTTCAGAATAATAGAGATAGAGAGCGTGTACTCGTAGGTAAATAGGTACAGTCGTACAGTCGAGTTCATAAATATGTTAGCAGTGCTAATGTTTCAAAATATTGTCTAACGATCATATATTTGAATACAAACTCAAAAATAAATAAAATGTAATCATATAAACTGTTTATAAACATGTTGCGATAGCGCAGTATTGACCGCGCTACAATATTTTGAAATATTGGCACTACCAATATTTCAAAATATTGATTAATTTATGAACTCGACTGTACTGTACCTATCAGTATGACTGTAGGTACTAATTATTTTCGTAGTCGATAGTACCTAGTGCTATTATTTTCTGTATTATGCAATCCTTAAAGGTTTGCGTTCAAACACAGGCTTGATTTTAACCAGAAAGTTCTGCGAACTTGACCCCTTTTGTCGGCTTACTCCCGATTTTACTGTCAATTATTACAGTTATGCGACCAACACCAGTAACGGTAAATCTGAGGCGATTAATTATTTTAAGATTACACTGGTCAACAAAATTTTGTAACAAGAAAGGTGCTTGCTAATTTTAAATTACCTACCTACCCTCAATTTATTCCCATATTTATTTTGATTCCATCAGGTCTAGTTTTCGTGTTACAGCTACTACCACAAAATTAAAAATTAACCGTTTTTGTTTCACTTTCGCATTCAGAGAAATTGTTTATTTGAAGAGCGTAGTGTTTTGTTCTGTTTTTAGAGTTAAGTGATTCTTAAATAATGTCAAGAAAGTGCAAAAATGATCCTTACAAGTTGTTTTTTAATTTGTGGTGACATTACTTTCAAAACTCAGCGAAGGAATTTGACACCATTAGTAACTAAGTTACATAAACAGTTTTTTGGCTTTTCCATCGGACAACAAGACAAAGTGAGGGTTCCATACATCTGTTGTGTTACATGTGTGGGTCTTTTCACTGGGTGGGCGAAAAGATCTCGATCTATGCCTTTTGCAATCCCTATGATTTGGGCGGAACCAACGAATCACTCATCTGATTGTCATTTTTGTCTTACTGATACAAAAAAGGTATTACAATTAAACCAAAAAGTAAAATTAAGTATCCTGACCTGCCTTCAGCTAAAAGACCGATCCCTCATAGTGAAGATCTATCGGTAGTCCGCTACCAGAACCACCTCAAACTAGCGATCTGGCCGTTACGCCAAAAATCGAAAAGACACGTTGGATCCTGACTTTGAGGGCATATTTGTTGGCCCTCAAATCAGGGAAATTGATAAAAGCTAATATTAATTTAAAAAAAGCTTAGTAATTTAGAAAAATCAGCTTGGGAATCTTTCATGAAAGTAACTTCCAATTTTCTAGGAAATCACCGATCAAGTGACCATAAATGTATTATTGCGGAGCTTTTATCTACTTATAAGGCTTTGGCCTGTAATATGTCATTGAAAATACATTTTCTTCATTCATATTTAGACTTCTTCCCTGAAAATTTGGGCGCAATCAGCGATGAACGGTGAAAGATTCTATCAAGACTTCTACCATAGAAAAACGATATCAAAGCAAGTGGAGCCCACGAATGTTAGCGGATTACTGTTGGACATTAAAACGAGACATTTCTGAAGCAAAATACAGACGAAAATCATAAAAGGAAATTCATATTAAAGTTGCAATAAATCGAAATAACTTCTTTTTGTTGATAAAAATTCAAAATTTCTAAAATGTTATAAAACGGTATCACAAAAAAACTATTCGTATTTAAAACATTTAAATTGTATTTCTAGTATCCTTATCCTTGTCCTAATCATAACCAGACAAAAGTTTTCATGTTACATGCAAAAGTTGTTTTTTTGTTGACTAGTGTTATATCGTAGTTAACACGCTTTTGATACCAGCAGCCTTCTGTGTGGGCGCTGGAATAAAAGAGGTATTATTTTTACCTTACCTGATGCTGTTGACATGCCGGGTGCGCTCGCGCATACCAGTTTACTATAAACATAAAAGAGGATAGCGACCGGCTCTCATTGAGTCAGTCTGTCTCTGAGCCTCGCTGCAACGCAACGCGTGACCATTTACTTTTACAAAAATATCGCTTGTAACTGAGTAAAGGATTTATTAAATTACTTTAAATATTACTACGTTCTAAGGAGTTTCCACATAATTTTATCTACGAAGAAGAATACTATTTTGAGCAGCCATATAAGGACGTCTCAGGTGAGCTGTTGTTTGTGTATTACCTTAGGATAAACCTGTATGCATTTTAGAATACTAAACGATGTTTTTTTTTAATAAAATATAGCGTGCAAATGAAATTAACTTCGTAATTAAATTTACTGACGTTAATTATTTTCACCAGTTGCTGGTGTAGTTTTTTTTACAAATAGAAAAGCTTTGTTAGATTGCGATTTTCCCGAGATTTCCCACAGTTATACCTAGCGTATGAAATTATATAGCATTGTATAAGGTATATATGAATGTATTGTGTTTAGTGTTTACACGCGTTTACTCGCGGATTGCGCTAACTCACACAGGGACCGCTGGCCGGCGGTCGCTGATTATCATGCACGCTTTCTAATTTACTATGACGAATTTTCGCAAGAGTAGCCACAACGAACATCCATGTCGCTCTGATTTCCTATCCGCGTACTTATGTGGATCTACATAAGCCAATGTTTAGGATTAAATTCAGCTGCGAAAGTAACTGGCTACGAGCAGTTAACCTGTGGTTGACGCGAGTTACTAAAGAAGTAGCTATCTTATTCAACGGTATCTACGAGTAACTACATAGGAAAAAGATTCAGGAATTTCAGACATCCGGATTTCAAAGATTACGAATTCATGAAAAGTTTTCCAAAAGTTTTCTTAAAATTAATATCAGTGACAAAAACATGCATAATGTAGAGCCTAGTCTAAATTGCCTTAAACCTATGACCGGAGTATAAATGTAGAGTTTATTAATCGTGATATTTTTCTTTCCTAAATACAAGTATCTATTAAAATTAACATTAGGTTTAGGTTAGGTTAAATAGAGAAAGCTTCTAACAGACGTATCTACACAAAAAGCAAATGACTTTAGGTACCGACAAAATTTTACGACTGTACAATGTACATTCTACTTTTATGATAATTACAAATCTCAAATATTAGTTAGGAATTCATGAAATATAAGTACCTAGGTACCTACTCGTAAATGGATTATTATCAACCTTATTTATTTTCCAATAAATTCAGAAAACTTCAGAAATCCTACGTACGCAGGCAAGCATTGTTTATTGGACATAACATTAAATGCAAACAAATAACAATAAAATACACAATGAACAACCCCATAATTTTAAACCAGTTAAGTCCGGTGTGTAAATTACTAGCTACATGGTTTGAATCTTATATTTCCTAACTGTTAATAAGACAAAAACAACGAACACCTGAAGTAAGAAACTGGTACTTGACTGAAGTACTTGGTATTCGGGCAGCGCGCGTGTCGAGCCAGGCCGAGGGTCTTATGCAAACGTTACGTACCGGCACCGTCTGAGTGCTGTGGACCTTACGGGTAGCGAATAGAGGTTACATTAGCATATCCATTCAGTGGAGTTCAACATTTTGGCATAGTATATCGAAGCGGCCTCGGTATTCATCTCCAATATGAAGTGGAACAGCTGTCGCCTTGGAATTTTAAGAATAGGATGAAATGGCGGTTTTAGAGTATAGTTCTAACTATACTAATATTAATGCATGCTAATATTGTTTGTAAAATATTTAACTTTAATTTCGGGACTGACTGGACTGGAAGAACCAGGTTGGCATTTACCTGATTCATTAATCTAATTACTCTAAGCAACTTTTTCAAGTAGGGCAGGTAGGTAGAGTCGCAGTCGTACAGGCTACATCTAGGCTTGCAAAAGCAACCCATATATCCAGAGCCAGCCCAACACTGTAGTACCTACCTACTACTAAAATAATTATGTTTGAAACCACCATTCCGAAAATGAAAATTGATTTTATATCAGCAAATAGTTGAATATTTACCTACATATTAATAATGCGGGCAGAGTCATTATTACAGTCCATCCTTCACCCTCATATTTGTAATACGATTTTTAGATTAGCAAATATGCTTTCCGAAATAACTTCAAGGTATAAGTGATTCCGTTAAAATTTGGACTCCTTCGTCACGTATACATAGTAGGTACATATTATTTGCAGTTTCTTATATTTTCTCGTAATATATGTATACATATAGCCTACGACATTGCCTATTCAAAATCAAATTATTAGTAATGTGAAGGCCCTTTTCAGGGTGAATATACGTCCCAAATATGGCTTGCCCTACCATAACTTCAGGATAACATCAGCTGTGCTTGTTACCAAAAAGTTGTCGCTCATTTACCAGAATGAATTATCTGGATTGGGAATCCATCAAAAATCATGGTAATGTATCAAAATATCAGTAAAACAGGATTCTTAGCCATGTTCAAATGATAAGACGTAGTTATCGAGCTTAATGATGACCAATTTGTTTCTAACTTAAATACATTTAGCATACTTCATATTGTTCCGTGTGGTTTAAAAAGCTGGTTACCTTGTAACGAGGTCCGAGAGTCAATTTATTGAATGCACTGGAAACCCCGCCGGACGAAACGGCCACACAATATGTGACACTGACACGAATTTCGCCCGCGTCTGAAAAACCCATGATGTGATGATAGCGTAGAAAGCGTTGAGATTCGCCCCGATACGGTTGCGCAGTATGCGATTGTTTTTATTGTATTGTTCTCCGTCACATATAAATTTCTTTTGTTTTATCGTTTGATGTAATAAACATCACACAATCAATTTGGATTTTGTGTAAGTAGCTGAAAATAACTTGTAACTAACATTTACCTACAAGAGTATACAAAATATGCACTGCTAAATTAGAGAAAATAATAATAATCTAGCTTAGTGTGTAGGTACTTAGTAGTGGATGAGTAGATCAGGTCAGATCGTGCTCTTTAGAATTTGCGATGATTTTATTTATGTAGGTGCTTACCTAGATACTTTCATAATTTTTAACAATGAATTTTCACTTAAGTAACAGTTTAAGTCTTGATCTCTCTTAAACCTTCTCGTTATCCACCGTATATTATGTATATGCATGTATTTATGTAGGTATATATATATATATATATTTTGTATTAATTTATATTATAATATTTTATGTATTGTATTAGATTTTATTTTTTTGTATTTGTACTATTTTGCACCGCCTACTTAAATTCTCTGTTTTGTTTAATTTTCTGGTTAGCTGGAAGAGAATGCCACATGGCATTAAGCTCGCCTGTTGTACCACTGTATTTTTATGTGTGCAATAAAGATTTTAAATAAATAAATAAATAATAAGTATTGTCCTTAGTTGAAAAAACTTCTAGCATTGTGTCGAAGCGTTGTATTCGGATATTACTCACATTGACACGGTTTGCTGGTCCGGTTGTGTAACCGTCGAGCGATGACGTGAGTGTGACTTTCGCTGCTTCTCTGTTAATCCTTAACTGACCGTTTTCGATGGAAATTCCACTCTTTATTTACATCCGAAACAAGTAAATACCCAGAAACGACAAGGAAAAGTCCTTACGCTCAAGGGTCTTAAAACAAACGTCATATAAAGTTGGACTTCTCAGACTGGTACTTACCTAAATCATTTTTTGTTTACGAGGATTTGTTCGACTCTACCATTTAGTAATGCTCTGTTTTACTACGTCAAATAGTTATTTGATTCATATACTTATAAACACGTTTTCATAAGTTTATCGTTCACGATTCGTAACCCGTGGCTAATCCAAAATTGTAATGCAACGCATTCACGTTTTAAATGATTTCATTGAGGATAATTACATTTAACGGCTTAGATAAATTCGTCAGAGTGACTGCCTTACTTAATCATAATGCATGATATTCGGGATTAGCTTCTTTTATAAGAACGCTCAAACCTCGAAGCAATCTCAAGTTTATCATCATCGTCATCATTTCAGTAGCCTCCCCATTTTGCTGACCAATCAGGTCAAAGTCTATACTTGAATTTCAAACTTCAGGGTGAATCGAATTATACTCGTAGAATTTCTCTTCCTTAATTTTATATTTAGATCTAGGTACGTATAATAAATAAAATTACTAGTTATTAACCTAACAGTAGTTACTATAAAATTATTTACATATCAGGTTGTGGTCATGCATATGATCATGTAGAGATATGTTTAACACGAATAGGGAAATCCTTTGACGTGGTTTCTACTGCTATTTTATGCGGTTATGTCCTGTGATTTAGTAGGTGGTAAGTATAGTACGTGTTGTACACCTACTATTAGCTTTTTATATTTATAAAATTTCATTTTTCATATTTCTGTTTCAATAGGTATCATAATAATAATGAGTGACTGAAATAAATTGAAATAAAAAAAATACTCATTTCGCAAAGTAGTTACTTTGCAAATCAAAGTCAAAAAAGTTAACAAGATTGACAATGGCAGACTTATTGTAACTGGTCAGCAATTTTCTAAGTAAGTGTGTCATACAGACTGAAATTGAGGTGATTGAGACTGACCTTAGAAAGAATGATGAGCATTCGTGGTCGTGACATAGTTAATATTCGCTCATATTATTATTTTGCATTATGAATGGATGAATAAACATTTATTTGACACAATACATTTTGAGGACAAAGATGATAGAGTTTGACAGTCATATTCTTTGTGACCACTTTTAGTTTTGGTTAGCTATCAATAACATTTTAACGTTGTCTCATGGAAATTCTTCTCTACCTATTGTTGTTTGGTGAATCAGTGGTTGGACTGATAACCAGAAGAATGCAGGAATCCTACTATCTTTACCGTACCAGAATGATTTGTTGTATTTATTGAGCTTTTTGGACTTGTGATGATGAATGACTTTATGGGGACAAACATGCATAATTTTGTCGTTAAGTGTAAACGTTAGCTAGAACCAAAAATAAAAAATTAACGCTGGTCAATACTGGTTTATTACTCTTGAGACATGTCTCGGAAATGAATAAAAATAGTTATGTACCTATTTAATTATGGTATAAGAACGATTATTAAAAATCATTACTTCTCACGCTGATCTCGCAGGCGGTCGCTGGCCCCGCCCCGCGCCTGCGCTGCTCCGCAGCAGAGAAAGCGAGGTGAAATGTATCCCAGACGTAAACTTGGCTGCCATGTCATTGTTCGTTTGAAGTTAGAACTATATTCAATATCGTTTTACACAGAGCGAAAGCATAAATCATGATTTAGCAAAGAACTGGCCCACATTGTTTCGACAATAGTAAAAGGGTTTACGTAACAACGTGTTTTTTCCTTGAAAAGAAAATTTTCAGTCATTTATTTTAGTTAGTGTGTACCTATTTAGAAGAAAATTTCTACTTTATTACCAGATTACATAACTATCTATATCACAGAAATATAAAAGCTCTGAATACTTAGCTGTATGATTGTACTCGCTAGATATAGACAAATATTATTCAAATTAAGTACCTAATCCAAATACTGATTTGGAAATAATACCTACGTAGGTAAGAGGATTTACCTACTACGAGAAAATACTGTAATTCTCACTATCGCTGCGCAATTACTATAAACAGCTACTTCCATGAAAAATCCCCATTATGACTCAGTTGTATTTTCTACAAAACTGTAAATGTAACGATTACGTAAATTGCTCCATCAAGTGCAAGGTTGCATTGATAAATGTCAAATTACCTTGTTGCAGGTGCATCATGTTGAAGATAACCTTACTGGCGCTGATAGTCGCTTCGACTGTCAACAGCCAATGTTTTTACAAGGATGACTCATCGAAGAAACTGAACCCTGAAGCGCGGACGTCGCTGTACCGAGGGCAGCTGGCGTTTACATTGAACCTGTTTAACGCCATCAACGGAGCGGTCCCCGATGACAACATCTTCTTCTCTCCCTTCTCCGTCTACCATTCGCTGTTGCTAGCCTACTTTACATCGGGTGGACAAACTGAAAAGTCACTGAAGGAGTCGCTGCAAATTGCTGATAATTTGGTATGATTTGAAATTGGTTTTTAATTACAACTAATTAAAGATGTGGACTGCGATTCGTAGTCAACACGCTCTAATCTTAATTTCATGAATTAAGTATGCAAATATTTTTTGTTATGAAAAGTAATTTATTGATTGAGTGAGATTGATATAAATTAAACTTGAATTGGCGAGCACATTAGACTTGCAACACTAGTAACATTTAAACTGTTTATTTATGAAGACTTCTCTACATTCCAGGACAAGATAAACCTAATGACCGCGTACAAGGTGGACAAGCGGTCCCGTTCGGCCAACAACAACAGCGACAGCTATGAGTTCACGAACGCCAACAAGCTCTTCGTAGACTCGGAGCTGCGCGCGCGCCAGTGCCTGCTTGACCTCTTCTCGGACGAGTTCGAGGCGTTGGTATGGATGTTCTATTTTTGAAAAACTTGGTGCCAATACTATTTTTTAAAATCACACATTCTACGACTGGCGTTTGGACCAACGATGTGGCCAAAACGTGTGGAGCCAGCTTTAGTGTATTTTTAAAAGATTTAGGATCAGGCTAAGATCAGGAATCATGCTGCCTAGTCATCCGAATAGGTAGGTACCTACATTAATTCAGACGGCCAGTCTAGCGATTCCTTCATACAACTATTACCACGAATCGGTTAACGGGACTACTCGTATTAGTAATTTGTAAATATACAAATAAACAAATTACTAATATTCTTTTTTAAAAAACTACAAAGCTAAGAGTCACGGGAAATCCGAAGTGAGGGACGATTGTATTGTAGGTACTTAACACGCAACGCACGTAACCTGATTCATGCTTGACTAATATTTTTTACTTGTCATTATACCATTTTATTACAAAGTTTTATTTTATAGCTGAATTGTTCCTACCTACTGCAATGTATGAATACTATTTTACTACTACTAGACCGTGTTGAAACTTCCAAATCTGACTATCACATCACGACGCCTTGTTGATCACAATACAGATTGATTCCCCAACTACGAGCTCTACTATTCATAGCACATATTAGAAAACTGCTACGATGTAATATTGGAAGAAAAAGACAGTCAATTTACCAAATAAATATTGAACAATTAATTCAACTAACTAACCACATCTGTTGCAGCACTTATTGCATTGTTTTTGTTTTTAACTGAAAATAATTAAAGTACAATAACTTCTAAAATTAGACGTTATTACTTAATTATTTTATATTATAAATCATTAAGATTTTTATGATCTCCTTTGCAATGCTACAGGATCTTTATATGGGTTAACTAGCGGCCGCCCGCGACTTCGTACGCGTGGATCCCGTTTTACCCGCTTAGGGGTGGAGTTTCGTAAAATCCTTTCTTAGCGGATGCCTACGTCATAACATCTACCTGCATGCCTCAGCCCGATCCGTCCAGTGGTTTGGGCTGTGCGTTGATAGATCACTATGTCAGTCAGTCAGTCAGTTTGTAAGTCAGTTAGTCAGTTAGCTTTGAGTTATATATATTTAGACGTTGTAAAGAGACAGAGATTTTTAAAATATGTACCGAAAATTCCCTTCATGGCTACTGATTGTTAAAGTATTTATTACTAAATGCATTTTTATAATAGGTAATTTATAAAACGTGACATCTATGAGTGAGTAGTAAAAATAAGAGCAAAGTACTTACTTACCTCTACTTTTTGTATTCCAGGACTTCCATAACGACCCTAAAGGCGCTCGCGACTACATCAACGAGTGGGTGTCTCAGGTCACGAAGAACAACATCAAGGACTTGTTACCAGCTGATGGAGTCAGTGAGGACACTAAGCTGGTGCTGGCCAATGCTGCATACTTCAAGGGCGTGTGGGCTTCCAAGTTCCCCCAAGAAAGGACTAAAAAGGAAGCCTTCTTCGTGTCGGAGACCCGCCAGACTTTGGTGCCTTTTATGAAGCAGAAGGGCACTTTCCACTATAGTAAGTGACATAGATTGATTTTTTTTACATTTCTATCGACAAGAAGTTAAATTAAGTAATGTTTAAGTACAAGTTACCTATTTTTATTTAATGATAATATTTGAATAAGTTTCAATAGTTTATGGTAATTTTGCGTACAAGTGGCTTGCATAAAGGTTATAGTTCCAGGTAGATTCAGCTGCATAATACGTACCTACTACACGTTACAATTGAAAACAAATTCTCTCAGTGTCACTCAATTGAAATCGATTTCATTAATAAAATTTAGGGTTGTCATTCCATTAATAACCAAAAATATCAAATTCAAAATCTATAATAGTATGTAGGTATGCCCTCTTCAGAACACGTGTCCCAATATAGCTTGCCCTACCATCACTTGACTTTGGGACAACATATCGGCAAGTGCAGGGAAGAAAGTTTTCTGAAGTGTTACTTGAATTCAAATTCTACATAGCAAGTCCATAATGTAGAGTATCGAACATTTATTTCTACAATTTGAGTATGTTTTTTGCAGTGGTGAGCGATGAACTCGGCGCGCAGATCCTCGAGCTGCCTTACAAGGGCAACGACATCAGCATGTACATACTGCTCCCTCCCTACTCCATGAAGGAAGGTTAGTATAATATCTCAAAGTGTAAATTTTTGTAGTTTAGTATGTGATTGGTCAAATCCGAAACCAAAAGCGAAGAATACTCAAGTGAGGCCAAGTAATTTATAGACTTGATTAATCTAAGAAGGAAAAGAACCCGACCCTAATCAAATAATTGTATTCGTGTTTGGTTATTTATAGACATTACGCTTGACATCTGTTAGTAGAACCATGTCTTGATATGGTTCTACTTATTAACTTCATAAAGCTTTCATTACACACATTAAGTGAATTCAAAAATCAACTAATTATTACTATTTTAATGTTAGAAGGTTGGATATTCTCACACCCGTCGTGTATTCATTCCAGGTGTAACCAATATCATCCAGAACCTGACCCCAGAGCGTCTAGCGGCCGTCGTGGAGGAGAGCTACATGGGCCGCGAGGTCATCGTGGAGATCCCCAAGTTCACTATTGAGAGGAGCATGCCTCTGAGAGGGGTAAGTGTTAAAGAAATATGATAGAATACCTGTTTTTAAGCGCACCTGAAATAAATAAGTTCATAATTTTTTAAATCTAAACTTGATTGGTTGTAAAAATGTTACATTTTAATACAGGGTGGAAACGATAAGTGATCTCACTCGATTATTTCTAAACTATACAAGATATCAATAAACTAGTTACTGATTCTGAAAGTGCTTCATGAGCTCTATCAAACGGTATTAATAATAGGTTACAGAATAAACTGAATCTATCCGAAAATTCAATGTTTCCAGCTTCCATACATTTGGTAAAGTCACATTATTTAAAAAACTACACATGATATCGTAAAACTGATTACTGATTCTAAAAGTGCTTTACAAGCTCTATCCAATGGTACCAATAATAGGTTACAGAATAAACTGGATCTATCAAAAAATTCAATGTTTCCTTCTTCCATACATTTAGTACTACCACAGTCATGATACTCATCTCTTGACAATATTATAGCAAATAAAACCTAAAACAAATGTTTTCTATGAATAATTTTAAATACAATTTACGAGTTTATTTTAAGAGTAAGAGTTTATTATTAAATAAAAAAATTACACTTCTAATATTGTGTCTGGCATACATTTAGTATGGAAGTTGGAAACATTGAATTTTCAGATAGATCCAGTTTATTCTGTAACCTATTATTGGTACCGTTTGAAAGAGCTCATGAAGCACTTTCAGGATCAGTAACCAGTTTATCAATATCTTGTATAGTTTAGAAATAATCGAGTGAGATCACTTAACGTTTCCACCCTGTATAATCGAGTATCTAGATAGTTTGTTAACCATGGTATATGACACATAGTGTAAATGGGCTATAAGATAGTTCTTCAGTTGCTTGCTGGAAAGAAGATAATACTTCAAAGAGTATGTAAAATTTTTCGCGAAAACCACCCACAAGGTGGACCGACGACATCATAAAGGTAATAGGGATTACTAATGTTTGGCCAAAAAACGTTTCCCAAATTATCACATCGCAAACAACGTTTCGCAAATTTTCATTTGGCAAATTCTCATTTGGCAAAACAACTTATTGCAAACTTTTAGCAAATTATTGTTTGGCAAAGTATGTTTTGCCAAATGTTTCATTTGGCAAAAATATTTCACGATAAACTATTTACAAAATAATTTGATTGGTGCATAGAATGGATACAAATTAGCTTGTGGTTATAATTTTATTTAGTGGGCAGTTAATATAAAATTTGTTCTTAATTAATTTTCTTATTTCATTCTCTTTATCGAAATTTCCAAATGATTCATTCACAATAGAGGTGATTCTAGCGCTCGGCGGCCGCTGCCGCGGCACGCTTCGCTCGCCTTCGCGCATTAAGGGTCACTGTTCTAACCTAACCTAACCTACTATTTTCTGCAATACCTACTTTTTGCAACCATACTATTTTCTGAAATCTCTTTGTTTTACATAAAATTCTTGTGAAAACCATAATCATGTGCCTTATGGTTTGATTTGTGGGTAACGGTGGGTAAGTATGTGAGTGTCAATTTGACCAAACAAATTATTTGGGATATAATATTTGGCAAAATAAAACATTTGCTATATAAACATTTGCCAAGTAAAATTTTACCATATGATAATTTGACCAAATGAATTAGTTGCGAAAAGAACAGTTGCTAAAAGTTCATTTGGGAAATGAAACTTTGGCGATAAGTTGTTTGCGAAGTGAAATTTGGCGAAAAGTAATTTGGCCAAACGGAAGGATACCAGGTAATAGGTATGCGCTGGACGCAGGCCGCTACCAATAAATCAACATGGAAATCCTTGAGGGAGGCCTATGTTCAGCATTGGAATTTGGACGTCCTATGGCTGAAATGATGATGATGATGACTCGATAGTAATATCTATTACTAATCTCTATTTACTTACTTTTAGATCCTGGAGTCCATGGGCGTGGGTGACCTGTTCAACGTAAGCGCAGACTTCACCACACTGTCAGACCAGCCCGGCGTGCTCTTCGATGACGCCGTCCACAAAGCCAAGATACAGCTGGACGAAGAAGGTATGCTACCTCCTCTTTCCTTAAGGATCATAGTTTGAAGACTCATAGGTACACTTTCAGTTTAGCGGGTTCTATTTGATGACTAATCAGGTCAAATTAGAAAATAATATTGTTAAGGCTGGGTTACATCATCTTATTTTGACTTTAACAAACGTCAAAAATCAGTCAAACTCCATACAAAATACACCAGTTATCGTTATAGTCACGGTTAAAGTTAGGTGGTGCAACTTAGCCTAAACTTTCTTGTTTTTTAAACTGTCATGTCGTACCGTTAAGACTTAAAATGATTTTGTAATTAAATATACCTTTCTCCTAAAAATGCAGCAGACGGTATCCCGTCGTAGCACGGTAGTGGGCTGGTAAGGTATCTTACCAGCCCACTACCGTGACTTATTAACTTAGCGAGACATTGATTATGCTGTCGACATTTTCAACTTGTAATTTTAACATGGTGAGACAGCAAGTAACAACTTTACTCATTTCGTTTCCTTAATTTTATTTATAGCAAAACTGGTTTTTATAATTACTAACTGCCTGTAATTGAAATGTAGGTAGGTTGATTGATCGATATTGCAAAAAAGTTGCACAAATTAATATTAATAATATTATCAAATGCGTTTCGACACGATTATTTCTAAATAACAAAAAGCGTAAACCGATAGCGCCGTGAATTTCAAAATGATCAAATTAAAAAAATATATCTTATTGTTTTTATATCAGTAAGTACATGACCAAATCTTGCTTTTTTTCAGGTACCGTAGCAGCAGCAGCGACCGCCATCTTCGGATTCCGTTCATCCCGCCCGGCGGAGCCCAGCCGGTTTGTGGCCAACTTCCCCTTCGTATATCTGGTGTACGAGCGGCCTACCAGCTCCATCCTCTTCATGGGCGTCTACAGAGACCCCAAGAAGTAAACATTTAATTTAATAGTTCAGTATGCAGCTTGATAACAAACTTTAGGCTTAATCAGAACAGTAGAAAAAGATACTACGATTCAAAGATGGTAGATGTAATGTAGCACGTACTGCATTTTCGAAACGGTAGAGCTTCTAATGTCGTTATTTTTGAGTCTATCACCGTCGCTTATACTAGTATCTCTCTATGAGTAAGAGGGTTGAAAGGTCCTAGAATACTGAGAGCACCATTAGTAAAATACACGCAAGTATAAAAAGCTAAACTCAGGTTATGGATAGAAAAGGATGGTCTGAACATACTAAAATTCGACCATTATGAGGTTTGGTTGGATCTCTGTCTTTATCTTTAGGTACTTTTTTGTAAAAAAAGAAAGTACATGCCTACTTAAGCCTTTCTCTAATATAATATTTTGAAAGCGAATTAGTTTGATGCACTTGAACTAAACCAAAATTCCTGTATAATACTTACAGTTGTGGTATCACCACGTTTGGTGTTCATTGTCATTTTGATTTGCTTGAGTAACTTAAATAAGATTTGGAAAATATTAGTGTTATAATAAATATACACCTAAACAGTAAGTTTGCATTTTGAAATGGAACTGAAAAATTCATTATTTTCAAGATTCTTTAAAGGTTTTTTGGAATACTTAAGAAAGTATGAAAATTATTTATTTTGTGATTTCTTGAGTAGGTATTCATAATGTTGCAATCAAATCGATTTTGTATTTTCACAGGTTGTAAGTATTTATCGCTCTTTATTTTTTTGATAAGACTAATGTACAGTAGCGGCGTAAGGGGGGGGGGCGGTGGGGGCTGTCCGCCCCGTGTGCCAGGCATCAGGGGGTGACAAAAGTCGCGCAGATTAGTACTCACAGGCGCATCTGCATGACAAAGATCATGATACTTGGGTGCGATTGGTATCATTATAGCTGATTCGTACTAACATCTTTTTTCTTCAAGTCGGTAACTCAAAAATCNCCCGTGTGCCAGGCATCAGGGGGTGACAAAAGTCGCGCAGATTAGTACTCACAGGCGCATCTGCATGACAAAGATCATGATACTTGGGTGCGATTGGTATCATTATAGCTGATTCGTACTAACATCTTTTTTCTTCAAGTCGGTAACTCAAAAATCCTGGGGGGCACCAGACCTGACCATTCTGGGGTGATATGGGGGGGGGGGGGGGGGTGACCGCCCCGGGTGCCAAGCTATGCTACGCCGCCACTGCTAATGTACTCGTATTAGGATTATACCTATAACTATCAGTATAATGTTTTCTGGTTGCTATGATTTCTTATGATAAGAAAGTAAACACTTACCAAATTGCCGCACTCTGCATTATTATAAATGTACTAGTTTATAAGTACTTTAGGTATTTATATAAGTTACGAGCAAGTTTTAAGTTATTATTATTTCGGACTGTTTTAATAAACAATATTTGTGTCTTCGGACGATTTTGTAATTAAATATTTTATTTCAAAACCCTTATTTCCTTGAGATGACTTTACATAGTTTAGTATATCTGAACATTAGATATCTGGTACATATTAATATTAATAAATGAATTAACTTCTAGAAGAGTACGAGTTACCACTCGTTCACTTAAAATTTCTTGTTCTAGCTATCTGCAAAACACAGTCCAAAGTCCTAAATGTAGAAAGCTGAAAATTTGAATATTTGCTTTATTTTATGATGGAAATATCCACTATATAAAGAGTTTTTAGAAACTTTAACTTAGAATGATGGAAATGGAAGGGTAAAGGTCTTTGAAGGATATAGCCGCAGTTAAACCAAAGATCTTGAAAAACACATTTCACCGTATACCCTACCTATTTCCTCCTGTAGAATCAATCTTATACTTAATGCCTTACACCTTAAACATTTTGATTGACTGTTATTTCCAATTTATAGATTTATTGTTAACCACGAAGGTAATTATAAGGCTTCGACGAATTCGGCTGTGGATTTAAATATAAAATTGCACTAAGGGAGCTTAAATAAACTTTTATTATCTACCTGACTACAGTTTGAGAGGTTTTAGTTTTAACCCACCCATTGACTTATTTTTGCTGTAAAAAGAATCGCAAAAACTGCAATCGGTATTCTTTTTACTCCATTATTTGCAGCAAGCGTTAAGCTGTTTTTTTTTCGAATTAATTTAATTACACCGACGTCAGTCGTGTTAACGTGATCTCCGAAGTATAATTTCCTATATAATATTTTAAACTATTATGTTGCATTTTTTACTATAAAATTATCACTTCACGGGATTTATTGCAACAATATCTATTTTAACCATGACTCGTGCAACCGAGCCGAAACGTCGGGAGGGTAAATATTATTTACCGTTAAAATAGATATTGCAATAAATCCCGTGAAGTGATAATTTTATAGTATAATTTCCTTTTGGCCATTCTAGTCAGTTCAAGCTTTTTGGTCCATTTTGTAACTGGAAATCGAACCTGGTAACTTGGACTACAGATCTACACTTTAATGTAAGTGTAAGTGGTTTAATTTTAAACTTTTTGACGTTTGAGGCGCTATTTATATCTTAAGGCTGTTCTCTGAAATCACTCGTGATGTAGTGTCATTTTATACAATTTTGAGAAACTAGTCTAAGAACTGATCTTCGAGAAATATGCTACTTTATATTAATTCGATTGAAGCAAAAAGCAACTCTGAAATTTCTTGAAGTAGGAAACTTTCCTATGGAAGATTTTACGACTGTAATATTCTCATCTACTCAATCGATATGGAAGAAAGTATAAAGTCCATCGTTAGATCGAATACACTAGATTATACATGTAAGAACCAACGTAAGTAATTAATTAATTTTAGCACCAAATTGATATAGTCAGATAACTAGTTTTCCACAATTTTATCGAAGAGGAGTCATAAAAAGTCTGCCAACCTAAGGCATGAATCATTCTGACCTCCGTCATTTGTGGCTGTGGTTTGTAGCCTTTGGAGGTAAATAGACTCCAATCTTTGTTTTTATTACTAAGATTCCTTAAAATAAATACTTAATGTTAGCGAAAAATCATTATAGCACTGACTTACTTTGCTCGAAAAGCTTAAACGTTTGTGGTACAAGTATATGATCAATATTATTTATCTATAAGCTAAGCATTAGAGAACTCGATGAAATTATTTTTATTGCATTATGAAAACTAAAATTAGCATTTTTTTAATATTGTAGAAGTGTGTAAAAAGAAAAATATTTTGTGAAAGCTCTACATTCAAAAGTTGCATTCTTGAGCTCCGTGTGTAAATACCCCGCTGATTGAAGTGCCTCGCTGAGCTCACATAACCCACTCGTTCTAATAGGTATTTCAAAAAATCTTGTCAAACTACATTAACTTTTTGAACGTGTAGCGTCGTAAGAATCCAACTTCAGCTTTCACAATTATCTCAGAATGCCCATAATATCTTCTTAAGGATCCGCTTGGAATTATAAGCAATAAAGCTCACTCAATGCCTCGATTGTAAGTCGACATGAGCAAGTATCCTCGTTGTTCAATTGAAAATGCAGAATGCCTAGTTTTCACTCATAATTTACGATTTCCTGCAGCGCTAATGGCGTATGGTTGCGTGGCGTCTTTATTTTCGCTTTTGCTATCATTTATCATCAGCTTTGTAGATACTGATTTGCATGAATAGAACCCAGTGTTCCCGATGCCCAACTTTTGTGGCGCAGTGTCGTTAGCGGATCAACATGAAACAAGGATCCACAAGCCATTTTCTACTCGTGACTCGGCCAAAATAATTAGAAAACATTTTCGACATTCGCGGCTAAAACGATCTTGAAATATGTGAGTATTAATGAATTACCCGCTAATGAGTGTGCCTATTTACGGTGAAACCGTTTAGAACGGTCAGACCGCATGTACCACGACTTATCAATCAAAACGAAATTGATGCTGCCCATTAACGTACAAGCACTTATCGCTAACGTTTATTAAATAAAATATATTTCATCGTCCACGTTGTTGATGTGAACTTTTATTAAAGTGATAACTGGAAAATCGTCTCTAACTTATGATGATTGACGGCTCATCACGCGGAGAAAGTTCGAGGGCTCCACAATATTCACATGTCTGTTTACATTAACAACATTACAAGCACCGGTGGGTTTTCTTCGTAGATCATACGTGGGCATGTCTTGACTCTTGATTTATTTCTAGTTTATATTTTATTAGTCACTATTTATTAGCCGTACATGTTGATTTAGCTGATAAAAAGCACTTTCGATACATGAACGTTTTCCTCTCGTAAGTTTTGGATGTATGTATTTGGATACTAAACTGTTTAAGTTATATTACGAGCACCCTAGATTAACTTGTAAAATTTTAATTTTGTTATTCTGATAAAATAAATCTATATATATAAAAGAAAGTCGTGTTAGTTACTTCGCTTATAACTCAAGAACGGCTGAACTGATTTAGCTGAAAATTGTCAGGGAGGTAGTTTAGAGCCAGGAGAAGGACATAGGATACTTTTTATCCCGTTATTTATTGCCATTAAGGCGGAACAAAGTTCGCCGGGTCAGCTAGTAAAGTATAAAAATCAAATACTTACAATAAACTTTGGTATTCTTGGCATCTTGCCAAAAGCGTGTCCCTATATTAATTTAAGTATTTTTATGACCTGCGGAGAATATTAAACGCGGTTCGTAACCGATCAGGAATTTCAAGTGTTTTACATTTCACATGGAGGCGTACGATAAGTACGAGACTCGGGTGGATAATACAGAATATAAACATGGGAAAGTCTTGTCAACGGGTTTATTAAGACCGATCTGGCCGGCGCAGGAGTCGTGCTGGAGACGTATGTATGGACAGGTAAACAAACAATGAGTGGAAAGCAGTTCCGAACGTAAATCCATCGGAAGTGGTCGGCGCGGTCGATACGATCGGCCGCGGTTCTAACACAATAGAACTAATTACCACCTATGGTCTGCATGTGCAGGGCTGCCAAATTGCATACTTTTCAACGTTAAAAATTTCATAAGCCTTATGAAAATTTTAATAATAGACTTTTTTCTGGTCAGAGTATATTATTAAGACCTGATTGACTTTGACCTGTTCTATGCTTTGCCTTACTACTAGGTATAGTTGGCTAATAATGATAATAAAATATGATGCAAGAAGGTCAATAATTGGTTATTCATCAACACTGTTCGTTCAGACTTAAACAGTAAATTCTATCTACATTAGATATTTTTTCTGGTTATTTCGGTTAAATATCGATTATTATGCATAGCATTTTTATTTCTTTACTTCTTCTATTTTATTTATTCCATTTCAAACTTAAATACTAGTAAAACTTAGCTAGACTTATCGATTAGATATTTTAATGATGACTTCCTGAACGGGTTATAAATTGCTAGTTAGCTCACAATTTATATTGTTATTGTTATTTATGCATTCATAATGATGAATGTACTAAGAGTAATATTTCATTCGAAAAAAAAAAACGACTGCCTCAGGTTTCACCAGTGCTTGTTTATGACATCAGAACGGCAAAGCACTAGGCTTATACAATACTGAACCGCAACGCAAATAAAAAGGGTCGGTTAGAAAATCTTTAATATCTTGAAAAGTATCTGACCTGGCTTTATAAAATAAAGACTAAACTAATTCTAGTTTTTTTTTAGTATATGAAAAATGCGTAGTTTTTCCAGAATGTTTTGTTTTACAAAGCTAGGTCAGGCACTTTTGAAGATATCGATTTTATAACTGACCCTTTTTATTTGCGGTCCCGTGTATTTTTCAGTTTCTTTACGTAGAGTCGAAGATTTTTGTGTACTTACTCGTACTTTACAAATGAAATATTCGTACTTATGAATTGTTGACAGCCATAACCGCGGTGGTTCCCGCCGGAAAACAGAACAATGCCTTGTGGCGACCCTGTTGCTTCTCTTTATGCCTTATAAAGTTTTTGTTGGCGTATCTTATAATCGTAAACAATAGGAATGGAAGACTTTGAACATGGCATGTAGATAAAAATTCGGCCATTATCCAAAGGTGTTCTATTAATTAGTCCAAATAGAAACATCATAATATATTTATGAAACGTTCTACCTGGTCATCGTTAAAGTGAATCGGTTTTAAATAACATTATTCGAATACAGTACTTTTATTATTCTAATTAAACTATCCAAGATCCTAAAAATTTTTAGACCATGTCGTAACTTTAGAGTTGTTTCCTTGTAAAATATAACTATACCTAGACATGATGATATCACCAATCCACAGATACATATGCACTTTATTTTATTTTAAGAGATGACCTTATTTATTTATAAGTAATATAAACATACCTATGTCTTATATGTTCAACAAACCTTATGTTTAAATTCTATAAGTTTCCATAAGTCTCTATCTCCAAGTGCACTTGGTTGCTAGAGTTTCAATTGAAAAGCTCGGAAAACTGGTTATCCGACTTTTTCCCTTGTTACTTGCGATTTGTGCCTCGTCTCGGAGATTTGTAGTTCCTTCGCGGCACTGTTTTTAAATTAATGTACCTACAACCCGACGCCGGAAGAATATGTTAGTTACATGGCTTTGTTACACTTTTTGCATGATATATTTTGCTTTAATTTCCGTTTTATGAGTGTATTTCGTTGTATTTCTATATTTATTAAAAGCTCTACAAATTATAAATATAGGAATATTGCATTTACGATGTATTTCGAAGGTTTTTATAGAAATAAAACAGTGTCTATTATAAAAACATTTTATTAGAAAACTAGCGTAGGAAAGTAAAAATATAAGAAAATCAATACAAAACTGTAAATCTGTAAAAAATATGGTAGCTATAATTATCCATTACATTAAACAGACCTTACGGCGTGCGGACGTGACCAGATCTGATCTGACGGATACTCAGTCCCCGAGGTTCGGGTGACGCTTTTGCGCTGCGACGCCGCTTATCAATATTACGGAATGCATACGATATTAGGTACTTGTCATTATCATTAACCTTAAAGTTACGGGCGTAATCACGCAAAAGACTCACACAAACTCACAATTTTGGAAGACTTCAGTGATTGGGCCAGTGCCGCGATGCCTTCTGCTGTCGGCACACGCGACACCGCTAATAGATTACAGATAAGCAAAAATCACAGCTCCGGTTAATCAAAATACAATTATGTTTTTGTTTTTCTTTTTCATCTTAACCATAATTCTACAAATAAATAATGAAATAATATTGTACAGGACGGTTTCATTTTAAGGATGAGGTGGACGGTCTTTCCTGTGGCTACTTTTCCATTTGCCAAAGTCGCCCGCGCAGGGCCCTGCGGCACTCGCGAGGCGCGTGGCCCGCGGGGCATCTCTTCAATAAATAAATATTTACACGCTGTCCGGTTCGTTACTACCGAACACTACACTCATTACAAGCATGTCCACATCGTCCTTAAAGCTACGGATAACTAAATAAAATTAAATTAATCATGCACATATTATTCATATAATTCTTATAGACGATACATAATTCTTAATAAAATCTAATTATCAACTCAGGAACAAATGCAATAAAAATCGATCAATATCAATAAAACCTTTTCGAAAATGTTCTCAATAACCAACATAATTTAATATATTACATGAATATATTAACAACCATTATTATGCTCGCGCACAACATGTAAGGTAGTCATAGTTCTCTTAAAATAAATTGGTAAATCTCTCAAAAGTTCAATATTAATATTACCTTATAAAATCTATAAATTCGCTACTTTTCAAAATACCATCTAATGAGATACGAGTGGTAGAGTATAATTTTACTTCACAAATTAGTTTCCATCTTAAACATTCGATATATTTACAAATAATGAGTATTGTATAAGTAGTGTGTACTGCGTTAGCAACGTATTTTACACACATTGAATCACGGTACATGTAGTTTGTGAATGTAAGTAGTTACACCTTGTGCAGGAAATAACATATTCAAGCATATTATGCACGGAATTATAAATTATTCTGTATGTACTAATTGGGATAGAGCGTAGTTTCTCTTCTTTGATATGTTGGTCAATATATCAATGCTTGTAGATTCGCGGTGTGGGAAAGAAAGATAAGATGTGGCGGGCTCCGGGTGTAGAGTGTACCCGGGTAACCCTTGACTCCGCGTGTGCCGACTCTAAGTGGAACTGACGTGTTGCTCGTGCGGCTCATAAACCTTTCTCACTTATTTAAATCAAAGAACAGCACTGTAATTGACAGTGATTGAAAAGCTGTAAATAAGTAGTGAGAGTAACATGCATTATTTCTACAAGCACACAAAAAGAAACTACGTCTATGAGTATTTCTAATGAAATAATGCAATGTTTTAATATGTTAAAATTTAATTTGTTTCTACTTACACAAGGTGTTTAGTAATCGTGTAATTGTACTATTACAATATTTTGTTCATACACAGTTTGTATTTCAGTCGGGTAGGAGCATTAAAGGCAGTGTTGGTTAAAATATTAATTAATACTAAGTAATCAACTCGTTGTTAAAAGTTCTCATTGGCAAGATGAACATGAAATGACATACGAGTATCCTTTTTGATAGGCACCTTTTTACGAGTACATACATTAAGGGCTGATTTTTCAACCATCGGATATCTTTTAACTGAAGAATAAGTTTGGCACATTGACAGTTTTAGTACGGGAAACATGTCAAAATGACAATGTTATTCTTCAGTTAAAAAATATCTGACGATTGAAAAATCAGCCCTAAATAGAATGATATTTTATAATAACAAGATTAAACAAGTTTTGTGTTTTTCTGTGTAACCGCTAAACGTAACTATGTTAGACTTTATTTTCACCATAAGCTTAGAATTTTTTCGAGAAAGGTGTTAAATTAGAGAGACAGTATCATAAACTACAGATTTTTAAATATTTAAAACAAAGATTGGCTTAGATAGAATATATTGAAATAAGGAGAAATAGAAGAAAAACTTTTGTGTCTAGATTGGTCTTTAAATTGCATAAAACGTAACAGTACTAAGATAATTAAAATTTTACAATACGGATACATGACTATGCACTTTTCCGATTGTAGCAAAATTTAATCATTTTTAAGTAGAGTCAACTAAAAAGAACAATAGAGAAAAACTTTACTCAGAATTTTGATTAACATGGTAATTCTATGGAGGACAGACACTATAGTGTACCTATTGTAACAAATGAATTTACAATTTATACTATTGAACTGTAATATTACATAATTATAATACTTAGTAGCATTGAGCTAGACAATGGGTTAGCGTATTGACCTTAAAACTTAATAGAAATAGTTTCAATAGTGAAAAATATGCAGGCAGCAGGTCATAGCACGCATAGTGACATTGTCCGGGCGTACCCACTTGATCGGCTGGTGACGTGTGACGGTCGAAATATCGAACTGTCTGACCTTAATGCTATTTCAATTTCATTTGATGATTGAACTAATTATATTTAATGTATTTATAAATTGAGACGGCTGAAGCTTTGAAAGATAATTTAACTCGCTTTGTAGTTCCGTCGGTTTACTGAAATCAGTGTTATGCTTGTTTGCCAAGTTTAAACAGAAAAAAGTAAAGAGTAGGTAGCCAATTTCTGTTTCTACCTGTGTGTGACTGTGATTCATTGGGAATTTTAGTGGGATCAAATAATATTGTGTAGTAGCATCAAAAATGGCGGTGTTGATCAGATCGCGCAGCCGCGGTTTCACGCCCGCGCAGAAGCCGCTGCGTCATCGCCGCGGTTCGACACTCATTATAAAGACTAGGTTTCCTGCTATGGAGGTCGGACCAAATCAAATTCATTTTACTTTTTACCTACAAACTGCTGCGTAATCTATTAATGAACAGACATTTTTTAACTTTGTAAGCTTGCGGTTGGTTCCAAATTACCCAGATTAGGAAATATGAATAAAAGATAGTAATCTTTAGAAATGTTCAAAACAGTGAAAGCTCATTGTTTAAAAATCATTAAGTTTATCAGCGCAATCAATTTCTAAAAGCAATAGTGAAATAGATCATGGGATGGTGTCTACGACGCAAGGCAATTACTTTTCACTGATAGTAGAAGCACTTTCATGCTTATGTTCAGGCTGCACCGCGCGGGCGCTGTGTAAACAATGTGAGCCGAGACCATGTACTCTATATAAGTGCTGGACCCGAACAAAGAAAGGCCAATTTGTTAGACGAGAAAGGGAGCACAATTTTAAAGACCATGATTGAACTACCACTTGTATTTCTAATTTATAGCAATCTGGGAGCAATCAGGCTATCTTGGTACCTATGAGGCGAAAGATGTAATATTGGCAATGAGAAACCGCTCACCGGGTTTTCCGATATGGATGGTCGAATAATCGTCCTCGACTTCAAATGGGCTATTTCGAAGAGGCGAATTAAAATAATAGCACGGTGTTATTCGTATCTTAAAATAGATATTATGGAGAAATACTCTCCTCTTAAACGGATATTATGTAAGATCGGCGATTAGCGTGCCAGTAGGTACCGCGCCGTCTAAAATGATAGTGCCATTCATGTGCTGAGTATGAGGAAAAAATAACACCGTGAACAGATCTGCGAACACCGCTCCGCCTTATAGATATTTAAGCGGTGAAAGATGGTAGGTAGTGAATACTCGTTCTTTTACTCTGTTTTTTTTTATTTTTTAGAAAGTTTAGTCGGTCGCACAGCGGGAGAAATTACGGCGGCGGCGAGCAGTAATCCCAGCACTGCTCATCATTGTCGGAGGCGGTTATCTGATGGCTGTTTCATTTAGTTATCGATCGATAGGATTACACAGAACGGACAAAATCGAAAATATGGGATCGTCTGGCTCTGCGTAAGTGGTACGCGAGCGAACAGACATGAATTCAGGACATTTCAGGAATCAAATTACTCGTACACCTACACGAAATGCATGAAAATACGTATGACTTTATTGTAAACTAACATTATTATGACTAATAAATATGATATATCATAATCTCGTAATTAAACACTTAATAGTACCTGTTCTTAGCTAAAGCTAAAAAGTATTCGGTAACGGGCGGAATTACATACGAATTAACAATTAAGATAACGGCCAAGAACCTTCAAATCTCACCTTCGCGACTGCCTTATTGTTCTAAACTACTAAATTAATTAGCACCTTACCAAATTCATCTGTGATACTTCAGCCTTTAGGTATACGTTTAAAGAGTACATTTTGTTTATCACCGAGACAAAGTTCAATTGACTATCAATGTGAAGCGGGGAGGACGAGGCGGCGCGGTTACCTCTTGTTGGGCTTGACCGCACCGTTGGCGGCGGCGGTCTTCTGCGCGATGTGCGTCTGGTAGTGCTTGGCGAGGTGCGCCTTCTGCCGGAAGCTTTTCCCGCACAGCGAGCACGAGAACGGCTTCTCCCCCGTGTGTGTCCGCACGTGCACGTTCACCGAGTACTTATCCTTAAATCCCTTCGAACAAATTGAGCAGTAATGGAGAGATCTTTCTTTTCTTACGCCGTTCGACGTGGACGTCGCCGCCTGGATTGCGGTGCCCGACTGCGCCTGGGCGGCAGGCGGTGAATTTTTATTCTGTAGCCTTTTGTGTTTTTTGCTAAGGGTTTTTGTGCTGGTCACAGTCGGCGAGGCTGTCACTATTTGTAAATGCTGGGGTAACTGGACATCACTGGCAGGGATCATTGTCACTAGCTCACCGTTTACATGATGTATGTTGTAGACGCTTCTGGTAGGATCCAGCGTTTCCACCGTGCAAAAAGTTTGCATAGACTCTCCCAGCTCCGTCGCTATTCGTTTTAACTTTTCGTAGTCCTCAGGGTAATTGGCATCTAGGTTCGATAGCAGAATGTCATCAACGCTTTGAGTTGATGACGGGTTCTCACCATTTGTTATAACAGTTGTATTAGGATCTTCTAACAAAATTGATATGTTTACATTACCGTTGGGTGGCCCTATCGCCATTAAGAGTTCCTGATCTGTTTCCTTATTATCTTGATACATAGAGGGTACATCTGCTTTGTTGTTGTTGTTAATGATAACTCTCTTGAGTTCCGTACTTCCATCTAATTTAATTGTATTTTTTTGTATAGTGCTATATCTAATGAATGCTTTTCCTTGTAACGCACTCCTTAATAACGATTCATTTGTTTCGTTTTGATCTGTTAATTTCCAATCATTATTGTTATTATTGAATTCAACTTGGCTTTCTAAAATGGTTGGTGTTCCGACGATAGGACTGTGAGGGTCATCAGTCTTATCATTACTCGCAAACTCAGTTTCATCGTAGTTGTAAGGTTCAACCTTTACTAAATTACTCGTATTCATATCATTACTTTGATTTTCTGAATCAGCGTCTTCATAGTTGAAGCCGTCTACTTTTGGTAAATCTTGGTTGAAATCGTTGGGGAACCCATTCATGTTCAGTATCGATTCCAAGTCTAAAGATGGCGGTTGTTCAATGTCCGTTGGACTCGACATTGATACTTCTTCGTCTTTTCCCCAGTACCGATTTGTACTCGTTTCATTTATATCTTGGTTGAGTACGGTTAATGTGTATATTTGCCCATCAGTATTACTGATTAGTTTATTTGAAATAGCTGTATCAGAGATAGGATGTGAGCCATTGATTTCACTTTCTGGTGGGTTCCAGTAATACTTGTTAAGATCTTCTAACATGGCTGTATCTATTCGATCGCGGTCGCGATCCACGTTCCAGATAGAGTCAAAACTTTGTAAGGTGGTGGAAGTGGTCGCCGTGGCCATACCTGCGGTGGCGGTCGCCTGCGGACCCGCGATACTCAAGAGGTTGTTGTTGTTCTGTTCCTTGGGCTCTTCCGAGAGCAAGGGATTCGATCTGGAGTCTGGAGATTCCATGAACACATTCACAGATCGCATTTGTTGTTTATATTGGGCATCAGTAACTTCATGCGACGTCACGAAATCAAAGAAATCCGACTTTGACAGTTCTGGGGCAGTGGCCGTCATGTCTGCCGTTTCAATTATTCAACCGAGGACGTCTACTCGGTTCGGTCTTCTACATCAATCGGTTTTGCTACATAAAGCAAACTTTCACTGTTTGCGTTCGCTTTGTCTTTGTACTACAGTAAATACATCTAATTTTAAATAAGTGATTTATAACCCGGTATGACTTGTACTTTATTGGCAGTCGCTAGAGCGTCGGTAACTGAAGTGCAGGTGTGCGCGCGTGGGCTGGGGTGCTACTCGCGCGGGCCCGGCGTGCTGGGCTCGGCCGGCGGACCAATGGAATGTGCGAACTTGATCCGTCCGTTCCTTTTTCCCATTATTCACCCCAACCCTGGTCACTGTCGTCAAGAACTCAGTGTATGAAGCTCTCAGCGGCGGAGGCGTGGTACTTGAATATGCTTTCCATGATGTCGTCGTTGTGGGAGTCGATCTGAAATTAAAAGAAAAGAAACTGTTCAATGACTACAACTTTAAATATTTTTATCGGGACAATTACGGGAATGGCTTGTTCATTTAAGTGTAGACGGCGAACATGAAACGAGATAAAATCGTATCATGTTTTAAAGTGTATCGTCTTAAAATTGGAATATAGCTGTTACTGAATGTTTAATTAACAAGCTCGCGTTGTTGTTCGTGTCTGTCTTTAGATCCTGTACGAAACCAGGGCGAACGAGTCACGCGTCGTGCCTATCAGGCATCACGTAGCCTGCGCCCGCGCCGCACACCGCGCCGCCCGCGCTCGCGACCGCGTAACTGATGCAAGTCTGGCCAAAACTTTAAGCATCACTAATAATAAATGTGAAAATTAGTGACACAACAATTTTTTTTTTTATATTCTTGGACATATTAATACTACGCTTCTAGTCCCAAACTAAGCAAAGCATGTATACCTACTATGGATTAGACAACGGATATAAACATAGTTAAATACTTTTTTTTTTTGTAAATACATAAGGGAGAGTCCGGCAATTTGGACCAGTTTTTTTCAATCCCATTTTACACATAGTTTTCTTTTGTTTTTGCTAATGTTCATGGTATATAATTAAAGAGAAATTATTCAACTTACTATTTCATAGGTATTAATCAACATAATTGTTGTATATTTAGCACAAATCAACAAAATACGAGGTCAGAGCTTCGGTCCAATTTAGCCAACCGGTTCGATAATTTGTACCACATGGTTACTAAATTGGATTTCAATAAATTTCAAGCCTTTAAAAAAACTATTTCAAAATATTATACCATACATTCTTAACAAATTAGGTAACGAAAAGGAGCAGTAGTTAATAACATAGACAATCGATATTGTTTTACACGTTATCACGATTTTGAGTAAAAGTTTTGTAATTTCAATTATCGAGACGCACACTTGCACCTAATATACTTTGCTAGTCTTTTGCTTTCATTTATTGTTAGTCAAACATAACTACGCTATTATAACTTCAAAATATGATTAACTAAAAAAAAATTCAAAATCCTTTGGTAAAGTTCCATACAACTTGATGTGGTACAATTTAGCCGACTAGGTGATAGTGCTTTTAAAAAATCGGTAAAAAATATAGCTTATAAATACCGAAAAATGTTTCAAATAATTGTAATCCACACTAATTTACGCTTCTAAATAATATATTAGAAACATCCTGTGATTAAATTTAACAAAATTACAAAGTAAACATGCATTGTCAAAAGTTACTTGAAAACAATGAAAAAATAATTTTCAAAATAAAACACACGTGTTCGTTGTCACGGCAAAAACCAATTGGCTGATATTAATTGAATTTAGTTGTGTATCGCTAAGTGTTGCAATTACAGACATTCAATAAATACTTTACGAAATATAAGGGTGGTACAATTTACCCGGCGGTACAATATACCAAACTCTCCCCTACATATTATACCTACATAGTAACACACACACACCGTCACAGAAATTAAAATTCAACATTTCAATTTCTGCCCGGCCGGGAATCGAACTTGGGACCTCTCCGTTTCGAACCACTATTAATCAGATTAAGGGAAATATTCAGTCTGAAAAATAATTAGACTAAGATTTGCAGCATGAATTATGATATTTAAGTATCATGAAATAATATCTTTCTGCATCTGAAAAGTCCGTACGTAGTTTGAAGGCGTAAAATGAGAAAGGTCTGTCAAGAACCGACACGATGAATTGGAGCGAGCTCGCGGGACCGAAACACAGTGTTGTGTTTCAGTGTTAGTTGATACAATGTTGATATTTGACCAAACTTGTAGCACACATTTACTACAAACTTACTACTTAAATGACATTATTTGAGACAGCTCAAATGATATCATGTTTAACTATTAAAATACTTAAATATATTTTTAGTTACGTAGAATAAACAAGACTGTGCAATGCGATCAAAACTCCTGCTGGAGGTTCAATCTTAAAATCTTTTAGTTCATAAAAAAGAATACAGCGATGAGTGAATAAACTCCGACTTTTATTTTAGTAAAATGACTTCATTCATCTGACGAGGAACAAAAAACTTTCTCCTCAAATTGAATCTTCATTACCGGTACACAATAGCTATTATTTGTTGGGCCCATTACTATGTTTTATAAGAACGATGGACCCTGCTGTCAAAATATGATTTACAGCAATAAAAATATTGGAACGAATGTTTAATTCACATTTCAGCGTACAGTATAATCTTGGAGGTTTATTAGGCACCATTCACAATTAATATTATTTCGACGTCCGAGAACGTTATTTACTAGTGTACATTTCATGTGAGTTGCTTCACAATTGCAAATCCTGACACACTATAATTATAAGATTTATAGCTAGGTCATAATCTTGAAATGGGAGTTTGAAAATATGGTAATTTGGGTAAAAATATTATAATAAAGATGTTTAGAGTGAAAGACAATGGAAGCATCAAGAGATCAAGAAAAGGTAGCATCGAGAGCCCCAAAAACGAATAAAATCGAAATAAGTAGTACCTCGTATCAAAATGGGCAAAGAATAAGATTCAAAATTGTAAACCCTAAACATAAAACTCATTTACTTAATAGTGAATCTTATAACTTTTTATACATATATGTGTGTAGTGTAATTTGAACTTTTAAGCAACAACTCAGGCTTTTAATTTAGTTTGTACACCGTTCAGCTAACAATGTTGAGTCTAGCAAGTCAAGCTGAGCAGTGACGACCATAAATACGTTTAACTACTTATTGCGACTGACTTTAGGCTGACTGGAGCTCATAAAGTTCTAAACTTAATCAGTAATATACGTCGCTGCATTACAAAGATAATTTAAGTGTACTAAATTTGTCTTCTCTGAGAAAAATTACAACGAAATGACTCAGATTGCAAAATTTATTAACAATACTCAGTAATATTTCGTAAAAGAGTTCAATAACATGAAATATGGATGATTTTAAATCATGTCTGTCTAGTCTATGATACCTAGGTATTATGATTGCATTCCTAATTAGAATTGTCTTTTGGCAATAAACATAGCGTAAACAAATATGTAGGTATGAGAAAATCGTATTAAAAAGCTTTGGTTTAATTTGACGAAAATGTGATTTTAAGTGAATATAAATCGTATAGGCAATTCCGTGTTTCAAAGAAGCTTAATTAATAGGCCGGATATGTCTACATTTCAAGATTTCAGCTACTGAACATATATTTGTTTTATTTTATAGTTAATTATTGCGAATATAATAAACAATAGTATTTATTTTGTAGTTCATTATTTGATAAAATACTGGAAAATGTATAAGTGTATGAGTAACGTACTCAGTTATAAAAATAAATACTAACATTTCCTGCTCTTGATATCTTCATCAAAAGAAAAAAAGTAGAATCAAAAGTCATGTATAAAAATCGGTTTGATTAGGAATCATAATGATATGTGCACTTTCGTAACATACACAATTTAAGTGTCAAGTGTATTTGATTAGTCTGTTACTCGATGTCTCTTTGTGGCTTTAATTTCATCGCAATTTCCCTTGAATGCAGTGAGCGGCGCTTTAGGCTACACAGATGGACTTTAATAGGAATGTGGGCAGAAATCGGATGAGAAAGGCAGAAGCAGGCGAATCCTGAGTCTGTTATTCAGACGCCAAAGCTCTAGGCGATGCAAATGATATTACACTTTGTTGAGAACTTATTGCATGTCATTTAGTCGTAGTATTTAGGCACTGTTAACTCAAGTGTGTTGTTAGAACCTTCACCTTTTATCATTTGTAAACAAAGTTATAACAAGACACTTGAGTTTACAAACTTAAATCTCATGATTACCTAAATAAAAAGCAAACATTATTTATGTCAATAATAAAGGCGACCTTATTCAAATATGAGTCAATACCTATTATACACTGCAGACCGATAAATTCAATAAATTATGTGTAGTAAAATTGTTTATACTTAAGAAATTAATGGACTGATCTTATAGCGGCTGTCATTTTTAACTACGCAATACGTAACAGTCGCGGTTTTCAACGAATCGGGGTCCGCGGCTGCTATAAAATTAACCGATAGCCGCTGATTAACATAATGGGTTTATGTCCTGGTCGCGGCCGGTCGGATATTAAGACAATTCAGAAAACAATAACGGGCTACTAATGACACAATAAAGGTACAAGTCCACCACAAAGCCTTGTATATAAATATGGAGTCGCATGATGCTGGTCCCTGAAAATGTACATTCTTAAAGAGCTGCTATTTTGTTGAAGAATAAGAAAAACTAAAGCTGACAAAATGATAAGACTAAGTGCATAAATATGTATGAAACCACTTCGACAAGTGCACATATTGGTATTGTTTATTTCTGAACAAGTTAATTAAAAGATGTGTGAGGTATACGATGCGTGTTGCGTACATCGGTGGAGTCTCACCTTAATAAATGAGTAATGGCTCAATTTATTTCATGTCGTTATTTTAAAATTTATTAACTTCAATTTAAGCTTGAGAGGTGCTAAAATTAAGAAAAGCATAATTGATGAATCTGTAGATTTAATTTACAAAATAACAAATATCAACATTCATTTTACATGTAAGGAACTCGACCGAAGTGATATTAAAAGATGGAATCATGAAAATTCAATTTATTAATATAAAATCTGACGAATCTACGTACGATTTCACACATTTTAAACTTTATATTCTTAATAAATAAGATGAAATCTATGATTTCATATTTCTAATAGAAGAAATTTATATTAAAAACCGCCAAACACTTTAAGATAAAGAGTGATTAAAAAGGAGATTGCATGCATACCCACAGTATAGACAATTCTTTACAGTAGGTATTCAGTTTCATAAAAAGTTGGTATTTTGTGGGTTTGTTATAAGTAGGTACTTTTGAAGCACCACACAAGGACACGAGCAGAATAAAATTAAAAAGCCAGCATTTATCGTTAGGTACATGTTTTTAGCAGATTCAAATAATGAGAAA